TGAGGTATCACACAACATCATACTCAACGAAATTTTGGGTACGGAGAAGGGCATAAAGGCACTAGCGAAGTTTATTCAAGAATCCAGCGCATTCAAGAAGGTCGCACTGGAACGAGAAGGAGACTGGGAAGAAAGGAGAGGGACAGAAGCCTGAGTAAGGGCAAAGAAGGAAGTGACGAGGGAAGGAGGAGACGAGGAGAGATCAGAAGGAGGAGGAAGGAGAGAAAGTGTATCATATTATACTAAGCCTGGACACCAAACGAGCCCACACGCACACCAAAACTCATCAAACGCGGACCGCTTGGCTATTCGTACTATACCTACATCCCTCACCCTGTTACAACACTCCCCAGCACAGCCCTAACAGGGCACCGCGTCTTAACAGCTCACTTTGTTTGTTGCGGTATATAAATATAGAATTTCTCTCTCTCTCTTATCCAATGATCGGTGCTATGCTCGTTGCTGAGTCCACCCTTCCTATCTACTTCTAAAATTCTCAAGTTAACCCTCTCGGTGTAGAACTTCGACTGATGCGCGACATGCAGTCCATCAGTGAGTCAAACTATTGGGACAAATGAGACCGGTTTCAACTTCCAATTGGCAACGTCCCCAAGTGTACACTTCTCCGAGTCCTAGTGTTCCTTTACTGAGCAGCTCACCCAATGCAACCGTATGCGCTCTACCACAGGAGGTTATCGAAGTTTACTGGAACCCGAATAATTACCCAGGTCGCCCTGTGAGTCGCTTTTGACATGCCCTGAGTGCTCGATTGATAGCAGACTGAAGCTTTGACACTGCATGGGGTACATCTTGATTCCTGACGTGTCGTCCAGTCATCCATTGACTGATGATGGATCACAGCTTCGCTGTCATCAGGAAGGAGCGGGTGTAACAATGTCAATCCAGGATCTTGTCAATACCGTGACCACTGACTTTGCCGGCGACTATGTGACCATCTGCTTCCTCACCGACCTGTACGTTGCGCAGGTAAGTGTGCTACACGTGACCGCGTTCGGTGTAATAATTCCTTTGATCTGAAGGTAGCCTGGTGACCAGCTTTCCGACATATGGTAAAGTACATAAACAGTTGACGATACAGTGAGTGATTTGGTGTCGAAGCGGGGATTTACATGTTCTTGTAACTAACCCACCAGTGAGGGGCGTCACCGAGCAAATTCGTCAACAACGTCATTTGCTCTTCGGTAGGTCGTAAGTTGAAGAAATCGGGATCATCCGAACAAACAGCAAGGACCACTGACAACCTTGTCGTCTTGGTCCTCGTCTTAATAATGTATATCTTCGTCAGCCGCCACCTCCTCGATCTTGCGCCGCTCCGGGTCAATGCAATACTTGAACTCAAACATAGGGAGCTGCAACGCGTACTGGATCCACTTGCGAGCCAACGATGTGGCATTGTGGAAAGCGTTGGGATTGGTTTTGATTTTACTCTCGAGGTAGAGCAAGTATCTTCGGTTGACGCGATAACCGTAGTGTTGTTCTTAGCATTGTCTAGGTGGACCGAATATCGATTTGACGTGACCTGGTAGAGCCCGACCCAGAAATCTGCGGCTTGTAGGTCAGATAGACTCTGAAACACACTACTGATGAGTCCCAAACCTGAAGATTCTGAAGCAGTTGCTCTATCGACATTGACATTGTACGAGAAGCAAATGGATGATAAGTAGGTTGGATGATAGTGTTGCGACCCGTTTTACTGAGGCGGTTTATATACATGTGGGAACACGATCATAGCCAATGTCGACTCGACATCGATCACCCACAGTGGACTTTCTTACAATACCTTTTCTTCACCCCATGGGTATCCGATCGACAGCCCGATGCAAAACATTCCTCAATGGCAACAAGGAGCTAATGCATTAGCAGTGCGCAGCTGTCTATTTGAGCAAAGCATGTGTATGCAAAACAAGACGCTGATGGGTCGAGTTCGACAGACTCATCGAAATACAGCGTTCGGAGTCAGACAACACGTCGCAATCAGGTCGATTCAGTGATTGGCGCTATGCTTGACCGTCTTCAAGGATCCTGCTTCTGTGAGGGCTCCACGGTACTCCAGAAGGGCCCTTGTTGTGTCAGTGGCCGTCACAAGAAAAGGCATATTTCTAAATGCATCAACGTTGGTCTCAACACCTAGAAACGCTAGAAACCTGGCCTTGTCGTTTACTCATATAACTCTCGGTATATTTATCTTCTAGCGTTGCTTTGAACCGATTTATCTAGTAGCCGATTACCTGGTGAGTCAATTTCGCCCTTCGAAGTCTGTAGCGAAGTGTAACACATCAATAGTACCTACTCTTCCGTACAACCTTACCTGAAACATGGACAACACGGGGAATAACCCTGACATCGTGTACATATGCCAGTGAGAAGCGTAACCGCAACCCCATGCAAGTCGATCATGATTTCGATTTTCGTGTGACGGGAATGATCAAAAAGGTTCGTGGTCGGTGAAAAATGCATGGCAAGCTGAAGATCTATGAAGAATCGACGCACCGATCAACGATATCCCTGCTGCTCCCCGATGCCCATCGAGTACCACCAAAGTTTGTCACGACGCTGTCGTGGAGGGCGTTGTAGATCAGTCTCCTGTCCAAATATCGCGTATTAAGAGGCTCTGTTGCGCTGGAGGCATTTACCGTATATATGTCAACAAATTCGACGAGGAGCTAGCTATTCTTGTTCGAGTGAGCACACTATGGGAGCTTATTGAAAGCGACTTGTGCCTTGAACCGAAGCATGCCTTGCGCTGAAATGCAAATAGTCCGAAATCAATATACAATAGTGTATCGTGGATTGGTCGTGGAAGACCTGGGGAGAGACAAATTGAAAAATTCAGAATTGTAGATCACCAATATTAATGTGCACGAGGCACATGTGACGCAACACGTGCGACGCGTCCTACGTGTTGGTGTCACGTATTGTGGTTTCAAACATTGTAAGTGACTAGAGGCGACGTGGGGATAATATCCATTGATGGCGGTGACTGGATGCCAATACATTCTTAACATTCTGGCCAGACACTGACCCACCACCGTGGCTCCCTACCCAAAATGGTCGCAAGATAGTCAACCTGCTCCTGGAAAGGAATGACCAGCTCGTCCTCCTCGTTATCTGAACACACCGACAAGACAAATACCTCTCCCTCGGCATCCACGTACTCTGGAGGCGCGCCATCTTGACTGGGCTGAAAGCAGAGCTCGACAGTCAGAGGATCAATTCTGACAGCCCAGCAGATGTGGGAGAATCCTCTGAACCACAAATCACGTTCTTTAGGAGGCCGGACACGATCTTCGGGATCTTGAATGTTTTTTCCGAGCTCAATGAGCCACTGTTCGTCGATCCAGAATCCGTAGAATTGTGTGTGACGGTGTCTGGGTGGATAAGAAAATTGTGACGGATGGGGGCGAGACGGGCGTTTGAGTGGTACGAGGGGCGGCAGGCTCGACTTCACTTCGGGTTGAGCCTGAAGGGATGTCCCTAACTTGAGCCACAGTAAAAAAAACGCTTAACCCACCCTCAGATTTTGCATGAATTGGCGGAGGAGTTCGGATGCGGACATTGCAATAACGTGGCCCTTCAAGTAGACAGTGAATTAAGTGTGGTTGCAGTTAAAACGAAACTGCGAAGGATGTTGATCAAGAACTACGATGGGATGATCTCTCTTATGTGGCGGAACATCACAGTCACCGCTTGAAGATGAGTCCACGCCTTCTGTGACCACTATTTCGAATTATACGCGTGCGTGATTCGACTCCAGTCACAATGAGCTCCGGTTTCGTTGTGTATCTCGAATGAACCCCAAACACTCATGGATTTGATGTGCACACCGACATAAAGAGTCATATTATCTGTCCACGGCACAAACATAGTCTGTATCTGTTAGTGCCATCAGTCAGATCTTCAGACGTGGATGTCAGCCACACATCGGCGTACCTACCAACATCTTTGGAGACAGCAATCTGACATTGAAGCGAGAAGCAACAACAAAGCTAGGATGTGCAAAAATTCAACGGGAAAACGAGGGCCACACTCAAACTATGAACTCACGCTGCAAAGTAAAGCACGCCGCTTTTCATCAACACCGTGAAACTGTCGCTGATGGTCGATATTGTCCATGATCATTGCGGTTCCCGGAAATGTTATCCAGACTACAAGACAGAGTGTGAGGACCTCCCATACCGTGCAAAGTCCCGACTCGCAGAGGTCGGTCATCGTTTTCGTAACTGCACGATAGATGCCGGAGAGGACGGGTTCCTCTGAGTCTGGCATAGAAAGTGGAGGTAAGTGAGTTTGCTAGGCCAAGAGTGTGGGGTCTGCTGGGTACAAACTGAAGAATCGGACTTTCCTCGCGCTGCGGTGCAGTTGAGGGTGGTGTACTATGCAAAACGAGACCTTGCTGATTCGACCGAGTCATCGACAGACATCGACGAGACGTGCTGCACGTACTAATCGCGTTGAGACTTCTGACTGCTTCAAGTTCGTCATGACCGAATCGTCACGGAGAAATATTTCTTGGTGCCAACGTCACAATCATTTACTTATCCAAGTTGATTCAGTGATTGGCGTAAGTCTAGGCTGCCAAAAGAAAGCAATGGGCCAGAACGGGCCTTACGGCCGACTTATGTTAGGTTCCAGGTTCGTTCGAACCTAATCGGTTCAGAACCGAAATGCTGCCGACATGTTCCCCATCGACTAAGTACATAAGCAATAGGGATAAAGTCAGGCTTACTCACCGTCTCACACGATGGGTAGCTCACTGTTAGCAGCGCGCCCTCAGGCTATTCGGCGCTGGGCTTGTCCAGTTCTATTCCTCAGTACCCTCGTCTTCTTCATCCTTTTCCATTCCTCAACCTTCATCGCTTCCGCGTTCTCTCAATCCAGCCCACACGAACTCTCCCGTCGTTCCCAAATCCTCTCCAGATGTGCATACACACGCGCCAAACCCGGGCCTCCATCCCATTTCCATGCCCGCACCTACAGCGACCGCTACGCAGAGAACACGAAACCTGTTCTCGTGCGCAACGCAACTATCTGGACAGCCGCTAATGATGGGCACGAGGTTCTTACCGGCGACCTACTCATGCACCGCGGTCTCATAAAAGCCATAGGTGATGTTCCTCTTTCCCTGATTCAGCAGCTCGAGTCGGAGAACGTGAAATTGGAGGTTGTCGATGCTCATGGAGCGTGGATCACCCCTGGTATTGTGGATCTGCACTCCCATATTGGCGTTGGCAGTGCGCCTAACCTAAGCGGTGAGTTTCTTCGCTATTCCACATCACCACAGGGTCCCATTTCCTGCAGGTGCACGCGACACGAACTCCCACAAGGCACCCATCTTGCCCTGGCTGCGTAGTATTGACGGGCTGAACACCCACGATGCATCATACGAACTCGCTATGGCTGGGGGCGTCACCACAGCGCAAATTCTCCCTGGGAGCGCAAATAATATTGGTTGGCGCCGTATCGGTTCATAGTTCGTCTCATTGCTGATCTTAAGTGTTTTCTGCCAGGCGGTCAGGCGTTCATCATGAAACTCCGCCCTACAGATGAGCGTACACCTTCTTCCATGCTCCTTGAACCTCCTTATACCCTGAACGGCTCCCACTTTGACCACTCTCTCACACCTCGCTGGCGACACATGAAGTATGTCGTTTCACTCCCCTCACTTCTCTTACTCATCTATTATTCATTCTCACTCTCAACAATAACTAACAGGCATGCATGTGGTACGTTCCAAAATGCACATCCTCATACCCCTAGCTCACTCATCCATAAGGTGAAAACCCCTCCCGTTCATACGGCAACTCACGCCTTGACTCGGGATGGAACTTCCGTGCTGCCTATGACACCGCCCGAAAGTTGCGTGATGCTCAAGACGCCTTCTGCGCCAAAGCAGAGTCTGATTCCTGGGATGACCTTACGGGGAAGACATTTCCTGAAAACCTGCAATGGGAATCCCTCGTCGATGTGCTCCGCGGACACGTAAAGATCGCCGTGCACTGCTATGAGGCGGTTGATCTCGATGGAATCGTCCGCGTACGTTATTTTTGTTAAAAAAAATTACTTGCGTGTAATTGCTTAATGCATGTGCATGGACAGCTTACGAATGAATTCGAGTTTCCAGTAGCATCGTTCCACCATGCTGGAGAAACGTACCTCGTTCCGGAGCTGTTGAAGAAGACGTGGGTGAGTCTTCCCTCTTCTCATTGTCTGTTCGCGACTTCCTTCTAACGACCCTCCGTTCCGGCGCCAGGGAGGCACACCTACCATCGCGCTTTTCGCATCCAACTTCCGGTACGTAGTGCATTGCGTACTATCTTCTGTGCTGTGGGCTCATGCTGTTGATCTCGGGTAAAGGAAGAAGCGCGAAGCATATCGAGGATCGGAGTTTGCTCCCCGCGTGTTAGCGGAGCATGGAATCGATGTTGTTATGAAGGTCAATGTTGCCTTCTTCGCCTCACTCTCTTCTTTATTTTATGCTGCGCCAACACACCTTGTTACATCACATGTACGTTGGAGCCACGAAAACGCGTACATGTTACCCTTTCACATATTTGATCATGGTCTTCAAGTCTTCCCAACGCATGTCCCAATCACACTGACGTTCTACAACTTGATCTTACATCTGACTAATCTCGTGCTTGCAGTCCGACCACCCCGTTATCAACTCCCGTTACCTCCTGCACGAAGCTGCCCAAGCGCACTATTATGGCCTCGACCCCGCACTTGCCCTCCTCTCCGTCACCTATACTTCTGCCACTGCCATGGGGATGGGCCATCGGGTCGGAATGCTCAAACCAGGTGCGTGCGCCGTTTTTATATGCAGTTCGATTGAGAAATGAAATGTCCGTTGAATTGTAGGGTACGATGCTGGTACGTCCTGCTCGTGATTAATATATTTATAAGACGAGGTCTGATCGAATGTAGATATTGTAATTTGGTCCTCCCACCCGCTCTCGCTTGCTTCGACGCCCACCCAAGTCTATATCGACGGCATCCCCCAGCTCTCCCTACCAGAACACTACATCGCTAAGGGACCCACCACACCGCCGCGCATACCCAATTTCGACGCCGAGAAAGCAGCAACAGTCGCGTACGAGGGTCTTCCCCCGCTCGAGCCGCGCAGCGTAAAAGGGGCGCTGTTCGTGAATGTCTCGGGGCTTTATATGAGAAGTGACGGCTCGGGTGGGGTGGCGTGTGTTTCCGAACAGGCAGGATCAGTGGCCGTGGAAGATGGCCGAGTAGTGTGCATTGGTCAATGCTCGGATTTTACAGAGGGAGATGTCGAAATCGTCGACCTTGAAGGCGGTACGATCACCCCTGGACTGACGAGTTTTGGTGCGCCGTTGGGCCTCGTGGAGATCAGGCTTGAACCGAGCACGAATGATGGAAGGGTTCATAACCCCCTCGATGGGGATCTGCCCACCGTGCTGGGTGACAAGATAATGAGGGCAAAGGACGGGCTGATGTTTGGTGGCCGGAATTTATTGTACGTGACCTTTTCATTTTTCATATCCTATTCATGTGCCCACGTGTCCCAAACCCACCTTTTGGAATTGCAGACTCGCCTATCGCAGCGGCGTCACAACTGCCATCACTGCGCCCTCTGGGACCTTCCTGCAAGGCATATCTACTGCATTCTCGCCTGGAGTTGCGCATGCTCGAGTAGAAAACGCGAGCCTTGTTGATGAGGTCGCGTTACATGTTGCTGTGAGTATGTCTTCAAGGGCAGGTGTGAGCACGCAGGTGGCAGCACTTAGGAGTATGTTGTTCGGGAAGGGCGGGGACGAAGTGTTGAGGAGCGTTAGAAAGGTCCGCATATTTACCTCTTCCGCATTGAATGGACACTGATGTCTAGAAATAAGGGTAAAACAACGCTCGTGGTGGACGTCGAGAACGCAGACATAATGGCGACGCTGCTCCTGCTCAAGGATGAGTATGAAGCTCATTCCAGGAGGGAGCTTCGTTTGACCTTTGTAGGAGCCACCGAGGCACATCTCATTGCGCACGAGATTGCGAGGGCAGGCGTGAGCGTGATCGTCACGCAGGGTAAGCCATTCCCGTCAGCGTGGGAGCAGCGGAGGATGTGAGTGCCCTTGTACTCTTTTACTTTTTCTTCTTGGTTCAGTCTTCTTTTCCTTTTCTCATTTACGATTAAGGAGGCTAACCTGGATATAACGTAGACTCGCTGGCCCGCCGATCACGCAGGAGAACCTGGTCACTGCGCTCTTGAAGGCAGGCGTCAATGTAGCCATTGGTGTCGTTGACGAGCACGACGCCCGGAATACACGTTTCGAAGTCGGTTGGGTGTGTTTTGGAGGCTTCTTTTATGTCTTATTTCCCCTAACATCAAGCCCAGTCCCTCCTCACATCCAATGGTGCTATCGATCGCACGACGGCTCTCGCGCTCGCCACGACAAACCTCGAGAAGGCGCTCGGCATACGGAGGGAGATGCCTCAAGACCTCGTTGCATATCGTGGTGGAGACGTGTTTGAGTTTGAAGCCAAGGTGGTGGGCGTTATATCGGAGACGTTGGGGTGGACAGATTTGTTTGTGTGAGCAGAGTGAGAGCCTTGTCCGTAGGCTCGGAGCTTCATATAGGAACGGATGTATAACGACTAACAATACACATTTAGTACTGTACATTGATCTATGTTCGAGTCTTGTCACAGAATCGTAAACTAGGTGTCAAGACTCGAGGGTGATCCGGCAGATCATCCGATACTCGGCAAAGGACATTATGATATATAATTCCTAGACACTGCGGTATTTTTATTCCCCTTCACCACTGCTACATATTTAAGGTCTTAGCTCGCTGTCCACACCTCAGTCTCATTACCCGCGACTGAGGCTCGTATCTAATAACTCTCACCTTTCACACTAGCATAGGACTCGCAGTTTGTGGCAAAGGTGATTTAATTGAAAATTCGTGGCGGAAGAAATTGACCTTAGAACAGAACATTTGTAGCTACTTTACAGGCACTTACCTGTGTCATAGTTTGAAACAATGCTCCGGCCACGCTCTGCTCATATGGGAGCGCATTTTGGGCGATAAAAAGTGTGCCAGAGGAGTAGACAAAATCACAAACAAACACGACGAGAACTGTGAACGGGAAGCCAAAGGCCCAGTAGGTTGCGGACGGGTCAATCAGCGCAAATAAGATCCCAGCAGATGCTGTCAATAACGTTCCGCTGACTGGACGACGAGTCAGCCTCAGGTGTCAAAATTCCCTGCAAAAACCCATACCTGCAAAGATGACCAAAGGCAATCTGGCCACGACCATTGCAACGAAAATGTTACAAAAAAAGCCGAAAATGAACATTGGAATGAGCCGGACCATAGTTCGTATCGGTGTGAGTGACAAGTAGTTCTGATAGTACAACTAGTACAGAGCGGATTGAGCGTCATCACGTCCCGACAGGTAGCAGGAGGTCGACATATTTACCTGAACTCAGAAGAGCCAGCTCATGAAGGCGCTCCAATTTAGAAATGCGATGGCGAGGATAACAGCCATTCCCTTTGCTCGCGTCCAAATCGAGGGCCTCATCAATGGCGGCGGTGTCCACGCGGACGGTATTCTTGATGGATCATCTTGAAGTTGCTCCAAGTATCGTTCCCAAAGCAAGAACAGAGAAAGCATGATAACCCCGATGATGAGAAGCACAATGATATCTAGTGATGATATCCGATTTAGCGATAACACAATATATGATAGAGGGGAAGTCTCACATCACATCATCATCAATACTTACTAGAACACCCACTCGTGCTAGTTGGCATAAAACTAATGTCCTGGATATGCGAGGATAATTTTGAGTTATAGACTCAACCGAGTCGTTGGTCGACCAAACAATAACGATTCACTACGAGGGGACAAAAACTCAGAGGAGACCCAGCAAGATATATGCATCGAGGCAATATTATAAGTTGATTCTAAGTGCTTGGGGTCAACGTCCCTGCTCCCATTTGGGACAAACCAATTAGGTGGCGTATATCGCGCACGCCAACGACACCACGTATATCCTTGCTGGATCCAACGAAAGACAAATAGCCTCAGCCAAGTGATCAACGTGGATTGGGGTATAGAGAGCAAATTCGCCATGGAAGTCAGGGCGGAAGGTGTTTTGTCCGTGGCATCGGGGCAAACGGAAGTCCCTAACCACCTCAGATCCGAAGAAGGCATCGGAATATACGTTGGTACTGCGGCATGGATCCGTGCTGAGACATCGAATATCGTGGCTGGAATGGTAGTCATTGGTCGGACATGCGGGTGGTATGTTAAATCTAGTATGACATATCTTTCATCGAACCGAATTATGGAAGATATACACTTACTGGAGCGGACATACACCCCCCTGTATTGTGGATGACTTTGGATGATTTCTTCAATCCGCTTCTCAGCCTCCCGTTTCGTTTCGAGATACCGCACGGAGACGATGGGTCGGTTGACGTCCTCCGCGGAGACATAGATGAAGGGCCGAACATGTGAAATTCCGGATACGGGCTCGCTCACTATAAATGCTTCACACATACGGACGGCTGACACCGCGCGCTGTAAAAACTGTAAACGGGGCTGCGTTACGCGTATGATCACACACCTGTTTCATAATTAAGGGTGTCATAGGCGCTCCGTTGACCTTCTGCTGAAGAACTCTTGCCACGGCCAGCAAGAGATTTGAGCATGCCCATTACGTCTCCTTCTTGCATCCTCTGCTTGTGCTGCGTATTGTCCAGAAGCGTACCAATAGTGTGGACAACAGCGTCAACACTCGGGAGGATGTCCGCATATGACTCTAGATTCAGGGCATCTGCTTTCCGCCATTCCACCTGTTTGGGGTTTTGTAAGGTTTTCCGGAAGAGCTGCCAGGGCTGCGGATGAGTGGTGTCAAATACTGAGAGCATAAAGTACTTACCTTATGCTGGTGACCTCCATTCTCCGGGCAAGAGGCCAACTTGCAAACCGCGGAGCCTGGCAGCCATAAGTGACGTAGAACTACATGGAGAGTCAGAAACTCATACCAACGAAACCATTGCCACCGACAACAATATTTTTTTGCGCAACAGCTGACATGGGGACTAGAGTGCTCGCTGTTAATATGAGGCGTTAATGCTTACTTATAAGACTCGACTGTTATCGCGGTTAACGTTGACAGCTAAGTTACAGTGAGTATGTAGCTCCTCAAGCTGCCGTGACTCGTGGCGGCCTTGAACCTGGATGCCTAATCGGGTAATTCGTCCGCGGGAACACATGGCGGAGAGGGATGACTGCTCACTTCAAAGGCGTACTAGGCCCGGGAGTGCGGTGTTGGGTAAATTTTCTGGATAGCTTTAGGGCAGCTTGATGAAAATTGCAACCAGTTAACGTGTTGTTCGTGCCCGAGTGTATGCCCGACCCAATCATCAACTTGCAACGTTGAGCAACCCGTTCTCGACTTCCGAAGCATAGGCTTAGCCCTACATAATCATTTGAGACAAGTCCTTCCTTCATTTATCATAGCACTGTCCATAAGTCAATGAAATGGTTCGACACTTGCAAGATACTGTTAAACATTTATGTTATTGCGCGCTGCGCTGTCTATGCGGATACTCATACAACGTCTATGTGAATACAACATGACCAAGCATTCAAGACACTGTATGGAACGCACTGCATGCTATGCATATAATAAAACTCGATAACAAACTCGTGCATGTACGTGATTTCGAATGCTTGCAAAACCGTATGTAGACGTTATATATGAAAATGAGGAAATAATGAAGATGTGTTGCCGGCGGAGGGAGGTGTTTGATCGTTGCCGGCGGAGACCAACAACCACCAGGGTCGTTAATAGTCTCGTGAACGCCAAGCTGAGTAACCGCGCTCCAACAGGACTAGCCCATCAAAACAAATAGCGCATCAATGCGACACAGAAGGGACTGAAAACAGTGAAAGCTGACAATGGCGGGCAGTGCTTGCAAGGGGAGAATGATTAAAGGTACTCCCACCCAACTATTAAGGGTCAGGTCAGCTAGGAATATTGAAGCGGGCGATGAGGCAGGACGCACCGGAGACTTCACCGCCGACCGTCGGTGCTGAGATCACTGATAGCTTCAAAGGCAGCGACAGAAAGATCGATGGATTCCGAATTGGCGCAAGTCGGGCAGTCATCAGCTACAGTCACAGTAACGGTCTTGCCGTTGCTCAGGTTGGTAATCTGGACCTGTTTACCACAAAGAGGGGAAGAATTGCCAGAGTCGCCCGATTTTCCAAAAAGTTTTGAAACTTACTTTGAGTATGTACCTCCTATAGTTCCCACGGCTACCATGTCAAGGACTCATCAGTTCTCTGATGATTTACATTGAGTGGTTCTCAATGCAGACGAGCATCGGCGGCTAATTCGCCTTGACATGGCCGCACTTCGTTCGATGCAGACGTTAGTACCTGGTTGCTTGCCTCTATATGTTGGCATGCCCGTCGACTGATCTTTGTATAACGAACGGGTCGCAGGGTTTCGTTGCCCCAATGGGCTGCCATACGCAATCTTTGTAATTGTGCATTTTCCTTCATCTAAAGTACAACTGAGTGACCTTGCGCCAGGACACTTCCTCATCATACCAGTTAGTTGGACGTTCACAACTCTGCTCCAAGGTTCGGATGGAGCCTCAGAAAAGTTGCGAATCACTCGTTATCAGCTTCCGATCCAACCACCGTTTGCAGTCACAGGACACTTTGCGCAGGGGAAAACACTTCCAAAGGTGTTAATAAATCTACATGAAGGTGGTTTTGCTGCTTATGTTGCTGCATCTCGTGCAGAGTCGTGATGGTTTGTGCACATCTCGTCTGGTAATGCTTGATCAGCTAAACAAGCCTCTCCCTTACAAGAAGCACGAAGATTTGACGCGATAGAGCACAACGCATATATCAAGCATGGATTCCGTGATGGTACTGTCATAGATGTCTAGGATGCAGAAGCTGAGTGTTCGATGAAACATTCAAAAGCGCTTACTGCAGAGTTTGATCTTGATAATCCGCCAGCGAAGATGAAACGGAAACGCGAGTTTTCTGAAGTCGTGTTTGACGGACAAGCAAGCGCAGTATGTTCTTTGTGGAATCATATGCTTAGGTGGCTATCATTTTTCGGCTCGAATTTTAGATGACTCTAATATTTGGAGTTATGATGGCAGAGAAAACATTTCTTGCCTGAATGGTCGGGAGGCGCATGTCTGTCTATAGCCTCCAAAACGCCGATCAGCTTCAAACTTAGATTGTCTCTGGCGCCTATGTCTACAGCCTCTAAAACACCGATCACCTTCATCCTTAAATTGTTCGTGGACCTTGAGACCTCTATAAGGCTTCCGCAAATCAATTGCCTTACGTCTTGCATCATGATGTGTGCAAATATGTGCGATATTTTTTATTTATTTTGTTTTCGTGTCGCTTGTCGCTGTTCAAGTTTGGTTTTAGATTATACCGTGTACCATTTAAAAACCCAGTCGATGCGACTCTAACCTCTAACCACCCACCCACTTTTGCCTTATTTGTTGCACTAGCTGTCCTCCAGTCTCTCGTGCAATGTCTCAGCCCTCGCCACCCACGCCTTCCCCCAATGCTTGTTCGGCATCATGTACCCTTTCCTCCCCTGCGCCGCCTCGGGAGAATACTCCTGATGCCTCTGACGGTGGTTCTGTACCTATGACGTATTCGTCCCCACTTTACACCTCCCTTCTTGGTTCTATGGACTCTCCCTTCGCTGCCGATGCGAAGATGTTAGCGAACATCCCCAAAGAGAAGAACCCTCGCCCTCTGCGCTCTATTTTTAATGACAGCGCAGAATATTGGGTAGGGCCCGATGACGATGTGCTCCGCCTCGTGTTTCCGGCAAAGTTACACCTCGAGGGCCGTTTTAATAAGTCTGGGGAGTACTTTAGTCTCCCGGAGAAAGATGTAAGTTTTTGTCATTCAGCTGCTGATAAAAACCTTCTTACAAACCATATATCATACAGCTTAATCTCGGTGACATCAAAAGCGCAAAAATTCAGTTTGAGGTCCTCCCTTTAGACGATAAAGAGAAGGACTGCCCTGCCTCGGCGATAACGTGCTCCCAGTTTGCATTGTCGCTTCTCTCCGCTCTCCATACAGATGTCGAGAAAGCCCGCAATGCATGTGAGTTGTCCGCTATGTCCTTCACCTATGTTTAAATTCATTGATTTACTAATACAGCATTGGATGCTGTTGCAATCCCTCCGAACGTGCCGTTTTGGCGCACCTACAAGAAAGAGGACAGATACAGCCTTGTTGTCACGACCGGAGCTGTATTCAAAGACGTACTGGTAAATACTACCATATCTCGAGAGGAGGCTACTCGTAAGTCGAATACGATTGCTATATCCCATGCAGTTGATGTAAAATTTCGAAACAGAACATGTAGGTTTGATAAGTCCAAGTAGGTCTTTAATTTTTTTGGCTCTAACACTATCCTAATCTACTCTCGTGACTGTAGGCAAGGCAAGGGCGAGGGCTAACCAAGCCCTTGGCAAAAACGATGGCAAGAAGCCTGACGGTATGTTTTATGTTTTATGATGCTTGAGTTATGACATCCTGACCATACACATGCTAGTAGATCACTCCTGGCGCATCTGTGACCTCGAGGATTCAAAGGGACGATACTCTGCCTTATTGAACAAGTACAATCATCTGCGTGGCACAGCGGTTCAGACCCCTGATGTCCGAGACGAGCACGGTGCTCGTATTCATGTCAGTGACTACAAGACCAAACTCAAAGAGGGAGCAATTGTCGAGTTAGAGGTCATATTAAGGCTGTAAATCCTTGGTTATTTTTAGCGTTCGACATCCTGACATTTCACAGATGGACTATCGAGGAATCGACCAACCCCCGCGATGACCATGTCCGTCGTGTATACCAGATCATGCTGCAGCACATGCAGCTTTTGCCTTGTGCTAAGTACACACAACCCGTACTCGTGGACTCACTCGGGGCTGGGAAGGGGAAAACAAAGGCTGTGGACGAGGCAACTAGCCAATCGCCCACTAAAAAGGATTTCTTTACCGGTGTGCTTGAAAATGACGAGCCCAAGTCACGTAGATTCGAGCGATTGGTGTCTTATTTTTCTTGCCTCAAAACTGCATAGGCGTCCCATGTTGTTGTACTATTACCTGTGAATCATATCTTGTCTTAGTGTCTTCATGCGGAGTCGGGGACTGGCACGGCCATCGCAAGCGATACGACTGCAGATGCCCTGAATACCTTATTGCATGTGCATTGCCCCCTCAGACTCATGTTCGCATTTATTGTCTTTTATGTGAGCACGGGAACCCCGTTGCGCGTCTGCCCTCCGTGGCACGTCCTCGTGTCATCCCTCGGGGGCCGTTATCGATATGATTTGGAAGGGTCTTTTTTGTCACTTCAGAGTAAATGATTCTCCAACAGTATTTGATATAGAATCTGACGCGTGCTGCAGGAGTGCCACTTGCAACTCGTTGATACATTGTTTAGACGGCCCTGTATCAAGACACAAGCCAGATACAGCATTTAAATACTGGCGCTTATATCGCCGTCGAACCCGGACATATTTAATTTGCAAAGGCTCTACTATGGCTAAGTTGCACGTCAACCCCCAGAGGCATTCTCACGCGGTTTTTCCTTCTCTCTTCCGAAGATTAATAATTCAGACAGTTCACTGGTACATCCCTCTCGAGCTCATCACGTACTGGCATCCTCTCAGTATGATACATCGAGGATATGTTACGCCTTCCTTTCGCACAGTGGATATCAAATCACTTTGGGTTACGCCCTGAATATCTTCTAGCACTCAGTGAGTGTATTCAGATAATGGTGAATAAGAGAGTTGATCTGTTCAAGGTATAACACTGCACTTCCAAGGAACCAAACGCGTACCCGGCACTTCGGTACCATATGCCACGGAAGCTGATTCCAGTGCAGACATCATTGATGTCGACTCCTCCGTACAAACCGCGTCGGTGTTCCTGATTTATATTTTTATATGGTCTGAAATATCGGCTGTAGTGAAGATCAACGATTTCATGTCCGCTCAAAGTTCAGCCGCCCTTCGCAGATTAATAGCTTGCATATGTGGCCTGTTCTGCCTGCCACAGTGCTCCAACTCACGCGGAGACATTGATGCGGTTCCTTATACTTACATCACGGTCTTAGCGCCCCAGGGCCCACAATGATCGCAGATACTTGCCAGTGACCTCAGCGACCATCAAAATTCTCAACTCCGATCGTCGATTCATGATCATGAGCCTATCTATGTTTGGACTCGTCTTGAGAGACACTTCGGAGTGATACTTTTGGGATAGTTCAGGGATACTCTCGTACACAGTGCGCATCATAGCATCTGAGAGAGCCTCTCTTTACGTTGACAATTTGAAGCTTTCCCTAGCTTTTGTCGACCTTAAGCAAGCGCTCTCATTGGTGGAGAGGACTACTAGCCTGCCATCTCCGAGAGTCATAAATACCAGAAAAAGTATGGCGTGCGCTGTGTACGAGAGTGTCCCTGAACTATCCCAAAAGTATCGCTCTGAAGTGTCTCTCAAGACGAGTCCAGACATAGATGTACTCTTTCTGGTAGGCTAGTAGTCCTCTCCACCAATGAGAGCGCTCGCTTAAGGTTGACGAAAGCTACGGAAAGCTTCAAATTGTCAACGTAAAGAGAGTCTCTCTCAGATCATGATGTACCCACACATGCACTTGATGGCTCCGAGATATCGCTTGAATGCCGCACAACGAATCAAATCCCGACCATGACATACTGGTGGATGGCGGTCTGCCTTTCCTGAACTGCAGATATATAATTAAACTTGGCCCATCAGCTTGTCAGGCATGCATAGGTATGTTTCCAGAACAGTTTCTCATGACAGGTGACGTGGCGACGGGTAGTAGGATGTCGCGGAGGGTGGCGGCTACTCGCGGCGCTCTTGAAAACTGCCATAAGCTGACCTTTTGCAGCCTTCTGCTCCGAGAGCATATGCTGAAGTTATTCAAATCTGCCCAGTTACTGGGCAACTATCATGTATCCCATCGTGGCTGCATCACGAAAGATTTGTCGAAGCTTCTGCTTATGAACCAAATTCATATCCGCAACAGTCTTGAACCGGGTACCTGTCAAACTCATCGCAGCTGTGCCTGGCGCCGCTTCTTGAAGATCATCAGTTGTAAGTTTTGAAGCAAAATGACTCGTAGCTAATGACTTAATACTGGCGTAGGTTCACTAGCGACCGGACACTATGACTTGTATCATACAAAGTGCACCATCGTATCCGCATGCACAAACGGCAGCACCATGAGAGCATAGCCGTTGCCAAAGATCTTCCTTTGTTGGCTAACATAGGACCATGCTTATTCAGGTAATGTGCTGTACTTTTCTTGGTTATGGAACCTCATTTCGGTACTCCAGCGAATCAGCAGTTCCCGTTTGCAAGCTACCCAGTTCCAAAGAACTTGTACCACTGAGGACGATCGGATGATTAGTATTACATCCTGAAACCGGGGGCTTTTGAAAGGTAATTTTGTCCTACAAGTCTGTAACACATTCAAGTTGATTGGCGGAGACCTACAGCTGCTCCAACGATACTCCTAGAGGAATTCCTACCTCACCGTCGGTGACTTCGACCTACGGACCGGAAGATAAGTGGATCGAGCTGTAGGTCCAAAAGCAATACCAGGAGCACTACTTAAACCAAGGGATGCGCTGGATCTCGTTCATCGTCATCCTCCAATCGGTTTGAGCGTTGGGTCATGTTCTCATACTATGTGTCCCTGTGCCTTCTGGCGAGCCTACAGAGTTACGCTGTGACCATTGGCCCAGTTTCTGACCTGGTTGTTGCCAATGGCAATGTATCTCCAGACGGGTTCATAAAGTCGTCAGTTTTGCTGCACTTTTACCTTTTTAATCACTCAGGTCATTGCAGGGCGGTTCTTGCCGGTGGCACTCATCCCGGGCCCATTATCACGGCTCAGAAGGTGACATTTACTTCGCGTGTGCAAACTCTTGGGTGACCTTATGTGTCTTTAAGGGAGATACGTTCAAGATCAACGTCACGAACCACTTGAGTAACGAGACGATGCTCACGAGTACCAGTATCGTAAGTCCCAAACTGATTAATGCATAGGAGTATACAATGATGTCCTATTCCGAACAGCACTGGCATGGACTATTCCAACATCATAGCAACCAAATGGACGGCGTGGCATTCGTTACGCAATGCCCGATCGCCCCAGGTCACTCTTTTCTCTACGAGTTCAATGCTGGCGACCAAGTAGGAACATACTGGTACCACTCTCATTATGGAGTTCGTGCCTCTATTTATTGATGCGTTGGTGACTGAGGTAACTTCAGGTCCAATACTGCGATGGTTTACGAGGTCCGCTGATAATCTACGACCCGAACGACCCGTACCGTTCCTCGTACGATATTGATGATGGTGAGTGAGCCCAACAAAATGGATTTGCGTTTCTGACATCTGAGCGAAGAGTCTACCATTATCACGTTGATGGACTGGTCAGCCAAGCCAATGGATTTTTTGCTGTTGTTTAATCGGCTCGCTTCGCAGGTATCATCTACCATCCACTCAAGTCCAAAGACAAGTGGTTGCCGACTCGGTGCTTATCAACGGTGTCGGGCGTTACGACGGAGGACCGGATGTGCCTTTTGCCATCATCAACGTTCAGCCGCGCAAGCGATATCGTTTCCGCCTACTGAACATGGCGTGCAAGCCCAACTACATCTTCTCGATCGATGGCCATAATCTTACAATAATCGAAGTCGATGGCCAATACGTCAAACCTCTCGTGGTTGATTCTATTCAGATTTACGCTGCACAGCGTTACTCCTTCATTCTTGAGACAAATCAGCCTGTCGACAACTACTGGGTGCATGTCGATCCTGACGCAGGTACAAACTCCACAGCCATCTTACGATATGCCGGCTCTCCAGACGCAGACCCAAAGAACCGAACAACCTTAAGCTCGGCAGCTCTGAATGAGACTGGCCTACACCCCCTATACACTCCTTCTTCTCGTTTGCTGCAGAAACCAGACGTCAAACTTGATCTTGTTCTGAGCAAAAACCTGACCACTTTCAACTTCCTCATCAATGGCGTCCAGTACACTTCTCCTAGTATCCCCGTTCTACTGCAGTTACTGAGCGGTGCTATGACGGCTGCGGACCTGGCACCTAATGGAACCGTATATACTCTGCCGCGGAACAAGGTTATCGAGATTTCCTGGAATCCCGATAATGCCCCAGGCGGCCCTGTGCGTTCTTTTAGTATGCCATTGATTGACATGAGACTGACACTTTGACAGCATCCATTCCACCTCCATGGGGTATGTCTTAGCATGTCATATCCGTACATCCCGCGCACTAACAATAAATGGTTCACAGCACAGCTTCGCTGTTATCAGAAGCGCTGGAAGTAGCGGATATAACTATGTCGATCCCGTCATGCGCGATACCGTGACCACCGGCAACCCAGGTGATTATGTGACTATCCGCTTCATCACCGACAATCCTGGACCTTGGTTATTGCACTGGTAAGTTCCGCCGCCATGTCTCATTCGCTGGAAATGATATTTGGACTTTGTCAAGCCATATCGATTGGCATCTTTATGCGTGAGTTACTCCCTGTACTGAGCTTACAATTGGACTTGAATCGATATGCTCGCAGTGGATTGGCTTTAGTATTTGCAGAGGCTCCTGGAGATGTGACGGCTTGGCAGCCTTTCAATAGTGAGTAGCGAGCACTACAACTCGATCGTGTCTGAAACCCAGCGTTAGATGCTTCGAAGCAGCTCTGTCCGATATATAACAGCCTTCCCCAACAAAATTTCCCTCTCCCTCCGGTTAATTGATATCATTTTTCGCTTTATTATGAACGCCTCGTTTTACTCTGAAGAACACGAAACAGTGACTTACGTAGATGCAATTTACTATTGGCGATAGGCAGGGTACGGTTTTTTTAAAGAAAAAATAGAAATCCCTCTCACGTTTCCCGAGGTGCTCTTCTGCACTGCACAATTCCACGATCCAAACCGCGGGGAGAGCGGAACACGGAGCTTAATTAAGAGATACTGACTTTCACGACATCGAGGTACCGACGACATTGAACAAAGTTGCGGCCAGGCCGCGGGGTCTGTAATACTGATCACTATACGCAGTACCGCGGACGGGCATCAGGGTCTTTGTAATGGCGCCCTTTCATATTCTTATTCCCGTTGTGTTGGAAAGGGTGTATAAACAAGTGATACATACCTTCAAATATTGTTCAGACACCGTGGATGGATACTCATTTTCATGTGTGATTGACGAATGCTGTCTCAACTCTTTGTTAGAGTTTCACCAGCTTTCGTCAATCACACACATCAGTCCACTTGTTCATACTCGTATCCACCGGATAACGGTGCTTTCTCCTCCATCTGCACACTGTGTATGATTCTATAGGAAGAATGTCGCCGTGAATATTAACGAGATGACAAAAGCGACGTTCCATGCACCCAACTGTTCTTTCCTTTCCTCAGACGACCTGGTGATTTTGACATTGACTTGCCATCACGACCGAATCCTTTCCACAAGCTTCAAGCTCAAGCATCGACGTAAAGAAGGTGAAAGACGAGGATGTGTGTTTGAAACCGAGAGACGCACAAAATGAACCCAGTGGTGCACTGCCACTGTGCCTGGTTGCGATTGGGGATCAGTGTGTCCAACTTGGTATTGCCGCGAAGCGAACTGAAGCGAATCGAAGTGGAAATTAGATCCACTTCGGTACACTTCGATGTGGACGAAGTAAGTCGAAGTGCGCTTCGTTCCACTCCGCGAAGTCGGCAATAGGCGGGACAGTTGGCAGAAATAATAGATTGACCAAATGTAGCTATAGCCTTACGATATAATCTAAGAGACTAATACTAATATCAATCCTCATTCTTATTCGCGAATTGCTGAGTGCGTCGAGCTTGCTTGTTGCCCTTGTTTATGGCATTCATAGTCACATGTGCGACTCGAGGCTCATACAGCGGTTTTTACCATTGAAATATGATAGAGACAGGAGGCGCATAAAGGGCTTTGGACTTGTAGTGATAATGGTTGATCTATTTGATAACTTCGATTCACTTCGACGGCAACACTAGTCCAACTCAGACTGTCTTTCTTCTTTCAAGATCTGGCTCGGAGACTACACTGTTCTTGCCCCGACTCTCTAGTCTATTCAACATATGAAATATATAAGGCGAGTCACCACAAATCTATAGCTTGATATCTCCTACTAGTGACATCCCAACACGCACGTCTCGTACCTACAAGCACCAATTGAATCTCAGTACTAGGTCAGATCGTCACGCTCGACTCAGCACCTGCAATCTCCGCATCACGTCTTTGTCTTAATTGTTTTGCTCTGCCCACAAATGGCCCTTCTGGTTATCCACAATATACGCATAAACCTGTGTCCAATCGCGGCATACATGCGTCACACCCAAGCCGTCTGTGCCTGTCATCATTCCATCGGGGTCGACGAAGAGTGGGTCGAGGGTAGTATCAGCATTGCAAAGAATGGCCTGCCGCAAGAAGTTGAGGCAATGACCACTATGGTCATCGGGTCCGTTAATGAGGGCGAGCCGGATCATTTGCAGACAATGTATCTGGTGAAACATCGAGACACCAAACGCTCGCCCTTACAGAATTCGTGAATGGTGAGCATCTTGCATTGACGAAAATTGGGCGATAGTTATTTACCATTTGGTCCCAGGCGCACAAATCCGTGGCCTCGTGGAAAATGATCAAGTGAATTCCACTCCAACCAGGCCTTGGTTCCAGATGTACTGTAACGTTCCGTGCTGTTAAACGTCAACGCAACGGTGTCTAGGCGGAGGGGTAATTCGGTCGGATGATCGTCATCAATGTAAGCTGCATCAAATATATTGAGTGAGATTGAACTACTGTGGCTGTCAGTGAAGACGACAACGACATACTGTACTTCCCGTCATCGACCGATGTGTGTTGCAAGCGCAGGATGGTGAGGATGTTCAGTAAGATGCTAATGGCGAAAACACTAGGCCCAGATACGCGCAGTATTTCCGAGGACCGAAGTTTCAGGCTGTGAAGCATCGAGTCTGTCACTGAATGTGATCTGAAGACAGGAAGTTCAAGTCACTTATGTGTATGCTGTATAGTGCAGAATATAACTGTGACAAGTTATCAGAAAGTGAAACCACTAGTATTGGGAGCTATAGCTCGAGCCGTTTCTGGCAGGGCCACGTAAAACCGTTTGCTTTTGGCGCGTGTCCCTTAGTATTTAGTTGTAGGTAAGGTAACATGTTATCCCTCAGACTTGCTCGTTTCCTGCAAACCCCGAACCAACACCGCGGTATTCACACCGAAAGGACCTAGACTCTTATCGAAATTTGCCGAGTGTCCGTTCATTCGAAGTGGAGCTGATCACGGGGAAATTAATGATACAGGGCCCGGGGCATTCATTTCCGTTGTTCCCGCTCCGCCTTTCGGTGGTGGGTTTTGCGGTGTCACTTGTCGATCGTTTTTGCAGGGATTTTAAGTTGCATGGCTCCCCTTCCGAGAGTTACCTCATACAAGACATGTATAACTTCGCCCAATACAGCACATCATTGCTGGAGGCCCAGAGACAATTGGCTCAACCTTCGTGCCTGTCGTCCTCGGAAGCGATAAAAGGACAATCTCTGTTGCGACTGGTGATAATTATTATCCGCTTATCTTTCCATCGAACGCGGAAACGTTCATAGCAATGTTCGCCGTGCACATCGGGATGCTGCTGCGATCCCCGCGATGCCGAAAAGTAAGTCAAATATTTTTTGACATGTAGAGTGACCTCACTGCCGACCTCGATGGAGATCGTCATTACAACAAACGCGGAGAACCAGCCCGTGGAGCGGTCACGTGCATTCTGCATGATTTAGGGTAGGTGCGACAAGCGGGATAGTCGCTTGGGCGCACCAAGCGGACGACGTTGTCTGAGGTCATTGTTGCCGTTCGCAATGGCGCGCTGGCGAAAGGCGTAAATGACTTTATTTTTCTCCTCAAGCCTCTTTACTCTCTTGGAACACTTGCTGCGCCGACTTTTGCGACTTGTCGTGCCTTTTCGACTCGTTGAAAGTTAAGCGGTTCCATGTCAAAATAGAACTTCGGGATTTTACTGATAGGCTAATTGCCGCTACCTACCTTTAGATGGGGGGTACTTTTCGATCGTTTTGACGATCATTCATCATGGCCGGAAGGTTGCCTATTCGTACTTCCGTGGGATCGAATATCAACGTTAACTTCGAATTTGTCATAGTCTCTGAACGGAACGACTATCTTGATTCGTCTAGCTATGGTCTGTCTAAGGGAGACTAGTTTGTTTCCGTCTCTCAAGATTTCTTTGAGATGAGTCTTCTCCCTCTCTATCATATGATTCCCGAACGGTTCGAGCGCACCGTTCGTCTGACGTTCACAGCCATCGACCGGTCACCGCAAGTTTTGACGATCGATTTCCGTTCGCCGTCTACGTAATTGCACAACCGATATTGTGCTGTTCTATGTTCAATAATATTACATCGCAGTTCCTGGATGATATCGCTAGATTGCAGCACGTATTTCTTGTTCCCGAATCAGATGCATTATTTCGACCCTCGTTCTCGCGTTCTGTCGCACTTTTTGTCCCGAGGGTGCCATCCTTCTCTTTCATGATCTCTCAGGAGCTTGTGTGATTCAAATGTATCACGATTGTGCTTCATTTGCCCCTGCTTGTCGTCATATTACAAAAGAGTTCGCCACCGAGAGACGGTGGTGATATGGTTGATTGTGCGCTCGACATCATCTTGAAAAGTCGACAGGCAACTACATATGTGCTCTTTACGTATACAACTTGTGCAGGATCCGCTGTCCTTACGCGGACTACATAGACAGCTTGTACTAATATTGCTCCACAGCATCCTATTATATCGGCATCACCATGAATGACTATGAACTGTTGTCCAAGAGATCTGCATTCAAAGACTTACGAAAAGGCGAGTACTTAGTGGGCTCTGCCACGCACTGGCACGTGGCCTTGCACGACTTAGTATTAGTCATTGATTACGATGTAGTTCGCAACCAAAGCTATGTTACGTGACTTTGGTATGGTACTTCGATGGTCGACTGTGACATTAAAGTATGTATCTAGGTTATCGCTACCATTTTCTGCTGAACACCCAATCTATCCTATCTCCATCAGGTCGAAAGCTACACCGTGGATCAGTCTGTCACCCCAACCTGTAATATGTACAGCCGCACTCACCCAACGGAGGAGATGAGAATATTTGCTCGAATTCAAGTCTACAACCATCGCAGGCAACCTCGATGCTAAGCGCCGTTTTCTTACCACATGAGAACCGCGTTGGCAGCCGCGACTGCCAGCCATCTTCGAAATGCAGCTGCTCGATCTTCTCTTTCTCAGGAAGGAACGCGACAGTGCCCATCAGTGCGATTCGTTGAGGTCGCGTGTTCCAGCTGAGGCTCTTCATGCCCTCAACAGGAGTGGTAACATTCCAAATCTGGATTTCGGTGAGGGAGCCAGATGCGGTATAGGTCTTGTTGGCCGCAAGACCATTTTCGAGATTGGGAACGACGCTGTCGATGTAGCAAGAGGTAAATTTGGACCGACGTAGGTGCCACTGGTAGAACATCGAGTCCTGGAGCGACATAAACGACCGAATCGCTCCAGGTCACGAAGATCCACTTACATTCTCACTCAGGATAACGTGCGAGCCCGAAGTATACAACTGGTCAGGTAAGGCTTTGTTCGCCCGTACGATGGTGTTCGGGAAGTACATCTTTGGTGCTGGCCACACAGGTACATTCATGAGTCATGACACAGTGTCCATGATGACTGAAAGCACATACCCTTTTCCTGTTGCCGGGGCTCGTCGATAAATTCGAGACCTGGAAACTGGGTAGGCTGGCGCAACCCATGGGCATCACGCAACCCGGAAGCACTGGCGGAGGCGATATACACCGTGCATGCGCAAACAACCGCGAGCACGGAGAGTCCCAGTGCAGTCCAGGTGGGCCATTCGGATGGGGAATCTGCTGTACGGTGCTGAGAGATGACCTGTTTGCTGGGGAGGAGAATAGCGTCTTCAGAGTCTTCAGGTTGGTGCTCTAGGTCGTGCATTCGAAGAGGCGAATACGAAGCCATGAATGTGCGTGGTATATCTGAAAAGCAGTTGTTGAACCTCTTTTTGCTTGTCAGCGGCAAAGTACCCACCTAATGGCGATTTGTCAGATGCTGGTTGGCTCAAATTCCCTAGGGCGCAAAACCTACTATGCATGAAAGGTGCACTCTGAGTTGATAACTCGTAAGCATTTATCTTCATGCAGGGCTCACGGAATTTTGCATTTTCTGTCTATATGACAACACATCCAGTGAGGGCAAGTTTGATCCGCGCCTACTGAAATCTCCATTTTGATCGAACCAGAAATGGAGCCTCCGAGTCTTAGCACTATGACCCTACCACACCACTTCTGCCCTTGCCTGCTGTCCGACCTTCTTGCTGTGTTATGATCCATTGCAAAAACAGGTTACGAACGGAAGAATACTTTGCCTAAGCGATTGATACACAAGATGCGAACAAGCAGGTCGCGAACGGAAGAACACTTTGCCTAACTACATGATATGCAAAACAAAACGACCCAATATCGTAACGGCACTCGGCCGCGCCAGTCCCCGACCCCTATGGGTAGCGATACCTTTCCCTAACACATGATTTGCAAAACGAAACGATACCACACGAAGGTTTCTACGAATTGGTCTGTGAACTGGGTCTGAAATCCAGCTCCCCCAAAGATATAAAGGCTCCACCCTCTGTTTCGATTCTACAGTCAACACCCCAAGTAACGCACTCTTACCAATCCAGACACCATGAAGCTCGCTTTATCTTCTGTTTTTATTGCTATTGCTTTGGTACAAATCACGACGGCAGCACCCCTCGTCGACAAACGTGCGGAGAGGGAGCTCGAAGGTATGTTTCGACGTGTCTTGTAGTATTCGCATTCTCTAACTGGATATACATCCAGCTCGTGACGTCAAGGGTTGTAGGTCGAGTTCTAACGTGCCCAGAGTAATATCTCAGTGACACTTTCTCATTAGATGTACTTGCCGATGACTACTCTTTTGTCGAAGGTAATTTTCCAGTCCTGACTTTGCTGCCGAGCGTTATATTCACGTCGATTACAACACAGTCATCGAGAAGCGCGCGGAGAACCTCCAAGGTATGTTTTCGACGTGTTTTGTAGTATTCGCATCCTCTAACTAGATATACATCCAGCTCGTGACCGCAAGGGTTGTAGGTCGAGTTCTAACGTGCCCATAATAATATCTCAATGATACTGTCTCATTAGATGAGATTGTCGATGAATACTCTTTTGTCGAAGGTAATTTTCCAGTACTGACTTACCGCCGAGCGTTATATTCACTTCGATTACAATGCAGTCGTCGAGAAGCGCGCGGAGAACCTCGAAGGTATGTTTCGACGTGTCTTGTAGTATTCCCATTCTCTAACTAGATATAAATCCAGCTCGTGACCGCAAGGGTTGTAAGTCGAGTTCTAACGTGCCCATAATATCTCAATGATACTGTCTCATAGATGAGATTTGTCGATGAATAATCTATTGTTGAAGGTAATTCTCTAGTGCTGCCCTTGTTTTTGAGTGCTATGTTCACCTGGTTGCTAACGTAGATGTCGACAAGCGCTCCCCCAACCCGGATGCTGAAGGTAATTCTCTATTGTTAACCTTATTTTCGGATGCTCTATTCACCCTGTTCAATTACAGATGTTTGATGTCGACTCTCCGCTATTTTTAAATGATTCTCGCTGCTAGCATAAGGTCAAAACCTTGTGTTTGTGGACCCTGGAAGCTAGTGAAGTTTGACTTGCCTTAGTACAAATTAGTCTAGTTTACGCGTTTATCAGTTGTTATCACTATCACCTGCGCTCGTCTGATCATGAAGGCCATGTCCGTTTCTCCCTGACTTCCGCTAAGTATTGAGTCAAGCCATGCACATACCCGCCCTTCCGGGAATGCCTCCCAATTGGTTTTATCTTGTCTTCTCGATTTGCCTGGTCTCGAGAATACCATGCTCCACTAATTCAGCCATCGATTACCTTTGTTTCCCTGTACATTCAGGCGCCACCCCGCTGGTGTCCGAACCTCCGCACGCCAGAACAACATGTGGGAACCGGTTTAGCCCGCGCGGCCTGGTGTCTGGCCCAAATGCCATTATAGAGAACGGTTCGAGTCAATTCTACAGATTTGGTTGGAAGCAACGCCGTAGATCCTGCGTGGGCTTGGTTGCAGTAGCTGTGGGACCGTCACAGTTGGCTGACGAACGAGAAAGTAGTGTCGACGATTTGTTTCGTCCGAGGGTAGATGTCCGTTGCGTAGTATGTAGTCTGGTTCCTTTCAGGACTATGCTTACAGAGGTTATTTTATTGGGAGTGTCGGCTAGACTTAAGGTGACTCGGATTACCTGCATCGAGATGCCGCTCACGAACCATGATCGAATGCTGATGTGTGAAGAAACTCAGACATGTAAGTAAGTGAGCCAGTACGAACACGTATCCAGAAATGAGGGTGGTATCGAAGCAAAGTACACAGAGAGGAAATGCTTGATAGAGTGATGGTCAGGAAGTAGCAGGCTGAGCGGCGGAGACAACGCGCCGAGGGCGATGAGGGATGCACCAGAATGCGAGGCAAAAGTTTGCCCCGATAGCCAGTCTTCTTGCGTAGGGTGTTGTATCACCGTCCGTGTGACGAGGCCTGTTGCTGCGGCCGTCGAGTGTGGTTGTGCTGCAGAAGCCAGCTGAACTTCCAATGAGGATTGCCTGACCAGTATGAGCATTAGTGCTCATAGGGGGAGGCGCTACCCAGGCCCCGATTATGTATACGAACCAGGGACACCTGATACACTACTTAGGTGTTTTTTTTTCTTCCAGCGAAGGATGTTACGGTCTTTGCTCCTGTGTATCGCACGAAGAAACTGCGCTTGGGGTGTTGTTGTAAGACACGGGATAAGATAACTACGAGTGCTTATCTTTAGTACTGCTACCCTTTGCATGAAAAAAACAATTACCCGAAAAAAGGTGGCCACGTTCGTTCTTGTGGCGAGTTTGTCCACGAAGGACTCGAAACGCTCGACGGAGGAAGGAGTGATCAAGGTTGTTTTTTTCTTCCACGAGCGACTGGGTTTGACAGGTGAAATGAAGGACATGTTATCGTGGGTGGCACTTCGACATAACAGTGTGCACGGTCCAGGGAGGGAGAACTTGAGGAAATACAGCAGAATCTGCATTTGAACTCTGCGAAGGGTGTTATGACGCGCACAGAAGCGAGATAATGAGCACTTACTCACTAGGGTACGGACGAAAATTGGGTTGTTAATAACACTGCTAATAAAAGCATGTTCATAACAGACACACGGTCATGGGGGGTTACAAGGTGCTAATAAGTCTGCCGACCCCCATAGACTTGGTGACCTGCCTGACCTTCCGCCGTTCTCGCAGATCATTACAAGATCATTAACCCAAAAGTTTGCAATGCAAATCCTGCAGAGAAGCTGTCGTCTGACTTGGGACTCAGGAGTCTCGCAATGAAGTTTCGACTATTTCCTCTCTTTTCCATCAGTCGAACATTCGAAAATGGCCAATGCTAAAGGCTCAGACAATATTCTTGCATAGACGGCACCCGGATATTTCGTCGGCAATCCGACTCCATCATTTCCACACCCAAAAAATCAGCAAGCTCGTCGAAGCTACGAGCCCACTGGCAGCTATTTGTCCGTGGACACGGAAGAGCAGGAAGAAATACTTGAAGATGAAGAAGATACTTGGCTCGATGAGAAGCTAGTCTCTAAGCCAGCCGAGGATCCGGCCTTCGACATTGAGGTGGATGTGAACCTTCACGTGCCAATTGTTAAGGAAAGTCCTAGTAATGACCCGGGTAGCACTCAAGGCGACACTACAGAGGAGGATGATGCTGAGTTGGAAGGCATGGACACTGACTGGGATAGCTTGTGCATCACCAAAAGTCCCAAACCTAGATCTACTCAGATATGGAAAGTGCAGGTAAGCACTAGTTGCAGCACCAAGGAACAGGTGCATCCGGTTGGTCAGGTACCAACAGCTCAAAATCATCCAGATATTGACATCTCCGAAAGCTCACTGGACGTTCATTGTGCTGTCATACTGCCAAGTATCTTATCATATGCTGGTTGTATCTAAGTCCTGCCAAGCTGTTGTCATCTAGACATTGTAAGATCGTGAGACTGGTTTTAATGCTCAATACCAGTTATCTGCCAGACATCCTGTCATATGCTGGCTGCATCTAAGTCCTGGACTCCTGCCATACTGCCTTCATTCAGATATTGTGACATCATACAAGTAGTTTGCTGCTCAGTGCTCAACTACTACAGTCAGACTGCTGAATGTGTGATCATATGCTGGTTATGCTCTGATATCCTGCTGATGCATGATCAGACCAATCATAAAATATATACACATATCATTCTGATAGTACAGTTTCTGAGCGTGGATACATGGCAGCCGAAAGTATGAAATAAAGAATCAAGATGGGGGCTGAACGTATGAATGATACAAAAACTTCAAATGAGGAGATCAAAGGCGTATATGGCACTGCCTAGGAAAAAATGGTGCGCATGAACCCTACTAAGGAGCACATCAGTCTAAAGCAGAAATGTTGTTTAATCAAACTCAGAGAATGCACCCATGAATGAGAATTACTTTCTGCCCTTCAAGCTGCAAGTCTTCTTGGAGGCAGCAGTAGTCTTACCGACATTCCTGGCATGTTTGGGTGGACTTAGAGCAGGCACCTCTGTCTCATCTTCAGTGAGAGGACTGTCATCTTCAATTCTGTCTAGCCTTTGCTTGCCGGACCCCATTTCTGAGGCTGTAGATGGGAAGTTGGGCGTCATACTAGGAACAGGTGATGGCAGAGACCCAACAGGTGAGACTGGTGCGCTGGCAGCCTGGGGTTGTTGTGTAGTGGGGTCAGTTAGGGCCTCAGCAGCAGCTGCAGCCTCAGGCGATATTGTCTGGGCATTGAAGCTAGTTAGTTAAGAATGTTGTAGAGTAATGTATTCAACACACCTTATGATGTGTAGTTGCCATACACATGTCGTGCTGTTTTCTCATTAAGGCAAGGTCGTTGTCATTGTCAACATCATCATCACTCAAATCAACAGCGACAAGGCCCCTCTTGTGACCAAAAACCACCCTTGATAGAATTAGCACACCAGATCAATGTAAGATGGAGCAAGGATACTCAACTTGTTCCATCATTCAAGTAGCGACACTGCCCACATTTGATCTGGTGCATCTTGGATTGCTTTGATGAGTCAGGTATATGCCTCAGGATAGCAATACATGCTGTCAGTCTCTACCCATTTATTACGCGTGGCAATACTGAAGCGACTCTACAACATCTGTTAGATAGTGGTATAAATAAATTTTATTGCAGCACGCACCTGGATGAATGCATATGCAATATGCTCAGCCTTGACCTTCTCCATGCCATGTAATTTGGCATTACCTGAGTGGATCATGTTCGCATCTCCATCAGGGAGGAGTGCAGATGATGGGGAAGTGAATATGTGACAGAAAATCTAGATACATGAGACTTTACTGACAAGAGAAGAGGAGATACTCATGTGCTTCAAATAATAACCTTGTAAAAATCCTTCTTGAACATTGTCTGGGTCAAAATCTGTGCCGGGTGGATCACCTGCATATGCAAATGCAGGCCATGCAGCCGTCTGCATCTTGATCACTGTGTTCTGTAGTTGGGCTTGTACTCTAAAAGTCACCGATGAGATGGTTGGGTATTTTGAAGAACATGCACGTACTTTTTTGGATCTTCATGAAATGCTTTGACATGCTTGATAGGACACAGCAGTGCTGCAAGTTGGGGGTGATTAATGCCAAGTTTAGCACGAGATTTGTTGTCAGTAAAAATTGTAGGGCTCAGCCCCTCATCTGTAGGCCTTGGGGTGGCATACTGTCCAATGCAAGTTTTCAGATGACTGGTATCATCTGACCATACCTGACTCATAATGCCCTGCATCTTCAAGTTCTTGGAGCTCAAACGTAAGGTGAAGTGCATTTATGTAAAGGCTAACCTCGGTCAGGACATCCAGTAGCTTGGACTGTTGTTTGACGCTTCCATATGCAAGTTTGTGCAGGTATGGTGCTCCTGCTAAGATCTTTGTAAAGTTCCTCATATGCCGTTCTTGGGAATCTTTGCTTCTGTAAAGGCAATGTTATCTAGCAGCTAAAGACAATGAAACAAAATGAAGCACTTACATCAGAAACAAGACTTCCTTCCTCTGTGCCTTGACCAATTCATCCTCTGGTTTATCTGACACCTAGGCAGCCTGGTCCTCTTCCATCAACATGGCAATGCGGAATGTATCATTCAGGATGCAGAACATGTCAACAGCCTGAGGAATCCAATGTGCAAAATGCAAGCACTGTTCCCATGGAGCAATATTGCCTTTTCTATTGTATAAGGTGAGCTATAATGCGGCATTGCACTATTGAGTATCAAGTTGGCGTACCTTTTATTATTTACCGCCACCCTATCAGTTCAATGGATCAGGTCAGTTTCCTCATGTTATTGTAAAGCCTAAGCATCACAGTATGCTTACTTGATGTGCTTCTTGGTGCCCTTTTTCAATGTAGCCTTAGGGTTTGGAATTAGAGATGATAAGGCGGTTCCATCTGATATACTAGAGGCTGACTGGGATGTGGAATTGCTGTCTGACTCCAATAGCATTGCTGGTGATTTGGCTGGCAGGCCAGAAACTTTCTGATGCGGCATGAATGAAAGGGGAAGAAACTCAAACTCAAATGTGTGGCTCACTTGTTGCCCAAGGCAAGATTGCCATTCCTTCAATGGCGTCATATAGCTCAGGAAAGGGATAGCTTGGATTATAGAGCATCTGAGACATACATCTGACTACTGTGGGAGTATAGCCTGACTCAAAGTGCCTGTAAATAATAATACTTTGGGGGCAACTTGGCCCAGGCCAGTACCCCCAATGGTGTTCCTGAAGCTAGGTTAGAACTAGAGTAATACAATAATCTGGATCATTATCTTGATGTACAAAAGTGTGGAGTAACTAGTTGCTAGTTATAAGTCTGGTCCTGAAGTTTAGTCAACAGGCCCATACAGACAAGGCCTGTAGCGCTTGGTTGATCAGGAGGCTTTAGATTTATGAGATCTGCCCAGAGTTCAACATTATACAATTCAACATCAAGAAGATAAATACCCATAATCCACCGCTGCTAGTACAGTTGAACTTTGGAGGACCCAAGAAACATGTCATTCGACCATCCCTCTGTTCAGTTTGAGTTTGAGGCTCTCAGCACAAGCCAAGAGGACAATGGCTCGAGTAGCACCATTCCAGAAAGCCACAAAGACGAGTGCGTTGAATATCAATCACATGGGCAAGGTGCCCCCTCATATTCCTGTGGACATTATAAGTATGGCAGAAGTGAAGGGTTCAAACACTCCCAACCTTCACAGCCAGACCTAGAGACTTCAGACAAACTACCGGAGCAGGTAAGTCATCTGCTGCTGATTATACATTATACCTAGTTATTCTGATGGTCCAAACTGTAGGAATTGGAAGCCAGTCAGGGCCAGGACAAAGGCTTTGAAAATGCTGATAAGTTACCATCTCATCCAAAGCAAAAGAGATCTGACTCAAATGATGTGTGTGAGCCCAGTTTAGTTTTGTCAATGTCAGTCTTTTGAATTTCATGCTCACGCTTCATGTAGACACTGCACAACTTTGGCAAGGACCTGATCAATGTATGGGCAGCATTAATGCCAGCTATGGAAGTGCTGTGGAAGTGTAGGAAGCTAGGACAAGAATCCAAGTTTGACTGTCGGGAATCACTGGCATTAGCCAAGGTTGCAGGCGATGTAGCAGTCATGCTTGAAGCTGTGAATGTGATTTGAGAGGCTGTTGATAGGCAGAGCAGAATTCTTTTGGAGGTCTGCAATGCTATTGAGAACCATGGGATGTGAACATTGTGTTGTACTTGATACAACAGTGTAATAGTAACAATAGGTGCCGGCCCTTTCAGATAGTACATATGCTGAGACAAGGAGATGTGAATGAAATGTATACAAAGGGAGAACAATGATACCTTTGAGACTCTAGTCTGAGTCTGAGTCCCAGTCACTAGAATCCAACTCTGTGTCAGTTCCTCTCAAACCTCCGGCGAACTTGAGCACCCAACCAGGCTCTTTGTTTTCCAAGACTTGGAATGAGGAGTGAGGGAAGAACCAAACATTAGATACTCATCCTGGTGTAATGCCGTCTTCAGTAATACCAGGGAGTGGCTTCCACGGTCCTATCCCATGGTGGAGGGCTCCACCCATGAGGATTATGACATCCCCAGGACAGTATCTAGAAAGAATGAGCCCAATAAGCTGTACAAAGTGAAAGGCTTACTTGAGTTTGAGCTTGAGATTGGTGATGTAACATTCTCCGCCTGTAAATTTACCCATGTTGAAGATGATAGATGGACCCGCATCTAAGCCATCCTGATGGGGCATGACTTGTAGTTTCCACACCAGGACTCTTCCAAGGAGGGGCCCTGGATCAGTTACTGTCCAATGGCCAGTGAGAAAGGCAGCTTCATATTTGGCATAGAATGCTGGAAATTGTTACAAACTCAGTTGGTTCTGTGCTAGATACCCGCAAGGAGTACCGATCTAGTGCAATGGTCGTCTTTTGTTTATAAGACTACCCAGACAGAGAGTAAGAAGGTAGAGTAAGAAGTAGATTGATAGAAGCGATGAGGCTTGCTATCTAGCTATCATGCTTTCCCTCTGTCTTGAGGTTTCAGAAGTGATACTGAGTAGATTCAAGTTAAGGACTACTACAGCGTATGGAGTCCTTTATATACGAAAACAGAGGTACTGTTTGAACAGTAAGGGTCAAGGGTAATACCGACAATGCGGTAAGGGCATAGGGTATGAGTCAGAGATAATGGGTAAACCATACAAGTGGTGCAAGAATGATAAGCCAGTACAGATAAGCCGAAAGAACGGTTAGATGGAAGTTGCTTTGACGACGGATAGTGTTGGTAATTGATAGGAGTAAATGAATAAGCAGGTTTGAGAAGCTTATGTAAGTCTCTGTAACAGAAATGATACCTGGAACATTTCTCCCAACAGAATAGCCAACTCCTGGGTGTCCTCAAAATATGCATGGACGTGTAGGGCCCCATGAGTGTTAGAGACCATGTCGGCTGAGGGATGAAGGCCATGCTAGAAAATGCATAAGTAACATAGAGGCAGGATAGATTGCACTCACAATGATAGGATCATGGGCCTGATCTGGCCATGCATGTACTAGGTGTCTGGCACCAGTACACTTGGATGCAACAGTATGGTCTTCATAGACATATTCAGTACCTGCATAGATAAAGCTCCTATGTATGCCATCTTCATGTGGGTCTTCCGAGTCCTGAGCACTGTCAACCTTAATGTATTGCAGGAGATGGTCTTCCTGGCAATGGCGTCCATCCTGGGGGCTTTTATGGATGCCTATGTGGTGGAGGAGGGTTTGTACAGCCACCATGGCCTTGGCAAGCACTGCTATCCTATCCTCTGCAGTAAGTTGCCTGTTATCTAACAGAATTACTGAAAACTCACCTGGATACCATCAAAGTATACCTTTTCGCCCTCTTCAGCTGCCCGATCTAAATCGTCAGAGGATCTCCCCATAGACAAGGGAGTGTTGGGCCCAGGAGCATAGTAATTGTAAGCAAAGGGGCCCTGTAAGATTGGTGATTAAATCTATAAGTCATACCAATATTTCTTGCTGACATCGACTCACCAATTTTGGAGCAGGCCCAGCACACCTTCAGGCAAAATAAGCCACCAAGGGCTGATCATGTTCATCAAGGAACATTCCCGAAGCTCCATCGCTTTCCCAGGTAGACATCTCTCGCATAGTACGTTGAGCTGTGTCCTTGGCCATATTCTTGGGGCCCTCTATGAAGTCTTGGAGCCAGACACCCTTCATATGATAGGTGGGAGTGTTGTCTTTCCAACATTTTGCATCATATGCAGCGTCTCAGCGGAACCGTTTGGCCCATTGATTGTTGGAGAGAGTTCGGTGATGGATGGCTGGGTCTAGGAGGCAGGGATCTGGGCAAGGGATGCCAGTAGTTTTATTCAATAAGGTCTTGTCTTTGCTGGTAAGCTTGGAGGCTGCCTGCAACACCAATATGGGGTCCGTTACAACTGTGGTGGACATGGTAGGGTGTAGGGAGGAGAAATGATCGGCAACGTGAATGTCTCTATGCTGGAATATGATAAACTTATGGAGTGAAACGGCAGGTACTTGATCCATACGGCAGCAAATGAAAATGCCAGTGCCAATAACTTGGCTACAGCACTACACACTGTTACATATCAGACACACGCTGCTCATCAGTTGTCACATTGCACTGCAATTTGCAACTAGTTGAGGAAATGTATTGGGAATGTAAGATATTATTGTGCTATCATCAACAGAAAAGTGCAGGAATAAGACTACCGCCACACGTCATCAAGGGCTGTGATACCAGACATAGGCATCCCTGCATTAAATGCAGTCACAGATACATAGCTCTGCCGTGGCATTAAGTCAACAGTGCTGGTCAGCATTCCGTCATTACACAAGGTCATGTGCTTTGTAGCCATAGCGACAAAACTGTCTCCAAAATTCTTGATTGCTGTTGTGAGGGTACCATAAGTCAGAGTTGAGGAGCTGTAGGTCCCTGGTACAATGCTTAAGTCTAACGGCTGGAAGAAAGGGACAGAGACATTGGTAACTGTCGGGGAGCCTGCGGGTTTACCCACAGGAACCGAGAACTCTACTTGTACCTGTAGTATACCTGTACCTGTATACCCAAGGGTACCAGCAGGTGTGGGTCTTTTGACAGGTGTGGTGATGGGTAAAGGCCAAGGTAACAACCACCAAGTAGCACAAGAGTGCAGGGGGAAGTGCTGGGAAGGTACAGGAGATCAGCGTGCACAGCAGGAGGCCAAGATTGAGCATGGTGGGAAGAGGGAAGAGGGAAGAGAGAGACTGCGACAAGTCATGGCAGCAGTGCCACGTCAGCAGGAGCTTGAGAAAGGTTGTGGTCAGGCATGTGGGGCAGAACCAGGTTAGCAAAAGGGTGCTGAATGGTCACGGTTGGATTTTGCTGGGCAGCAGGAGGTTACAGGAGGTTGCCCTTTTGCATGGGGGCTTGAACGTGCAGAGACAAGCTAGACTGAGCAGAAACAAGCAAAAACAACCAAGAACAGCTGAAAACAAGTAAAAACAAGCAAGAACAAGTGGAAAAGTATGCACCTAGATCAGAGACACAGATGCAGATGCACTACCTGTGACCCACAGCGGGTTACCCATACCTGTGCCAACGCCTACCTGCTGTAGGTTTGCTTCAGCAGCAATGAAGTTGGCAATATGGGTATGTGAAGTGGTGTCTTGCCTGGAGGTGTACTGATCAACAGTGCAGCAGGATTGAATGTGAATGATGGAACACGCCTTGAAGGGTGATGAGCTGTGGGCACACCAGATCTCACACAGATCTCAATTCACACCACAGCTCAAGTGCTCGTCCTCAAGGACTTGAAGTGATGAAGACGGTTGCAGGTTGCAGACCATTGTAGTGTAATGTTCAAGTTCAAGTGAGAACTTGAACATTGAAAGGTCATGTGATCATGTGATGGTTGGTGTTGTTCCCACTCTTTTGTCTTTGAACTTGAACATTACACTACAACGGTCTGCAACCTGCAACTGTCTTCATCACTTCAAGTCCTTGAGGACGAGCGCTTAAGCTGTGGTGCGAATTGAGATCTGTGTGAGTCTCTGCGCTTGGCTGCCAGACCTGTGTGAGATCTGGTGTGCCCACAGCTCATCACCCTTCAAGGCATGTTCCATCATTCATATTCAATCCTGCTGCACTGTTGATCAGTACACCTCCAGGCAAGTGGGGAGCTCTGGTGTCACCTCCCACAGGGAGCTCTGATGGCCACCTTCCATTAGGTCCATTTCTTCTTCTTCTTCTTCTTCTTCTTCTTCTTCTTCTTCTTCTTCTTCTTCTTCTTCTTCTTCTTCTTCTTCTTCTTCTTCTTCTTCTCTCTTCATGTATCTACACACTTCTCACTCACACCAGTTTTTCCCGCACTTGTGCCGCACGTCAACAATGTCTTGCATTTGCTGCAGCGCCTAACTCTACACCTCAACACTACAGTACTCTTGTCCCACCCACTGCACCTACTCACTCTGCACTCTCCCCATGTCCCACCAGCACTCAGTACCTCTTGCCACCATTGCACGCAGACTGCGTGTTTCTCATGCTAGTGCCTGTACTTAGTGCCAGCCACTTCAGCACCTTGGCACCCATGCTGCAACTTGCATGCACCACACGCGTTTAGCTGCCCGTACCCCATGCCTTCACACACTGCCACACCTTTGCACCAACATATGCCACCATACACTGATGCTCCCTCACCTGTGCCCCCGCTTTTCACCACCATTCAAACACTTTGCCAGGCCACATCACCAGTGCCAATACCATCACTTACTCCATCTGCAGCCCAACCTCATACCTATGCTGTATCACTCTCACACACCTTGTACCGTCTGCAACCCAGCCTCTACCCACTTGTCCCAATAATGCAATCACCCTCGAATGTCCACCACAATGACAACTGAACGCAAGGAAGGTAGACGATTAGAGGCTTGGGGCAGAAAGGTTTTCCTTGGTTCATCTATCCTTGACCTTTGCCTATCACCCCATCTTCTTTCTCATTGTATGCTACCCGTCTTGTTTCACCCTGTTCCACATTTCCCATCTATGTTTCTATGTTCCACCTCATGATACACTATTTGACACATTTTTCACCTACTGTGCACTACACCCTCTATATACCCCTGAGCCATGAAAAAAATGCATAAAATACATTTGAAGGACACATTTATTGATGTCATCTGTTTTGATCTGGCCCAAAATAGATGCTTGAATCACGACTCTTCTGCCTGAGTTGTTGTCCCACCTCTCCAATTGTATTGCTCCTGTACTTCTCCAATCAAGATGGAGCATCTTTGCCTTGTATGTAGAAGGACCTTCCCCACACAAAGATCACTCTCTGGTCATATTGCCCACTGCTTGCAGCTTAATCAAGCTCTCAAGCTCTCTGACATGTTACATTGTACCAGAAAACGGCACACATCTGAAAATGCAGCTAAGGAATCAAAACGGGCTCGGGTTGATGAGGAGGTAGAAAGGGATGATGAAGTGTGGGCAACAGATCATGGTGGGATGGAGGCAGACGGTGATATAGACGTTAACCAGGTATGTTTTGTCTGAATTGTTCGAGCAGCAACTTACAGTACATTTCAACCAGTTTGAGGATGTTGCAGGTCTGCCAAACATTTCACGGCCACATTCCCCTCTGCCTCCAGCTCCTACTGTCACTTCAAAACATTCTGGACACACTATCCGCATGCCACATCAATTCATCAACTATCTTCCAGACACACCTACATACCTCGCACACATGCCTCCAACCATCCAACAGCAATGTGCAGGCATTTTGAGTGACAGGAATACAGCCTCAGGTCACAGTGCTATGGCGCCATCATCCCAACCCTTACCACTGCCCCCTAATCTACCTGATCCTCCACCCCTGCTCACCCCCTTTGAAATACAACCAGATACATTCAGTCTGTATAGCATATACCCAACTCGTCCCACTCTAGCCCCAGAGGCTGATCACACACTGGAGGGTGTGACAGATGCTCCCACACTAGAGGGGTTACGTGCTACCCTTCCCAAAGTGCGCCTGGGAGTCTCTATGGAAATCAGTGATGATGATCTGTTTGGAGCATTCACAAACCCACCGTCAGCCCTACTGATGACTTGGCACTATTCTGGCAGTAATGCTAGTTCAGCAGCTGGACTCAATCATCTGGCTGAGTTTCTTTGCAACCCTCGTTTCAACTCAGCTGACTTAGTTGGGTTCAGTCATGCACGAGAGATCAAACGACTCGATGACTACCTCAAGCATAAATCAAATCCCTTCTGCGAAGAGTATGGGTGGCAGCAGTCAACTGTCAAAATTCGCTTATCCAATGAGAGGGCCAAGTTTCCCTCAGAGAATGACGCCCCCCAACTTGAGATCCCTGGCATTTACCATCACTCTCTCACAGATATGATCACTCAAACATTTGAGGATGACATATCCACTAGCTTCAATATGACTCCATTCCACCAGTACTGGAATGCGCCAGATAATCAAACTCTGGAAGTCTTCTCTGAATCCTACACCTCTCCTGAAATGATAAAAGCTTATGAAGAAGTGAATGCCATCCCATGAGATCCTGGTGATGACCTTGAGCACGTTGTTGCCTCGCTAATGGTCTGGTCTGATGCCACTCACTTGGCAAGCTTTGGCGATGCATCCCTTTGGCCCTTCTATCTATTCTTCAGCAATCAGTCCAAATATACATGGGGGGCCTACTGCTCATGCATGCCATCACTTGGTGTACATTCCCAACGTCTGTACACATTACTTTATAAACTCACTTTACTAATTATTTGCAGCTTCTAGATGATTTACAGGAGATCTATATTGATATATTCGGTGAACCAACCTCAAGCAGCACCTATACACACCTCAAATGTGAATTGATTCATGCCATCTGGGAGTTAATTCTTGATGGAAAGTTCATGGAAGCATACAAGCATGGCATTGTAATTTGCTGCAGTGATGGGATTACACAAAGAGTATTCCCCTGGTTTTTCTCATATTCTGCAGATTATCCTGAAAAGTTAGTCCATCCCAACACGCTGGTCAACTGAAATTGATTAATTACTCAGGATACTGCTAGCCAGCATCAAATTCTTGGGGCAGTGTTCATGCCCCCGGTGTCTTGTTAAGAAGTCAGACATTCACATGATGGGAATGATGCTAGACATGAGGCGGCAGGTCACACGGGAGTGTATTGATGACCTGCGACATCAACAGCGAGTGGAAAATGCTCACAAATTGATCTTCCAACTTGGAGCTCCAGTAGATGGCAGTCGTGTCAAGGCAATTCTCAATGAGGAATCATACGTGCCAATTCATGTAAGCATTGTTCCACAACCATCTATTTTACACTCACACTGACCTTGAACATTAGAACACATTTTCTCAACGATTACTCAACTACGGTATCAACATGTTTGCGCTGTTTGTGGTTGATCAACTACACGAGTTTGAGATTGGTGCTTGGAAAGCTATTTTCACGCATCTGATGTGAATCTTGCATGCAGCTGGGGGAACTGCAGTACAGAGGCTGAATGAGTGGTAAGTCATGTATTTTTGATATGCTGCATCTGTTTCCCTGTGTCCATTATTCATATACTAACAACCTAATCAGATACAGAATGGTCCCTACCTTTGGTAGAGGCACAGTTCGCTGTTTTCACTATAACACTTCATCTATGAAAAAATTGGCTGCCTGTGATTTTGAGGATCTCCTACAGGTAAGCACTAGGCTATACGATCTGTATCACATATTATTTAAATTTTTGTGTCAGTGCGCTATTCCAGCATTTGAGAACTTATTGCCTGAGCCTCACAACGCCATCATTCTGGACCTCCTTTTCAACTTAGCATCATGGCAATGGGTATGCAAAGCTTTGAATGCATACCACTGACACGCTAGCTCTGTTTAACACTGCCACTGCCGTCCTTGGTCAATCAGTTTGAAAATTCTACAAGACAACATGTGATCACTATCACACAACAGAGCTCCCTCACAAGCATGCAGCATGAGGACATCGAGAGGTTGCATTAGCTGCAAAACAACAAGGAACATCTACAACTCCGAGTCAGAAGAGTTCAGCTGGACCCAAGCACAAGTCCCTTAACCTCTCAACTTACAAGTTTCATGCGCTTGGCGACTATGCTGACACAATTAAGTGGATGGGCACAATAGATAATTATTCTACACAGCCGGTACATTTCATTTTGATATTGATAGTGCTATTGCTCACCTACAATTATATCTCTCCTTAGGGAGAACTTGAACATTGGCATGTCAAACGATGGTATCCAAGGACACCAAAAAAACAAGAAGACAATGGTTGCAATGATGACTCACATTGAAGCCTGTGAGCGACTCATCGCAAAGGTACTTGAACAATGTAAAAAGACCCATGGGTCCTTGATACAGCAAGAGGGGCATGAGCAGCGTACATCACCCTCAGCACACTACCACATATCAAAATATGCCAAGTGCTCATATGATATATTTGCATGGCTTGGCAAGCTTGACAATGATGCGGCAATTGACGTGAGTATTTCACCTATCACACCCTTACTTTGTATCCATTGATGTGATGTCACAGAACTTCATTCCACACCTTAAAGATCACTTGCTGGCACAGCTCTGCAGCTTGGATTACTCTGGTTATGAGCACAGTTTCTCTGATGACGACAGGAATCAGGTCACCTTCACCAATAACCAACTCCACGAGCACAGTGTACTACGTGTCAACTACACAACATACGAAGAGAACAGGACTCAATCAACCCTCAAACACATGCTGACATCATGATGCTGTCACACAAGGACAATGATGACCGACATCCTTACTGGTATGCCTGTGTAATCAAGATTTTCTACCTTGATGTTTGGTATGATGGCCAGGGTGCTATGCAGGCACCAACCTGTATGCATGTGCTTTTTGTACACTGGTTCGGGTGCAACATTGATTTCAAAGCTGGGTGGTCAGCAAAGCGACTCCACCGCATCGGTTTTTTCAAGCAGGATGACCCTGAAGGTTTTGGTTTCATAGATCCTGACCATGTCATTCATGGTGTACATTTAATTCCTGGATATCAACATGGACGCACTGACACTCGACTTGGGCCTTCATTTGTGCATCCTGCAGAAGATGACAATAAAGATTTCTCATGTTTCTATGTGAATCAGTACATGTTTACTATCCATTGGTATTGCTATTCTAATCTATCTATGTACTAGTTTTGTAGATCATGATATGTTCATGCGCTTTTGAGGTGGTGGTGTTGGCCACAAAGTAATGCAGGAGTGGGATGAATTTTTGAGGAATGATGGCACTGCAGCATCACAGGATGAAGAAGTCATTGAGCTCAGAGAGGTTGTGTCACGAATTCCTAATACGAACCATTTTTCATTTCTCGGTTTTCCTTCGGCTACTTCCAGTACCCGAGCCGGTCATGTGACTCCTCGTCATATGTCACCCGTTGCTTCTCCGATTGGCTCCCCTACTCCACAGGCTAGAACAATCTCGCTTCCTAAAGAAGAACCGGTCGGATCTTGGGTTTCTATTTAGTAACCGTCTTACTCAGTCGCTTATATATCATGATGTCATACTTACTCATCTGCAGTATCGTACAACTCTTTTCTCATTGGCTGATTTCTTTCAGACTCCTACTCAATGTTATGTATAAAAGTAGGGTAGTTAGCGTAAGAGCTCCTTAGACTTAACCTCTTCGTTTCTACTGTTGTAGTGACCTAGACGTTCAACGCTCAATCTATCCTGTTGCTCATCATCATCTCTGACCGAGTCCTAGTGGTTGTGTACTCACCTTCAACATTATTGTTGGATGTCGGTCATAACAGGTTGTGGATGAAGTTGTGGATGACAATGACAGTGAGGGGAGTGCTTCTGAAGATCTGGGTGATGAGGGGAATCCTGTTCAAGTTGGGGCTGATGGGGAGGACAATGAATTTCTTGCACAAGAGGGGTACAGTGCCTTATAATTGAGTGATGGTTGTCTATACTTTTGTTTTCTCATTGTAGATGTACTATCCTTGACACAAACTACCCAGTAGACCTGTCCAACAGTGGAGTTCAGGCCCAGGAACTTGAAGCAGGGGAGGAGAGTAGCGAGAAAAGTTCATTGGTTTTCCAGAATCAAAACAATGTACTGCACCATCGTACTATATGTAATACAAATCAACTATCATTCGTACATGTGATCATCAATCATGAATCATTCTGCGAACTCGAGAAAATGAAACCAAAAAAACATATTGCTGTCACATGAAGTGCATCTTTTTGGCCAGGTTTGTGTGCTTATCCTTGAAATTCTTCCTCCATCGGTCAAGGTCGAAAGTGTCATCATTGCTGGAGATAGTGGCAGTGTCAAAACCCATGGTGGGATTAAAGTGGAACACGCCATGTGCACAGACAAGCTAGTAGTAGTTAAAATTGCATGTGTGCATAGAAGATGGAATGAACTCACATAAACCAATGAGTGCAACTTGTCGATTTTTTCTTGATGTGGGTGCTGGACCGACATCATCGCTTCATACTGTGCAGCATACCGATCAAATGAATAGACGAGAGAAGCCACAGAGGGCTGGTTGACAATGATGCCCAATGAGTCCACCCTCCAGCACTCCCCCAAGTGCCAAATACCACCACTTCTCTACCACTGGAAGAAAGTGGGCACAGGGCTTCTCAGATCAGAGTGATTTTGGAGGGTCTCACTAGTATGACAGTCTACTACTATTGCCACTGGCACTGAGTCACTGCTGAATCAGTGCTGAGCTTACACTAGCTAGCTCATGGTACTGTATCAGGTACTGGCCCCACTGCCAGTGGGGTATCATAGAATGTCATTTGAATGTTGCTATTACCACTGAATGTCAGCCTGATCACTCCAGCTATTGCATGATTCAGCCTCATCATAAATATGAACATCATTTTTGATGAACTACGCTTGTCATCTAAGAGCTACGAAATCACATAACCAGAATCCTAATCAGGCAGTGTCAGGTTTTTGGACTTTTGGTGATGTGGTAGCAGCTGTAGCGAAATTGTCATTTTTGGGTCACGTGGACGTTAATAACGTGTTAATAACCCTAGGCAACCTTTTCGTCCGTACCCTATTACTCACGCTGTTCTACGCTCGAGCCAACCAGATCTCTTTTTATTCTCTAGCATTACAGCGTCTTCTCCGCTACGCTCCACGCTGGTATCCATCTTCTCGTACCCCAAAGCATACTACATCATACTCTCCTCTGCTTCACCTGCGCCACCGCCGTCAGCAAGGATCTGGGGAAGCTCATTGTGGTACTTGTTGGCGGCTGCGCTAAGAGAAAGGAGGAGGGGCTCGATGAACGCGTGAAGAAGATGAGGATGTTTTTTTTGCGATATCGGGAGGTGCTCTGATGCGGATAAGAGATGTGACGAATAGAGAGAGCGGCATGATTGACTATACTATTGTTAGTTGATATAGGGATTAATGGGTGGACGTACGTGAGCAAGCCATAGAAAGTGAAGGTAAGTGCACTGGAAAAAGAGTGCTGAGTCTGCTGGATCGTGGTATCGGGATGGGTAATCTCTGCTGAGGCTCTTTTCTTGAGGTGCTGTCCATTTGCGCGAAGCTGGTGCATGCAAATCAAGACGTTGCTGAATCGACATCAACAGCGATCCTTGAATTGAAAATTCGAGCACGGTTCAATAGTCGGCGCTATGCTCGTTGATGACTTCGTCCTCCATATCTGCATTCCAGAATTCTGAAGTTGACCAGTCTCAGTGCAAGCACTTGGCTTTCTCAGTGATTGACAATCCTACGTCCTGGTATTAGCATTGGTAAGTGTCGTTCTTGATCATCTTAATGGTTCATCGCCATGATAAGTTTTGAACTTTGTAAAGCCATGACAATAGATATGTATATACTGGTGAGTTGCTTTACTGAGCACAGACTTGAATGTATCTGCTCGTAGCCGCGGCCCGAGAATGGCTTGGCGGCGTCGCAGCTTTTCAGACTGTAGTGAGTCCTGAGCATGACTGGGTCTATCAAACAGTGTCGCATTTCCCGACATGCGGGCTCATCAAAGCTATCGGGGATGGTCCTCTTTCCCTGATTCAGCAGCTCAAATCGGAGAACGTGAAATTGGAGGTTGTCGATGCTCATGGAGCGTGGGTCACCCCTGAGATTGTGGATCTGCACTCCCATATCAGCGTCGAAAGTGCGCCCAAGCTAAATGGTGAGTTTTCTTACTACTCCAGAGAACCATTTCCTGCAGGCACACACGACACGAACGCTCACTGACGGGCTGAACACCCACGATATGTCATACGAACTCCAGAATGAAATCTTGCCTTATGAGCGAGGGACGGTATATCAGTTATTGAACTTCTTTGTGCCTGTACGCGACGAAGTACCCCCATACTGGTGGTTTGTCAGATGCTGCTTGGCTCGAATGCCCTATGGCACGAAGCCTATGCATGAGGGAAGCACTCCGAGGTGATAACTCATAAGTATTTATCTTTATTCAGGGCTCAAGAAATTTCTGTCTATATGACGATTGACTTCATGTATTGAGGACATGTCCAGTGAGGGCAAGTATAGCCCGTGCCTACTGAAATCTCCACAGTTATATGTCCCCGTCTAGTTCTTTTTGATCGAACGAGAGAATTGTCGAATGGAGCCTCCGAGTGATAGCTCGGCTCTCATTATGACCCCTGCCACACACTTCCTTCTGCTCAAGCCTGACGACGGACTTCCTCGCCTCATTATGCACAAGCAAGTTGTGAACGGAAGAACGCTTTGCCTAAGCGAATGATAATGAAATAATACCCACTGGGTATTTTCATCAGACCCCGCCACGCACCTCCTTCTGTCTAGGCCTAGCGGCACACTTCCTCGTCTCCAAGTCGACGTGGCGCATCGAAAAAGCAGGTCGCGAATGGAAGAACACTTTGCCTAACCACATGACACGCAAAACGACACGATGATATAACGAAACGAAGGTCTCTGTGAATGAGTCTGCGAAATTGGTTTGATAATCGAGCTCGATATAAGGGCTCTACTCCCCGCATTGAATCTACAGCCAACACCCCAAGTAACACTCCATCAATCACTCTTACATCTAGCCACGATGAAGCTCGCTTTGTCTTTTGTTTTTGCTGCAATCGCTTTGGTACAGGTGACAGCGGCAGCACCCGTTATCGACGGGCGTGCCATTGGGCTGTTCGAACGTATGTCCCGACGAGCCTATTGTACCCCCACCCTGTCTAACCATATATGTATCCAGGTCTCGTTGCCGAGGGCTCCCCTGATGTCGAAGGTAATTCTTCAGTGCTACCCTCGGGTTCGCATGTTCTACTCACCTTGTTCCCAACATAGAAATCGAGAAGCGTGCCTTGAAGTTGTTCGCAGGTATGTCTCAATGTGTCTGTATCATCTACGCCCTGTTTAATGGGATACTCGTGGCATAGATCGCGCTGCTGAGGGCTCCCCTGATGCCGAAGGTAATTCTCTAGTGTCCCAATGTGCCCATAGTGTCTGCACCTTCTAACTAGATATGCGTCTAGATCTTCTTGCCGCCCGGAGCCATAGCCATAATTCCAAAGGAAGGGGGCACGATGTTGTAGGAGGGGTTGCATAGTCCGGCGGAGGTCAGAGTAGCTTGGTCGATCATGAGGGCCATGCCCGTTTCTCCCTGACTCCCGCTAATGATAAAGTCAAGCCGTGCACATACCCGGCCTTCTGGGAATGCCTCCCCATTTGTTTTGTTTTGTCTGCCCACCCTGTAGCAGTTGATGGCAATCGTCACTCCACGGCACGTTCAAATAGTCAAACTTGCAACTACATGACTTGTCGCTGCAACTGACAATCGGAGGTACAGGGTTCGGAGAACGTGCAGCGAGAAGAACAGCCCTTGATTACCTTGTCCCACAATCCACAGCTACAACGATATCATGAGAAACAACAGTGAAACAACAGTAGTTGTGGGGGCGATATTCCCTACCTCAGCACTTTCATTGGCTGCTCCCCTGCCCTTTCCTGGTAACATGATTGTACTCGGACCCTCTAGGTGATCGCCGGTTATGTATACGAACAAGGGACACCCGATCCACTGCTCACCTTTTGTTCTTCCAGCGAAGACTGTTACTGGCTTTGGTCCTGTGTGCCTCGCGAAGAAATTGGGCTTGGGGTGTTTTCGCAAGGGGATGTACTCATTTGCGAGTGGATGGGTGTCGAGAAGGGATGCGGATGTTCTAGAAGCGGTAAGCCGTAGCCTGGGGGGATGCCGGGAAACACGAGAGAAACAAGATGGTGACGAGGGATAAAATGACTATGAGTGCTTATCGTCAGTATTGCTACCCTTTGCGTGAAAAAAACAATCACCCGAAAAAGTCATTGTATGGATCATCTCGCGCTTCTTTGGTGATCCCATGTAGCGCCGACCTGTGACATTCCTGTGAGCAAGGGGAGGAAGGGATCAAATGCGAGAGCACCAACTTCTTCATGACTGGAGTCAAGTTTCCTGCGTGTAGCTTGTAACGGTTCCATGCAGGTCTTGCGCTTGCGCCCTGGAATGTCCTTGCAGGCGGAAAACTTCGAACTGACGGGGAAGAGAGGCATCGCCGGCAGACAGGAGAGAAAGGTCGCACGCTTACGAATCCCAACTAGGAACGCGACGAGGCTATAAGCGCAGCGCCAGAGAAGGTCGCTATAGAAGTCAGTGCAAAGCACACCACAGCGGTGGTCATTGCATATCTTATGCAGAAGACGCCCTTTGTGTCCCCGATCACTGGTGGGCGAAAAACAGTTGCAGGCCAACCTAGAATCGGGTAGCTCCGCCTAATCTCATCTTGCCATCCCCTCAGATACTCTTATAGAATGCCTTGAGCTTGAGAACGAGCTGCACACTCCAATGTCCTTCATCCTGGCGAACTGTGGGCAGATGTAGTATCAGGATAGAGATACTGCTACCTTTTGTTCTGACCTCTTTTGAACCTCTTAGTCTTATCCTCGGTTGTGATGATGTCAGTTCAACCCAATCCAAGTGAAGGAGTGGAAGGAAAATGCAAGCAATGTCTGTATCGCCATAACTATTACACAAACCAGAAATATCCACTTCGCGAAAATGAAACAAAATCTGAGTATAAGTTAACACAAATATTCAGAAATGAGTGGTGATAAAAGCAGCCATGGCTGCAACGGCGGTCAGGAAGCCCGTCTCCACATTCATTCCAACGGCGGCTGCGTTAGTACCAGTAGGGGTAGTGCTGGTAGTTGAACTGGTGGACGGCACAGATGTGGTCACGTGGTCATGAATGGATTGGTTAGAGACGATACCCTGAGGTGTAATAATGCTACTTACGAAGTAGAGGAAGTGCTAGATTGTGTGCTAGAGCCTCCTGAAGAAATTGACGCCGTGATGTTGAATTGGTCGGACTGAGCGAGCAAGGTGTTAAGATCTTCAGCATTGACAAGGTTGACTTGGAAGGCATAGCCCTCAGGCCAGCCTCCGCTTGGAGCACTGCAGACGGTCTGGCCCAAAGTGCCGTTAATATATTGATCGAGGATCTGAGAGCCCTGGGGCATGGCGGCCGGGTTCTGATAAAAGAATATTAGAAGTCCTCGGTAGAGCGCACGTCAATACACATGCCTGGTTGGTCAACATCACCGTGAAGTTCAATGGGTCGGTGTCAACGCGCACCCACGTCATGGAATTGGGACCAGCAGTCGTCCAACCATGAGGACCACCAGGAGTAGTGATCTGGTAGGCAAAAGTCGATGTAACGGTGGCCAAAAGGATAGCGGTGGGGGAGTGCATGCTGGCAGAACCAGTAGGCGATGGTAGACTGAAAAAGAGTCTGACTTCTTTTTGAAGGAAGACGAACGCGGTCAAAAGGCAAGTCGAGTGGGCGGCTACGTCGATACTCTTATCTCTCCAAGACGTAGTCCAAGCTGGTTATGACTCTAGAACCGAACCGACTCCGGACCACCCTGTGGGCAGTGAATGATGGAGCACAGGATTCTCCTATCATGTGTAACAAGTAGACTGAAAACATGCCTGCCAAGACATATTTGAGCTTGGCTTGAAACTTAACCCTGACTCCGAAGACGTATTCTGGCCGTCTGCAACCTGGGATGGAGAAAGCCCCAGCGCCTGCACTGAGCATGTCTCGTGGGAATTCTGAACCAACCAAGAACCAACACAGGGCGTCAAAATGATAAGTTTTTACCCCGACCTCGAGGAATTGGAGTCTTGCTACGAGAGCTAGATGACGGAGGTCGTTGAATGATTCAGAATATGCGTGTAATAAACAGAGGGCGAAATTAAGCTGGAGTACGGTACGGAATTACCAATCTCTCCGTGAGTGGATGCGGGACCTCGACTAATCAACATTAAGAAGTACTATCAGACAAACGACAGGTCTTGTTGGAAGTTAAGGCTGAACGCACCCTCGTATTTTCTTCTTGGGTCTCCCCAGTCATGCGCACGCAAACACTTCCACCGGTTGGTTCTGCCTGAACTTTTCCATGCACCAAAGAGTTTTCGCATAATACAACTGTCACGATACATCCTTCGTATCAATACACGTACGTTCCATCCACGTTCGCGTTTCATTCTCCGTTTCAACTGATCCTCTAATATTCAGCGTCTACGATATTCCTTTCCCTCAGTCTCTCTTCCTTGTTTCTAGTTTCTAGTCCGAGCCTCTCCACTCTTTGAGAGTAACTGGCAACGGACAACATAGGTGAGGAGTTACGGACCTCCGGTCTTGGATGCTCAAGTTTCCTGCGTATAGCTTGTTACCTTGAAGTATAGTTGTGAAAGCACGTACTGGAAGCTCAGGAGCCACGTCTTTTATCATCCACAAACTGATTTTTGTTGTCCCATCCGCCATAAGTTATGTATCTCTCATCTCAAGAGAATGATCACAGCGAAGCTGTTTACTATCCTGCTGGTAAAATGGCTGGCCGAGTGGCTCCATGTCCCATAGCTGTGCGATACCTCCATTGCCCACGCACGCCAGGACGTTGTGTTTGGGTGAAAGTGCGACAGAATATAGCACATGTTGTTCTGCTTGTGTTTGTGTCCCAAATGCAAATCGCCTCGTTGTATCTGCCTGATGCGATTTTATCGCCTAATGGTGAATATGCAAGAGCATACACCCTGCCTTGCTTCGATTTGATCGGGCCCACCTTGCTTCCGTTTTCGGATGAGAATTTCTCCATTGTCGGATCCGCTTGCAGTATGGTCTCTGCTGGGAGACCACAAGAATCTCAACAACACCTCGACACGATCTGTCCAAACGCCCCTGACTATCTCTCCGTCCCCGTTCCACTGCTCAAAGAAAAGGCTAGCGGTCCCACTTCAAGTTGTAGAGTTGTGTACATGCGAGAGATCCGCACATATAATGACTAACAGTATTTGAAACTGTACAAAACAGTACGTCCTTCTCAGCTCCAACAGTCTGGCAGTGATGATGGACTCAGAAAATTGGCAGCGCACAAGCGCCTCTGTGTTATCTTCTAAATCAACGAGGCATTAGCCAAGGTATCCGAACGCATAAGAGACCGACACTGCCACGCACCTCACCTCTCGCAGAACCAATCAGTTATGCCCCTAACTCCGACGCCTCATGTGCTTCCTGACAGGCGTATCCGATACAGCTGATGGGACTCGTTTCTTAGCACCTGCACTCCACCCGCTCGTGCCGAGCAGCAGCACATCAGACGAAGACCTTGGCAGCATATCTCTTCGTCTTCCTCCGCATCCTCGTCCATTGCATCGCCCGGGCTGTCAGAGGAGTTGTGCGAAAAAGGGACAGACGTAGGAGGAAGGTCCTCATCGTCAATGTCGAGAGGCGTAAGACTTGAGCTGCGGGCGGTGGGAGGGCTTGAAGATCTCCCAGTGAGACATGGATTTGAGCTCCTTCCTGCAATATGCACGACACTTGAACTTCTCTTGGCGGGGCGTGAAGTTGAGCTTCTAGCTATAGGTATGGGACTCGAACTCCAAGCTGAGGCGTTTGACTTGGCGTGAAGGAATCTCTTTACGGGAGCAGCGACTACGAGGGTGATGGCCCGCACTGCGTGTGATTGAGAGGATTGGGGCTGAAACTGAGAATCGGTGCGTCCGATGATGCGCTTAGCGGTTTCTGCTCTGGAAGCTTTGATTTAAACCTAGAACGATAGCCTCATTATGACTGTACATGAAATGAACACCTACATGGGCTCCACAAGTTCGTCCTCGCAAAGTTTTTACATCCAGTCATGTTCGTTCTTATGGCGAGTTCCGCGCGCGCGAGATGTATCCATGAGGGATTCGAGACGCTCGACGGAGGAAGGGGTGATCAAGTTCGGTTTCTCCTCTTCCGCGAGCTACTGGATTTAATTTAACGGGTGAAATGAAGGACATGTTATCTATGGGTGGCACTTCGACAGGTGGTAACTGGGTGCACATTACAGGGGGAAAGAGCTTGAGGAAGTACAGCAGAATCTGGATTTGAACTCTATAAAGGGTATTATGATTCGCGCAGAAGTAAGGTAAAGAGCACTTACTCACGTTGTTCCATGCACTCGAGCCAGCCAGATCTCCACTCATCCTCTAGCATTGCAGCATCTTCTCGCTTGAGGGTTTCGCTACGCTCCGCGCTGGCATCGGTCTTCTCGTACCCCAGAGTATACCCACACCACATTATACTCTCCTCTGCTTCAACTGCACCGCCGCCGTCAGTAAGGATCTGGCGGAGCTCGTTGTGGTACTTGTTGGGGGCTGTGCGAAGGGAAAGGACTACTAGAGGAGGGCTCGATGACCGCGTGAAGAAGGTGGGAATGGTCTTTTGCGATATCGGGAGGTGCTCTGATGCGGAGCAGAGACGAGACGAAAAGAGAAAGCGGCATGATAGACTATGACGTTGTTATAATTATGGTTGGAGCAGAACTTACATGAGGAAGCCATAGGAAACGGTGAAGAAAAGTGCGCTGGACGAAGAGGGCTGGCTCTACTGGATCATGGCCTTGGAGTGGGTTTATCAGAATATTTTCTTGGGTTGTAGTCCATTTGAATGAGGCTGGTTTATGCAAAACAAGACGCTGCTGAATCGACATCGACATCGACATCGACGCACTAGAGATACGCTTCACGTGACCGCGTTCAACAACAATGTAAGCCCGGTGGCTTACCTGAGTTCCCATAATCAGCATAAATACTGTCCGAGATAATGAAACATGAGCTTTCATTATCACTACCTTTTGGCGTAACGGTTAAGGGACGACAGTCTTGACCTACTTACAAACAACGACTAATACTGTAGCCGCTTTCCAATATACAGTAAGCAACACGGTACAGTTTTCGACACAGTGATTTACGCGTTCTTGTGACTAACCCACCACTGAGGGGCGTCACCCAGAAAATTCGTCAACAACGTCATTTGCTCTTCGGTAGGTCGTGCTAACGGGATCATCCGAACAAACAGCGAGGACCCCTACGACAACTTCTTTGTTGTCGTCTACAGCTTCGTCCTTGTCCTTGACCTTGCTTTCAAAACGTATAGTGATCTCTTTCTCGACCTTGCGCCGCTCTGGGTCAATGCAATGCTTGAGCTCAAAATAAGCAAGAGGCTGCAACGCATCCTGGATCCAATAGCGAGCCAACGACGTTCGGGTGTACTAAAGGTGGGGATGGATGTACATTTTGCTCTCGAGGTCGAGCAAGTATGTTCGGTTGACGCGATAGTCGTAGTATTGTTCATGGAGCGCTCTAGGTGGACACTGGATATCGATTTAAGGTGAAGCCACCCCAGAAAGCTATGGCTTGTAGGTCAGATAGACTCTGGAATACGATACTGATGAGTTCAAACCTGAAGACTCTGACGCAGTTGCTGGATGGACATTGATAATATACGAGAAGAAAATGGATGATAGGTAAGTAAGTTGGATGATGGTATTGAGACCCGTTTTACCGAGCTCGTTCACATAGTACATATTGGAATACAGCCACAGGTTCAAGCCCACAAGTGAGGTATAATTGACCAAGTATCAGCCACAATTGTCATCGGCGAGTTCTTCGGCAATACATGATCAATGTTACGCTCAGCGTCGACTGACGTCTTAGCAGTAATCAAAAGTAGTCGAAAGTTCTAGCTAACACCCTAGTGTTAGAGTCGTACGAGTAAAGCAGTAGTATTGCAGGTCCTGGTCTGCGTAGGTCAAGTTAAAGAGTACAAACGGTAGAGACGAGGTATATATAAAGGTATTGAGTCGGCGAATGAATAATAGAAGCGGAGCTTCAATAATAATGAGCCAATGAGAAAAAGGGAAAGAGAATCGTACGATGGAATGTTCTAGAAGTACACGTATTAGAAGAGTGAGCAAGTGAAGATGTGAAGATGTGAAATGTGAAGATGTGAAAGGTGTGACATGGTGTGACGGTGACGAGGTTTAGGGGAAAAGGATAACCGTAACAATCAATGGTCGACTCGATATCGATCACCCACAGTGGACTGTCTTACAATACCTTTCCTTCACCCCATGGGCAGTATCTGATTGACAGCCCGGCCCGATCCAAAACATTACACAATGGCAACAAGCAGACAATGCATTAGCAGTGCGCAGCTGTCCATTTGAGTGAGACATGTGTATGCAAAACAAGACGCTCATGGGTCGAAATAAACAGACAACACGTCACAATCCAGTTGATTCAGTGATTGGCGCTATGCTTGACCTTCTTCAAGGTTTGAAGGTTCCACGGCAGAAGTGCCCTTGCCGTGTCAGTGGCCGCCACAAGAAACGGCATATTTCTAAATGCATCACTGTTGGTCTCAACACCTAGAAACGTTACAAACCTGGCCTTGTCGTTTTCTCATCTAGCTCTTGGTATATTTATCTTCTAGTGTTGCTTTGAACCAATTCATCTGGTAGCCAATTATCCGGTGAGTCAATTTCTCCCTTCGAAGTCTGCGGTCCTAGTGATGTGCTGGGCCCGCGGAGGGCTTAGGCCTGGCCTGAGATTTTTCCAGGTCCATGCCCATGGCTCAGGCCTGGCTTTGAATGATTTTTAGTGCGACACATACCAATAGTGCCTACTCTTCCGTACAACCTGTGAATGGCCAGATGTACCTGGCGCCATCATATACGTTCCCACCACGCAAGCGGTATCGTTTCCGGTTACTGGACACGACGCGCAAGCCCAACTACATAAGTATGTTTTCTCGATCGATAACCGTAAGCTACCATCATATGGCTCAGACGTTGAGCCACTCGTGGTAGGCTCCGTTTACATCTACGCTGCACAGCAGGCGTCCGGAACTTCTTCATTCTTGCGAAAAACCAGAATTATTGGGTGCGTGTAGATACCCAGCTTCTGTCGTGCTGAAGTCGCAGAAAAGAAAGACTGACAGCACATAGGCTGTCTCCAGCCATAGATGATAGACCAAGTCACTGGCCGAAGATTCTTCCTCTGGGTCTGAGTGCAAACACGCATGAGGGACGCAACGCTCCACAAGTGTTGCCGGTAGATCCTTGCTTACTGGTCGGGTAAGCGAGCCAACGGCAGAAAATGCAATGGCGACAACAAGCGTAGTACTATGATCACATAGAGAATTCGTAGCGGAAGGCAATCGCTCAACTGGTAAATTTCGGTTCGATTCAGAAATAGTGGTATGATTGCGCTACCCAGAATATCCGCCAGTATCAAATGTATCTCCTGTACCTGTACCCAAGATACACAATTCCAAAAAACCGATGGGATAATACAACAGAAATGGTTAATGAACGAAGTTGGAACGAAGTGTGTAGTAATTGTAATAAGGTCGAAGCATGAACGAAATTGGAACGAAGTGTGTAGTCATTGTAATAAGTGAAGTGAAGTGAGACGCAGTGTAGCTCAGGAAACCCGTAGTTTAAAACACTACAGATGATGTCGCACTGTCCAAGCTACTATTGAGCAGTGTTCTTGAGCTGTAACACACGAGAGTGAGCTATCGTCGTCCCGAGAATTAAAAAACATTACTTACGTCCATATATGAATAGCGCTGCACGCGTTCAAGCAATGACGCAGTAAGAGCCCCCGGTGCCTGATTGATACTCCTCGTCAACTGGTGTCAACGAGGCAGGACTCCCCTCATCGTCAGCCTTTGAAGCAGACAAGATAGCGAGGATGTTTGAGAATGCGTCCATTTCTGATTGCGGAGTGGAACAGACGACGAAGCTGTGTCTTTACGAGTAGTAGAAGGTTCTGTTTGAGAGATGGCAGCTGGGTAAACTGCTGGTGTGCGAGAGTGAAAAGTCGGTTAAGCTGATGAATGTCGCACTTTCGGAGCTCTTATATACCTTTCCACTGCGACTTGACCTACGATGAGAACTTTGGAATCCCATACTTATGTTCCGTACTAATTGTCACTGAAATACCATTGTTAGACGAGATGCGCCAGCCAAAGCGCATCCGCCACGCTCATTAACACGAAGAAAATAAGCAAGCTGGCATAGCGAATGCATGACAATAAGGTCGTCCAAATTTGGCAACCGTAGTGTTCATGTAAAAGGTCCGACGCCGTTCGGTAATGATGAATTTTCATTCCAGGTACCTTTCGACTTGCGATACCATCCTGAAGTTTATTGTTCACCGGGACCGGTCGATCGAGCTTTTGACCTGGGGCGTGAAGTTCTGGGGTGTATCCACTCCAATTGAAATTAATCTGACACCAGCCTGAGTCACCTGAGTCGGGAGTCGGGAAATACGATCCATGGTCCACTTGATACTGAGTCAAGCATCTCCCTCATGTGACATACTATGTATGACACTCAGGCACTGCAACGTGCGCTGTGACCGTCCTGAAGCCCAAAGAGGCTCGATGATGTCACTGGCAGGAAATAGGTAACATGCAATGCGCCGTCAACCTCAGGGTGAAGCCCAAGCTCCCCGAATTGAAACATGACCGTTCGACATTGTGAGTCGGAAGCCTCAGTCGTGCGCTGGGCTCATGGCATGCCTGATGCCGTTGTCGTCAATTCGCCCCATAAAAATTCCTCAAACCCGTGCGGTGCACCATTATCCAATCCAAATGCTATATCAGTGACAGAATCAAGATAGAATCCCATACATCTTTTCAGCACGTTTCTGAAAGGCATCTACCACGGCGATATAACGAACTCAAGTGGTGCACACTGCATAGCCTATTCAACTGAGAAACGACTTCAAGTTATCCATGACACAGGGTCACTTAAACAATGTATCAACGAGTTGCAAGTAACGCTCCTGCAACACGTGACAGATGTATATCAAATATTGCCATGAAGAAGGCCGAACTCATCAACGAGCATAGCACCAATCCCTGAATCAACTTTATTGCAACGTGTGGTCACGTACAGCGTCTTGTTTTGCGTACACATGCCTCCTCTGCACATGTCAGTTGCATCTAATGACGTAGGTGACTCACCTTGCTGTCTGTTTCGAGCTGCGGAAAAAGAGAATGGCTACTAACGCATTGGCTGCTCGTGCCATTGTGTAATTTTTTTGCATCGGGCTGCTAATCGGATATCCACAAGGTGAAGAAAAGATATTATAAGAAAGTCCACAGTGGGTGATCGACGTACTATGATTGCGTGCCCACATGTATATAAACCGGAGCCTCAGTAAAACGGGTCGCAACACTATCATCCAACTCACTTACTTAGTAACTTATCATCCATTTGCTTCTCGTAAAATTCCAATGTCAATAGAGCAACTGCTTCAGAATCTTCAGGTTTGGGATCCATCAGTATCGTGTTTCACAGTCTAAGTATCTGACCTACAAGCCACAGATTTCTGGGTCGCGCTCCACCAAGTCGCGTCAAATCGATATTCGGTGTCCTCCTGTTCAACGTTATGAACAACACTACGGTTATCGCCTCAACCGAAGATACTTGCTCAACCTTGAGAGTAAAATCAAAACCAATCCCAACGCTTTCCACTACCCCTTGACGCTGGCTCGCAAGTGGATCCAGCATACGTTGCAGCTCCCTATTTTTGAGTTCAAGTATTGCATTGACCCGGAGCGGCGCGAGATCGAGGAGGTACCGGCAGATGAAGATGTGCATTATCAAGACGAGGATCGAGACGAGGACGAGAACGACGAGGACGACGAGGTTGTCATAGTGGTCCTTGCTGTTTGTTCGGATGATCCCGATAGCTTCGATGCACGACCTACCGAAGAGCAAATGACGTTGTTGACGAATTTGCTTGGTGACGCCCCCCAGTGGTGGGTTAGTTACAAAAACATGTAAATCCGCTTCGACACCAAATCAAGTAGGGAAAACTATATCGTGTCGTTTATGTACTTCACTACGTGTGCAAGCTGATACCTCGAAATTTGATTGTATCACATATATGCGTCTTTTATTATCAAGGTGGTTCTACAGAATTCCAGACGCGTCTGGTTTATTTTGCGTACTGTTGCCGTTGCCTTGCTATTGCAGCTGCAGTAATAGCTTCCTAACTGTAACGTTGGGCGGCAATTGTAAATCAACAGGTTAATCACTGGGTCGAGCTGATAGGCTCACAGTATCTATAGATAGTGAGCCCTCCCGTCGGACCATCGAGTAGTACGAAAATGATCTCATGCGACCTCATTTTCTGCGCACTATTCGTCCAGCTCCCGTTTCGCTGTTTCCTGGGGTTAAATGACACGGATCAGGCCAGAGGTCTGCTTTTCATGCTCACCTAGCAGGTCATACAGCTCATGGATGAGGTCCGTTGTGCTTAGGTTCCTGGTCCTCCCTCATAAAGGCGCAAACGAGTCTCGTCTATGAGTAGAAGGCAACGATAAAGATGAAATAATTTACTGTTACCTGGAGAAAATTCTATGTATACAGAAACACTTGTACGTCAATGCTAAGTCACAGGATACAATGCAAAGCAAAAATAAACGAGGCAAAAATAACTTGCAACGAAACACACGACCGCTGGAGTTGAGATGTAGAGGTCCCTGATATCAGCGCGACAAAGCTGCAACACTAGTACTGGTGTATGAATGTCGGTTCGATTCGGAAACGGTGGTATGATTGAACAAGCGCGGAGTAAGTAAACACCTAGATACCAAGATGTGATTAATCCTACGATAAATCAGCAACGAGTCGTGTAACTAGGAAAGAATGGACGTACAAGACTGAGGGAAGGTCGACAATGAGTCGCGTACTAAATGAGTGTGATGAGAGTATCCTCAAAACTATATACGGTAAGTGAGAGGAAATGACGAACGCGGAATTGCGGTCTATGTAGTATGACTCCATATCCAATACGGAGGTGGGTCCATGAATGATGGCATGAGGTTCCTGGTCAATTATGATATATGATCAGGCGGAGGCGGCGGGTATCTTGGCGTCATTTGACCCAGGCTGCAGCGTCTTGGTCCGATCAGAGACAGCATGCTTCACACCTTTCTTGTCTCCAACAATCCCCACACTGCGGAGGAAAAGCACTGCCAGTAGTGCGGCTACACAGTTACAGATTGTCAGTGAGGCACTCTCGACGCAGGTCAAATTCGCAGTGCTCACCCATAAGCGCAAATAAAGCGGAGGTCCACTGTGCAGATCTATACCCTTCAAGCTGTGCGGACAGAGGTGCATTGGTTCCAGCAGAGTTGACAGTGACGCCAAGGTCAGCAGACTTTTTTTCAACCACATCGTTGAACATCATAGTGGATATAGTAAGACCGAATGCGATACCGAGCTATCCCGAAGAAATTGACCTTAGAACAGGATAGATGACTACTTTACAGGTACTTACTTGTGTCATAGTTTGGAACAGCGCTCCGGCCACGCTCTGCTCATGAGGGAGCGCGTTTCGGGCGATGAAAAGTGTACCAGAGGAGTACACAAACTCAGCGCCAAACACGATAAGAACCGCAGACGGGAAGCCAAAGGCCCAGTACGTTGCGGACGGGTCGATCAGGGCAAATAACATGCTGGCAGTTGCTGTAAGTAGCGTTCCGGTAACTGGACGACGAGTCAGCCTCACGTGTTATACATTCCTCGCATAGAGCCGTACCTGCAAAGACGACCAGAGGCAACTTAGCAACAACCAGTGCAACGAAAATGTTGCATAAACAGCCGACAATGGGCATTGGAGTAAGCCGGACCATAGTTCGTATCGGTGTGAGCGACAGGTAGTTTTGATAGTACAACTGGAACAGATAACAATGAGCGTCATTACGCCCCGACAGGCAGCAGGAAGTGGACATACCTGAACCCAGAAGAGCCAGCTCGCGAAGGCACCCCAATTTAGGAATGCAATGACAAGAATAACAGCCATCCGGCCCTTCGCTCGCGTCCAAACTGAGAGCCTCATCAGTGGTGGTGGTGTCCATGCGGGCAGTGTTCTTGATGGATCATCTTGAACTTGCTCCAAGTATCGTTCCCAAAGCAAGAAGAGTGAAACCATGATAATCCCGACAATAAGAAGCACAATGATATCTAGGGACGATGCGCGATTTAGCGATAACGCAATATGTATATGACAGAGGGGAAGTCTCACATGGAGTTTTCCAGCCTTGCAAAGCGAGTTCTCCTTGTCCAAGTACAAACACAATCAAGACCAAACCGATGGTGACAAGCGAGGCGCCGATCCAGTCGACGGAATCTGTTGAGGGAACATCTGAGTCGAATGCAACCATACCGGTAAGTCCTGCTAGAGCAGAAATTCCTGCAATCATATAGAATACGGAGCGCCAATGCGTTCTGTATGAAGACATTAAAATACAGTGTCACGCAAACGCAACTTATGACGCACGAGGACAATTCTGTGAGAACACCGCCGATCATCGTGCCAAATGCGACTCCGACAGGAGCACCCGCTGAAAAAGTTGCGAATGCTATTGAGCGTGCTCTAGATGGAGGGAATGAATACGCCAGGATACCGAGCTGACAATTTGGGTCAGAACTTCCTGTTCACATGGTATACATATCACTCACCGCAGACGGTAATGTAGCGGCGGCACCAACGCCTTGGAAAGCGCGCAAGACTACGAGGGTAAGACCATCTGCGATTACATTGTGAATGGACGGAACTGGCGGGAAAGTGGATGGCGCACCCACTCTGTGCAAAGCCACAACCAAGAGAAAAGGTGACTAGACAGAGATTACCGATCATGAATGCCTTTTTTCGTCCATAAAGATCTGCCAATCTGCCAAAGAACAAGAGAAGGCAACCCTAAGTGTAGATTTAGCCGGGGCCAAAAAAGATGGTCACGCGAGGACGCACCGAACTAAGCGAATAGACAGATACAACCCACTGCAGCTGTTCTTCGTCCATATCTAGATCCTTTTCGATGGTTGGGAGCGAGATAGAGACAGAAGTAGAATTGGCAGTCTGTGACCAATAACGAAGAGCAAGACGTCACGAAAGATGGTCGAGGAATATGACCACAATAAGGACTTACATTAACCACCATTGCAGTGGTGCAAGCCACGACGATGAAAATGGAGCGCAAAAGACTGCGCTGGACGACATGGTGGTTGAGATCGTGAGTTGGGGAACGAGTATGCTCGCTGGCCAGGGTCAGCTCAGACTTGGACTCCATCGGTAGAGGGAGGGATAGGAATGCAAGGGCGTGACGAAAAAGGTACTACGACATTGCGATCATCGGATGCCATAAGTACCGTAATAATAACTGGATCCTTGGAAGTGCACATAGCCGGAAGTAAGCCGGAAGGTCATTACACGTCCAAGCCCATGAGTCCCTACTCTAGTAGAAGTGGCCAAACCTCACGACGAAGCCTCGGCCATACATGATGGATGACTTTGCAAATGTTGGAAGGCCTGCGATTTATGAAGCAGGAATGCAATGTCAGGGACGAATGGAAGTAATTATAAAGACAATGCTCGGTAATACGTCATCAGTGCCGGACAGTCGTTCGAATACATACCAGAAAAGATCTCCATGCATCATATGCGTACGTGTATCGGCTCGTGATTCGACCTAATGGCGGCACTAGCGTACTAGGTTCATGTCAAAGTCAACATTGTGTATCTGAGAGGCAGCGGGATTGACATGGCGTCCAAGTCCGTGTTAGCCGCAGATCGTTGCGAAGACGATTGTTCAACGAACCCGTCTAGAGTCGGCGAAACCAGAATACCTGTTCTCTGACGAATTGCATTACGTCGCATTGGAGAGCGCGAGTGCATTGAGTAAGTTCATTGAATGGGTCTCGTGCTGAGCGCCGGATGCCGACTTGGATGGTACATTTAATCAAGAATTGAGTATTGAATGCTGGTGTGTCGAATCCAGCTCTAATTATAAGGGCTCTTCATCGCCGAGGACCACACGGATAAGAGGTTGGGACTCTTAGCTAAGTGCTTTCTTGATCAGAACACTTAGTGCATACTACGCATGCAAATTTAAGCGTTCGACGCACCCAGACGCACCAGTGTTTCCCTTTTCATGTTGCAACTCACCGTTAAAAACACACCAACGATGATGATCGAATACAGTTCTGGACTGCCTTCTCGCGTCGGAAAAGCATAGCTACTCTGAACCGGATCAACCTTGATAGAGGTCTTCAGGCAAAGGTGCAACTTGAAGCAGAATCAGTTGTTGGCACGGCAAGGAGACGCGTCGCTCCAACGTGCACATATACTGATGTACACTGCATGCTTGAATACGGCAACTATGCAAGATGAGCATACTAGGTACGCAAGAAGAACACTTAGTGCTCCCCTTGGGTACTCGCCGTATCATCTCCTGACTTTAACTAACAGTTTGTAACGCCCCATACATAGCATGTGGTTTACTCACATCAGAAAGGTGTTGCTCGAGCTGAGGCAGAGGCAGAGCCTTGACTCTTGACTCGGGAGAAAGATCAAAAAGGATGATAAGGTGTGCCGCGAACACACTTGATCCCTTTCAATATTTCTTTCCACGTTCTAAATCCTTGTCGTAGGGCACGGGGGTTCAGGATATCTTGGTTAGACGGGTGTAGGGGTAATTGGGCATCACTGGATCCGGGCTGTACCGCCATGGTCGATCAGAGTCGACACACCTGATAAATATTCTTGTGCCTGACAATCCTCACGCCGTGGAGGAAAAGCGCTGCTAGCAGCACGAGCTCACCCCTAAGCGCAAACGCAGTAAAGGTCCATTGAGATCTATACCCCTCCAGCTCTGCGGACTGCAGCACGTTAGTGCCACTTGAGTTGACAGTGACACCAAGTTCGGTAGATTTCTTGTGGAATACAGTGTTGAACACGATCGTGGATACAATAAGACCGGATGCGGTGCCGATATATCCCTAAAACAAATCAATTCCAAAGAGGACAGTGTTAGTTGCTTTACCGGCACTGACCTGTGTCATAGTTTGGAAGAGCGCTTCGGTAATGCTTTGCTCATGGTGCAGCGCAATTTTGGCGATGAAAATTGTACCAGGGGCATACACAAAATCAGCGCCCAACACGAAGAGAATTGTGGACGGGGAACCAAAGGCCCAGTACACTGCAGATGGGTCAATCAGCACAAATAGGATGTATACAGATGCTGTCAGTAGCTTTCCACTGACTGGACGGCGAGTGAGCTTCACGTACTAATATTCCTTACATAGAGTCATACCTGCAAAGATGACCAAGGGCAATCTGGCGACGACCATTGCGACGAAAAACGAAAGGGTTGTACAGACAGTCGGGGAAGAGTTTAGAGCGGGGGGTGCATTGCTCTGGTAGCTTTGATTTCAACAGGAACGAATAGTCTTTTTATGGATACACGAGAAGTCAACACTCACAGAGAACTATGTCCTCGCAAAACTGCTGCATCCAATCACGTTCGTTCTTGTGGCGAGTTCCATACATAGTTTCAGTGTGAGATGTGAGATGTATACATGAGAGATACGAATCGCCGCATTAAAAGTTTGTCCATGAAGGGCTCAAGACGCTCGACAGAGGAAGGGGTGATCAAATTTGTTTCCTCCTTCTCCCCCTTCCACGAGCGACTAGGTTTGACAGGTGAGATGAAAAAGAACTGTTATCGGTGGGTGGCATTTCGATAGGCGGTAACGGGGTGCACGAGGAAATACAGTAGAATCTGGATCTTAATTTTACAAAGGGCGTTATGATGCGCACTGAGGCAAAATGGCAAATACTAACTCACGCTCTACTATGTGCTCGATCCAGTCAGGCCTCCATTTATTCTTTTACCACATCATGCCCCCTCCGCTTCACCCGCACCGCTGCTGTCAGCAGAATGTGGGGGAGCTCGGTATGGTACTTGTGTGCAGCTGCGCGAAGTAAAAGGAGAAGGAGAGGGGGCCTGGTAAAAGCGTAAAGAAGATGGGGCTAGTGCTTGACTGTAACTGTCGTGAGTGAAAATAAAAAATGGTTGAGTGGGACGTACGTGAAGAAACCATAGAAAATAAAGGTAAGTCTGAGTGCGCTGGACGAAGAGGGCAGGATCTACTGGATCGTGGTCTTGGAACTTCTTGGAATGGGTAGTCTCTGCTGAGACTCTTTTCCCTTTCTTGGACAGCAGTCCATCATGATTTTTGACCAATGCTGGTGCATGCAAAAGTAATCGCTGATGTCGATTCGGCAACGTCTGGATCGCCCATGTTGAGTCACTAAAATGTACAGGTTTTGATGATCTTACGCAAGATAGTGGCTCGACATCGGCGATCCTTGGCGTAGTTGCTGTTAGATAGTACTTATGTGCACGCGCGAGTACTGCGGAAGGCTCGTCCTGAGACAGGACAGAAGAATCAACGAGCTTGAGCGCTGGTGCTTACCAAGCAGTACAATTGTAACACGTCTCTCTTATCAACCCCTATCTCGCGCCTGCTTGCCTCTTCTCTTAGTACGAGCACTCTCCCCTTTAAAAACACGTCTACGACGGCCAAATTCTGGGACTGCCTACCGGCGTCAGACGAAAAAGTACGACTGCCTTGATAGATGGTCTTCAGGCATGGAGGCAAGTAGAATCGCTGACACACTAGGAGATGCATCGCTCCAATGTACGCATAGTATGCTGTTCGATTGAATTTGCGATATGGCGACTACACTGAGTAAGTGCTATCAGAGTACTTAACACTCTCTGGTAGGACACGCGTCGCTTCAAAGTGCACATTTACTGACCGAACGTGCGCGATATGGCGACTATATGAATTATCGCGACCAACGATCATGATATGCGCGTATGAAGAAAGGAAAGCATAGTGGTCTCTTGCGCTTACGCATATCATTATTTACTGACCGTAACAATCTGTAACGCCCCACACACAGCGTGTCTTACTCACATCATAAATCGCTCGAGCCCCAGCTGAGCCAGAGCCAAAGCCAGAGCCAGAGCCAGAACGTCGACTCAGGGAAATATCGAAATGGATCAAAGGGGTCGCCCGAACTTATTGCTCTGAGGACTTGCTTGATTCATTCATATCGCTCCGAGTCCGGGAATGTGCTTGATCCCTTTCAATCACTCTCTCCACATTAATATGCTAAACCCTTGTCGTAGCGCTTGGCTCACGGAAAAGAAGAGCACGAGGCATAGCCAAGGCATGCAGTCATATTTGCCGTCATAGGTGCCGTCTAACGGGAAATATGACTGCACACGTTGACCAGGACTAACACTCCTTAATCTCACCTAGGCAAATAAATAGAAAGAAGATCCATCTTTGTTATGCAGTATCGAAAATCAGAATCCACGATGCTATGTTCATACACCGCATGGGCCTTGTCATCATGCCACAAATAAATAAATAAAACGAAAACGAACCAAATGACGGGATTCATAATTACTCGACTTCGCTATGTACTACTAACAGTGGAGTCTGGACTACATACTTTGCAAAAAAATCCAAGGAATAATAAAGGTACGCTCTACGGCTAAGGACGTAAGTAAAGAAACGAAAAAAAAACTGACCGAAAACACGCAAAGTCAGAGTCAAAAACGACAGCGTGCGCAGGTACGTGTACTATTGACTGCATGTAGAATTCGTGATGAAACGATTATTGTAATGCTGATTTCGTTATTGAATATTGGGTCCTGGGTTGAACAGATGCGATTGGTGAATGCAGGTGGCATTTGCCGTTCCGTCAGGATATCTTGGTTAGAACGTAGACGGGCGTAGGGGGTGATTGGGCGCCTCTGGACCCAGATCGGACCGCCATAGTCTGATCAGAGTCAACATGCCTGGCAACCCTCGTGTCCGACAATCCCCGCACTGCGGAAGAGAAGCGTTGATGGCCAGCATGGCTTGCTTGCAGCATGACGTAGGTCAGAGCATGCGTGGCTGATATATAAGCATTCATCTTTTAAAAGAGATGTTGTGCCTGGACCTGCCTTTGCCAAGGCCGCATACAGGAAGGGTGAACTGGGTACGCATGTGGATCTTTGTTAACGTTCGTGCCTTAGTGTGATGCTCGGACTCATGGCAGATATATGCCGCATGTCGATAATTAATCAAAGATGTAGACAAAGCGTCCGTCGTTCGGCCACGATGACATGTTAAAGCAGTATGATCAGGCACCGTAGACCCGTACGTGACATAAGTAGGAAACACTGACTTTCTATGTTTATACTGAGCCACATGACAGTACATTCCCTGTGGAACGCAAGGCTCTGGTCCTTGGAACCGAGGATTTCGAATGCGTCCACTGTCCATAGAACCAAACCGACCTCCCACCTCAGTTCAAGTCTTGGGTCAACAGTGAACATCTGAGAAGAACGACGGAAGGAGGGCGACCATTACTTTACGTCTGTGCTGTACCGTTATTCATGGTGGTGGTGGTGGTAAACACAGCATATATACCTGCGACATGCTCGTTGGCACTTAAAGTTGAACCAAAGATCCTTCAATTTTTTGGGATCGGATGGAAGTTCCACTAGACAAGTTAAACACGAACTTAGTGCTTACTAAGCTCACAACGCGTTCTCCCCCCTTTTTGTTCAAAACACGTCTACGACGACCAACGAACAGAGTTCTAGACCGCCTTCTTGGGTCAGAGGAAAATTATAGCCACCCTGTTCGAACCTTGATAAGTAGAGGGTCTTCGAGCATAGAGGCAAGTAGAATCGCTGACGCTGTTGGTACGACTCCCACTCCAATGTGCACATTTGCCGATCTACACATATGGTGCGTACCACGGGGAGAGATTGGGCTCCGCTTGCGCTTGCACATATCATGATCTTCTGATTTTAACAGTTTCTAATGCCTCATACATAGCGCGTGTGGGTCACTCACATTGAGAGGCACTACTCGAGCCCCGGCAGAGGCAGAGACAGAACATTAAATCTTGACTCAGAAAGATCGAAAGGGATCAAGGCCATCCCCGTGATCACAGCCTGTCACTCCGGGACGTGCTTGATCTCTTTCGATCCCTCCCTTCACGTTCTAAACCCACGTCGTGGGGGATATTCCACAGAAAAGAACAAGCACGATTCTTGGTCAACGTGAGCAGCTTTGTTTTGAGAGGCACTACTCGAGCCCCGGCAGAGACAGAGACAGAGCATTAAACCTTGACTCAGAAAGATCGAAAGGGACCAAGGCCATCCCCGTGATCACAGTCTGTCACTCCGGGACGTGCTTGATCCCTTTCGATCCCTCTCTCCGCGTTCTAAACCCACGTCGTGGAGCATAATCCACAGAAAAGAACAAGCACGATTCTGGGCCAACGTGAGCAGCTTTATTTCCCGTTGACGTGAATATACATGGGCCATGCAAACTAGCGCTACTCAGTCTCACCTAGGCGAATATGTAGTCGTCCTGTTGTTACGCATCACTCCGAAACAACAGAACAAGCATCACATGTAGTACCGAAAACTAGAATCCATTCTACAGGTCCATACACTGTACTGAAACACTGCATGTATCGATAGGCCTGGTCACAGAGTACGTCACAAACAACAAGAAAAAAGAAAAGCGAACCCAACGACCTGTACATCGGGATACATAAGTTAACATGATTATGGCGACATCACTACCAGCGGAGTCTGGACTACATAGCCCACAAAAAATCCAGAATAATAAGAGTAATGCTCTACGAGCAACTAAGTAGGGGTAAGAAACGAAACGACTGAAAACATGCAATGCCAAACAGCGCTGCGCAGGTACTATGTATCAACTACGTGTAAAATTCGTGATGAAACGATTATTGTAATGCTGGTTTCGTTATCGGGTCCTGGGTTGAACGGATGCGATTGAATTGAATAAATGCAGGGGAGAGTTGGGAGACGGGGAGGGCATATATGTATGTGTCCATGATGGCATGAAGTTCATTCGTCGGTCATGGAATATCTTGATAGAACTCAGGCGGGCAAGAGGGGGTAGTAGCTTGCCGTCGCCTGGACTCAGGGCTGCACGGTCATAGTCTGATCAGAGTCAACATGCCTAATAACCTTCTGGTGTCCGACAATCCCGACACTGCGGAGGAAAACCGCATGCCAGCACCGCGGCTATCCAGAACAAAAACGTCAATAATGCACTCCAAACGCAAACCAACGCAATGCTCACCCATGAGCGCAAACGCAGCGGCAGTCCATTGTGCATCTTTATACCCCGCAAGCTGTGCTGACTGAGGCGCGTTAGTCCCACTGGAGTTGACAGTGACGCCCAGTTCGGAGGATTTCTTGTCTACTACGGTGTTGAACACAATCGTGGATATGGTTAGACCGAATGCAGTGCCGATCTATTCCCAAAACAAATCAAGTTAGAACCGGACGACGTTAGCAGCTTTAGTGGCACTGACTTGTGTCATAGTTTGGAATAGCGCTCCCGCAACGCTGTGCTCATGGCCGTGCGCGATTTTAGCGATGAAGATGGTACCGGATGCGTACACGAAATCAGCGCCGAACACGACGAGAACCGTGGAAGGGAACCCAAAGGCCCAATAGGTTGCGGACGGGTCGATCATCGCAAATAGGATGCAGGCAGGATGCTGTGAGCAGCGTTCCGGTGACTAAACCACGAGTCAGCCACATGTTAATATGCCTTGCATAGCATGACACATACCGACAAAAATCACCAATGGCAATCTGGCAACGACCATTGCGACGAAAAAGTTGCACAAACAGCCGACAATGAACATCGGAATGAATCGGATCATGGTTTTTACAGGCGTGAGGAACAGGTAGTTCTGATAGTACAACTGGAAACGGAGCATAGTCAGCGTTATCATGCTCCGGCGGGCGATGGAACGTAATTGACATACCTGAACCCAGAACGTCCAGGTGATGAAGGCGCTCCAATTTAGGAATGCGATGGCAAGGACAACGGCCATCCGGCCCTTAGCACGCGTCCATAATGACAGCCTCATTAGGGGTGGTGGCGTCCACATGGAGTCCGCTCTTGATGGGTCATCATCTAAAACTCGTTCCAAGTGTCGTTCCCAAAGGAGGAATAGTACGACCATGATAACGCCAAGGATAAGAAGCACGATGATATCTGTGAATGATAGCGCTGTTTGAGCGACGATCAATATGTCATGTAGAAGAAGTCTTACAAGGGGTTTTCCAGCCATTAGAAGCGACTTCTCCTTGACCGAGTACAAAGACAATCAAGACCAAGCCGACAGTGACGAGTGATGCGCCAATCCAGTCGACACGTTTGACAGCTTCCGTTGAGGGAACGTCTGCGTCGAAAGAAATAAAACCGGAAACACCTATTAGAGCGGATGTCGCTGCAGCCAAATAGAATACGGCACGCCAATGCTGACTGTGTGACAAGATAAGAAATAGGCGTAATGTATAAGCTACGTGTGACGCACGAAGAAAGCTGAGTAAGAACACCGCCGATTATGGTACCAAATGCGCCGCCAACAGGAGCGCCGGCTGCAAAAGTTGCGAATGCTAATGAACGTGCCCTAGATGGCGGGAATGCATGGGCTAGGATACCGAGCTAAGAAAGTGAATCAGGTTTTGGTTTAGATAAGGCGAGTCGAAATACTTACTGCAGATGGTATTGTAGCGGCGCCGCCAACACCTTGGAATCCACGCAAAACAGCGAGAGTAAGACCATCTGTGATTACAATGTAAATGGACGTGGAAAAAGTCGAAAATAGGAAGGCACCCACTTTGAGAAAAGCCACAACCTAGGGAAAAGGCTATCTGTAATAGAGTACCGATCATGAAGGCCTTTTTTCGTCCATAAAGATCCGCCATTCTACCAAAGAACAAAAGAAGGCAACCCTGAATGAGAAGTGAGTCATGACGAAAGAACACGAAATAACAGCAAGGACTTACCGAACTCAGTGAATAGGCAGACACGAGCCACTGGAGCTGTTCTTGCTCGATATCTAGGTCCTTCTCAATAGTAGGAAGGGATATGGAGACTGAAGTAGAGTTGGAAATCTGGAAATAATCAGATGTCACGAAGGACTTGAGGGATAAGACGGACATACATTGACCACCATCGCAGCGGTACATGTCACGACGATAAAAATGGAGCGCACAAGACTGCGCTGGGCGACATGATCCTTGCCTTTCTCAAGGTGACTTGTTGAAAGACTGAGCTCCCTGCCAGCAGGGCTGACCTGTAGCTCCTTGGACATTACTTCTCGTATTTCCTGAAAATTGAACGATGCAGGAAAAGGACGGGAATATGCAAGAGCCTAACGTGGCTGTAAACCCACTGCGACCACAGTTATATAGCATCGCGGTAACCGAACCGAATCAACGGGCGATGAACGGGATTCCTACTAAGCATGTATATCCTTTTTACATACGTAACCTGCGGCGGAACCTAAATTTGGCATGTAAGCCGGCTGGAACGCAGTTTACTACTAAACTACATCACGCAAATCATGAACAACCGTGTCCTAATACCTCAGTCCTCAGTCAGCGCACTTCCCCCCCTGGCTCTAATTAGCACTGACAATGTAACCTAGTCAATAAGCTTATCCGGATCAAGGTTAGCCCCCAATGGCTGTGGCGCGGCAATGAGCCTTTGCGCCCGGCCGCCATGCAGCATGCTGTAGTATTTCGCAAGGAACCGTAATCCTTAGACCGCTAAACACCATTGTTTCATAAAAAAACAGCAGCATGCACTCAACGCATGCTTTCACCCTCAACGCGTGTCTTCATCGTCCCTAAAGCAGCCCTACAATTCTCAAACCCCACCTATCATATCAGGCCGCAAACCTCACAATCACCTCGGTCTCAACTAGAGCGGGGATGCGTGCAGATATATTGCGATAGTGCGTGAAAACAAAAACGTATAAAAAAATTAAACGTATAAGATGATGCGTAAATGAGTAAACGTTTTAAGGCGTGCCGTCCCACTCAAGCGCTCGGGCTCAGCGCTCACTCCTGAATCTTTGCAAGAATCTCAGCATCCTTGAACAAAAAGTATTCCTGTCCCCCCAAAAAAATATAATCAGTCAGCAAAAGCCCCACCACTTCACATGACAACCAAAAAAAAACCCACCTCATCCCCTACTTTAATCGAATTTCCTCCCCACCCAGGAAGCAATACCCGATCCCCAGCCTTGACCTGAGTAGGAACCACATTCCCATCCTTGTTAGGTGCTCCAGGCCCTACGGCAATCACGGTCGCTTCGGGTAAGGGCGTAGTGGTTGATGACGAAGGTAGGAAGATGCCAGAGGCTGTTTTCTGTTACCGCATTCACAAGCAATGCAATTTCAATGGTAATGTTATGATATATGTATGTATGGAGATGAAATAGATGCAATACGCACAGTTTCAGGCTTGAACCGCTGGACCAAAACACGGTCGAGGAGAGGGATGACAGCTTTGATGGTCTTGAACGTCGCCTGGGCAGCCTAACCCATTCATTAACCGTTAGAATCACCCACACAGACTCTACCATACAACCGGCTCACTCACCATGATTTGCAAAGAAAGCTAGAGACAAAGCGAATGGGCAAAGCTGAAGAAAAAAGTTGCGCACAGAACTTTCCCGACTTTTTGGCGTTTTATTTGGTTCGAGCAAATATATTCTCACCCGCCACGTGGTCTTGACGCGACGCGTCTTGGAATCTCTCCGAAAACACCAGAAACACACTTCATCAGGAAACCCAGAAGTGACTTGTAGCAGAGCGCTTCTTTTGAATCGTCTGTAGCAGCAACATCTGAGAGACGGCCTAGTTTACGTTCACATTTGAAGCCATAAGCGTGCGCTCTCATTGGTGGAGAGGTACTTAGTCGACAGTGTCCCTGAACTATCCCAAAAGTATCGGTGTCTCCCAAGACGAGCCCAAACATAGATGAAGTAGCAGCCAGTAAGTACTAGTAGCTGAAAGGACTAAAACCTCCATACTGAGCGAGATGCGAGTTCAGTCAAAATTAGTTTTAACTTCAAATGGTTTAGTTTGATTTGCTACGACGTACTAACCCGAGCTCCTGTAGCGCTACTGCGCTTCGGCTTGCTACATAGAACTATACAGTTCGAAATGTCCCACTGATGCTTAGACCTCAGGAAAATCCGTTAGAGGGGAGCTTTCCGTCAAGCTCCAAACTTTAACTTGAAGGAGTCTGTAAGTCTCTGCCAAGGAGGACCCAGACGTACACAAGCAGATGAATGACTCTACGTGATGCAATGCGAGCAAAAGAAATACAATACCAACCACAAACCAGAGATCCAGATGAAGTAGTACCCTAAGTTAACATTGGTCGTGACAACTGAGTCATACGGTAGTGCTCGTGATGCAGGTATGTGTATGTATATATGTATGCACGGATGGAAGGAACAAGGCAGGCGCACGTAATATATAGGGAGTAATGCCATGCGCGCGTATTGAGAGTGAGGCGCACGTAAGGGAGTGATGTGATGCGTCCGCTCGCTTCCCTACCCAAGAACCATATCATCCCCCCCAGGAGGCGTCAAATCCCAGATCTCCTGGCCCCTCCCCCCATCTTCACCCCCACCACCCCGTCTCCTCGGTGGCTGCCACGCATTCTGCACAATCACCCTCTCCCGATCCATCACCCCAGAAACAGTCTCAGCCCTTCGTCTCCCAAACCCAGGACTCCCTCGTCTCTGTGCAGCTCCACCCTGATTGGCATTGGCCGGAGTTGGGGTAAGAGTAGGAGGAAGCACCGCACCCCTAGGCCGAACTGTCAATTGAGCAGCAACAGGTGGAGGGTTCGCAGGCGGGTTAAGAAGGTGTTGCATGACGATATGATTAGCAGCAATCGTCATCGTTCCTCCCAAGCGTTCCCGTTCTCTCAACTGCCTCTCCCTCTCCGCTCTCCTCTCCGCGCGTGCAGCAGCAACAGATGCGGGCGTCTCAACATCACCCTCCAGCGCATGTTCTGAACCGTGTTGATGTTGATGGTCAGAAGGTTCCTCAGCTTCTTCTCCTTCCTTCACACTACACCAAAACCTGTGTCCTTCGCTCCAAGCGGTGCTCTGACACTCCTTGCCACAATATTTCGCTTTCCTGCATCGCCTGCATTTTGCAAACTCCCGTGGATAGGTCTCCCAGCGCCCGCACAGCACTACACACCATCGATCAACATAGACTCCACACCGATAGATAGACAGACTTACTATTCGCACACTGCCGTATCCCACCCCGACTATCATCCTTCCTACACGCATTCCGCATAATCACACCCGCCCAATACGCAATTTCTGGAGGAAGTTTTGGTGGTGGGTTAGGCAGCTCGCTCTCAGTCGAACTAGGGCGGAAGGTAAACCGCTCTACGAGAGAAAACACATTCGTCATGCGTTGGGGCTGCACCGGGGTTGTAAGCAGCGCTTTCTCCTTCTCCTTGCCTCGCGCGGTAGCAGATGCTAGTGCACGGAAGAACCCGTATTGTTCTTTTGCTGGTGGGGTTGGTGGGGGGGCAGGGATAGCTGTGGCATTCCGCGTACCGCTGGGTCCAGCAACAGCCTGCTGCTGTTGAGGACGAGGTGGGAGGGTAGCAGCCGCTGGGTGGAATGATGGGCGCTGCTTATAAAATGCCTGTCGCACGTGCGGGTACTTGCTGAGATACGCGAGAAGCTGGAGACTAAAGAGCACATCTTCATCCCTGAAGGGACCTTGATCGGGATCGCGATGGTGGTGGTGATGGCTCGAGGTGCGCACAGTGTTCATCGTGGCAGTCGGCGTAGGATGCTCGCCACGATTGGCAGCTGCACCATCACGTGCAGGTTCCTCGCTATGCGTAGCATTCGGCATAACCGGAGCTATAGGCAGTGGGACAGCTGTGGCACGGGGCGTCGCGTCAGGGGCAGTGCGAACTCTCCTTTCAGCCAAAGGGACATCAACCCCACGAAGACCTCTTGCAGGAATCGTCTCGTCCAAAGCTCCAGGTGCACCAGGCGGCGCACCCATAGCAAAATCATCATTCGGCTCCAGCGACACAATCCCATCCTCCACACCCACCGCCATCCCATCTCCAACCACAGCACCCTGCCCATGGTGAATGATAATATGCGCATCTGTATCCACTTGGAGAGGTGCAGGTCCCGGGACAGCATCTGAGATTATACCCACAGCACGACGTGGACGCTGAGTAAGCGTCATCGATCGTGATGGCTGGCGTACACGGGGTGCAGAGGGAGTTGCGCCATCGTCTGTGTCCTGCGACATATCAACGTCTGCATCACCATCATCCTCAGTTTCTGTCTCCGGTCTTGAGTTGTCGGTGGATTCATCAGGTGATGCGGTAGTGGGGCGGGCACGATGAAGTCTTGCACGTAGAGTGGCAGGTGCGGGTACAGGATCATCCCAAGCGCGGTGAGCAATGATGGTACCGCTGCGCTCACGAGCATTGACTAGGACAGTTACAGTAGGGGTATCTGCACCTTGGGGCGTAGGGTTGATAGATGTTTCAGCGGAAGTATCTGCATCATGAGATGAAGATGAGGAGTGGCGGGTATAGTAAGGTCTCTCGCGTGCAGCTACGACAGGTGCGGGGGTTCCTTCCGTGTGGATTGAAATATCCGAAAAGGAAGGCTCGCCAATATCCGTCATAGTAGCATCCTGAGCAAAAATCAGTAAGGATATGACACGCAGCAGAAAAACGGACATCTTGGATTGGATCTACACGGGATGCAATTAATTCCGTCCTGTCTGCAGCGATTTGACGTTGGAGTGCGCGATGAAGCTGGGCAGCTTCTTCTCTCTGTCTGTGTTCCTGAAGTGCGGCTCTTCGGGCGAGACGCTGCTCGCGCGATTCACGGGGTAAGCCAGATGCGCTTTGGCTGGGACCGATGGCAAACCCTTTATGGGCTAGCCATGACTCAAGGATGCAACCGACTACTTCGAGTGCACCAGCCTGGACGATGCGACTCCGGATTGGCTCGCTGCCTCTTATACCGATGTTAACGATACTCTGCAGCGCCAAGCTGAATCGATATGCGGCGTGCTTGTCGTAATTTGGGGGGTTCATTGTTGGGATGAGCTTTGCAGGACGGGAATTTGGAGGAGAAAGACCATAGATGTAACCAGGGTTGTCTGGTGGGGGAGGACACAAGCAGTAATCATAAAGAATGCGCATAAGACGCTCGATCGCGCCGTCCATTGTCATTATCTCGCGTATTCGAGCTGAAGTAGAGGTTAGATATGTGAGATGGTGTAGGGAAGTGAATAGCGGGAGTGGCGAAGATGTATCGAGACCTAACAAAATAAATTTATATAAAAAATCAAGATTAATAGATAAAATAACGAACCTCGTCTATCGTAGCATTGGGAGGTGATGCAAACGCAAGCCCTATTCTGTGCGGGAAAAGCATGATTTGATTCGCGCATGTCGTGCGAGTCGACGACGACGAAGTAAGTCGTGAATGTTGTTGAAAGATATTGATCGGAACAATTGATGAATAATTTGTTCGTGCTCGCTGTTGTTGACGATGAGCTCGAGGGGATAGAAAAGAAAGGAAGATGGGGTGGGGTTTGTGGTTGCACAGGCGAGATGACTGAGACCGTTCCTTGTTTGTATTTGTTGTCCTTGTGGCCACATCATCAAATCACTGAATCTGATATTTGAATCAGTACTTCTAATCCACACCAAAGGTATGAATCATAAATATTTCACGCAGTGACGCTCATCAACCCAGTCCAAGGGCTCGAGTCACACGTTGACGCCGTCTTTTTCAAATCTCGCTGAGTTCATTCGTACACATTTAACGTTTCACACAATGATGAACGAATCCATTTCATAAAGCAACGGGTATCCCCCTATAAGATGATTATAAATAATGTTATGAATACTGGACTTCATCGGCGCTCGCCTCGTTATGGCGCGTCGCACAAGCAGATTGCGAACGTTCGAACGCCAACGCATCTCCTTCTGTCTAAGCCGAACGGCAGACTTCTTCGTCTCATCGTGGCTCATCGAAGACGCAAATTGCGAACGGAAAAACACTTTACCTAACCCCATGACACGCAAAATGACACGAATGTCTCTGCGAGTAAATCTGGGAAGTGAATCCGATAATCGAGCGCCCCAAAGATATAAAGGCTGCACTCCCTGCATCAATTCTATACTCAACAACCAAAGCAACACTCCAATAGAACCGCCATGAAGCTCGCTGTGTCTTTTGTTTTTGCTGCCCTCGCTTTGCTACAGGTGACAACGGCAGCGCCTGCTGTCGACAAGCGCATCACGAATCAGTTGGAATGTATGTCCCGACGCACCTGTAGCATCCTCACCTTGTCTAACTATGCATCCAGATCTCGCTGGCGAGGGCTCAATTGATATCTCAGGTAATTCTTCAGTGCTACCCTCATTTTTGCTTGGACAATTTATCTGGTTGACAATATAGACGTCGAGAAGCGGTTTGATGCCACCACGAGCGGTCATTCCAGTGGAATTGGGCGCCGAGATGTTATTGCCGAAAACTCCTCTGATGTCGAAGGTAATTCTTCAGCGCTAGCCTCATTTTTTCATGGACTGTTCACCTGAATGACAACATAGACCACAAGAAGCACAAGAAACCGAAGCACGGGCACCCTCCCGCTATTGGGGAGCGAGCTGTTGTTGCCGAGGACTCCTCTGATGTTGACGGTAATTCTTCAGCTTCAGCTTCGTTTTTGCGTGGACCATTCACCTGAATGACAATATAGACCACAAGAAGCACAAGAAACCGAAGCACCCCCCTCCCGCTCATGGGCCGCGAGATGTTGCTGCTGAGGACTCCTCTGATGTTGATGGTAATTCTTCAGCGCCAGCCTCGTTTTTGCATGGCCCATTCACCTGAATGACAACGTAGACCACAAGAAGCACAAGAAACCGAAGCACCCCCCTCCCGCTCATGAGCAGCGAGATGTTGCTGCTGAGGACTCCTCTGATGTCGATGGTAATTCTTCAGCGCTAGCCTCGGTTTTGCATGGCCCATTCACCTGAATGACAACATAGACCACAAGAAGCACAAGAAACCGAAGCACCCCCCTCATGAGCAGCGAGATGTTGCTGCTGAGGACTCCTCTGATGTCGATGGTAATTCTTCAGCGCCAGCCTCGTCTTTGTATGGGCCATTCACCTGAATCACAACACAGACACCAAGAAGCACAAGAAACCGAAGCACCCCCCTCATGAGCAGCGAGATGTTGCTGCTGAGGACTCCTCTGATGTCGAAGGTAATTCTTCAGCACTAGCCTCGTCTTTGTATGGGCCATTCACCTGAATCACAACACAGACACCAAGAAGCACAAGAAGCACAGGCACCCTCCCGGTATTGGGCGCCGAGATGTTATTGCCGAAAACTCCTCTGATGTCGAAGGTAATTCTTCAGCACTAGCCTCATTTTTGCATGGCCCATTCACCTGAATGACAACATAGACCACAAGAAGCCCAAGAAACCGAAGCACCCCCCTCATGAGCAGCGAGATGTTGTTGCTGAGGACTCCTCTGATGTCGATGGTAATTCTTCAGCTTCAGCCTCGTTTTTGCATGGCCCATTCACCTGAATGACAACTTAGACCACAAGAAGCACAAGAAACCGAAGCACCCCCCTCATGAGCAGCGAGATGTTGTTGCTGAGGACTCTTCTGATGTCGATGGTAATTCTTCAGCGCCAACCTCGTTTTTGCATGGCCAATTCACCTGAATGACAACATAGACCACAAGAAGCACAAGAAACCGAAGCACCCTCCTCCCGCTCATGGGCAGCGAGATGTTGCTGCTGAGGACTCCTCTGATGTCGAAGGTAATTCTTCAGCGCTAGCCTCGTTTTTGCATGGACCATTTACCTGAATGATGACATAGATGGCAAGAAGCACCCGAAGCACCCAGGTCATGGGCACATTCCTGATGTCCCTGCTTAAATCACCGGAGTGCTCGAGCTAGCTTAACGAATATAAGAGTCCAGACCTAAGGTTACGAGTCTCGGACGTGTCTTGGCTAGATTGACTTAGATGATTTGATTCACCGTTAATCACAAGCCTTTTACATGCCGTTCGCTTCTGCCGTGCCGCCAACTTACTAGGCCTCAAGACTTAATTATGTGGACCGTCTTACTTTCAAAGCCCGAGGACAGACAAGACCGTTGGTTCTACTGCTCAGATGCGCGTGAGCATCAAACCTCAAACATGAGGCCGTTATCATCATTGTGCCGCGGTCCTTTTTGAACCTCCTCGCATCTCACTTATTATGACTGCCTTCATCAAGTAGAAGGCTTAAAATCTCGAGTTACCCGGCTTAAGTTGAACTCGCCTCGACAGCAACCCCAGGATCAATTTCGAGTCCGACGAGTTACAATAATTTGGGGCGTGACATTCCTCGCGCAACGCGCCCCATTTCAAGTTAGCCTGAGTCCCTTTGCTTGATGGTACTTTTTGCGTACGCAATGCTTGAAAAATGCAGCAGCGGTTCTAGTAAGTACCGACCGACATTTAAAACGGCCAATAGTTGAGAGTGGTGGTAAGATGGTTCTCTCTCTTCTTACCCACCTGGCACTCGCCTTCCTCTCGCTGTGTGCGAATGCTTCGCCTTGTCACGGCCGTCAGACAACATCGAGCACGGTGCTCTCCAGCTCGCCATTATAATCAATTCGTAGGGGATCATGAATGTCGCCGCTGCAGATCGAGCTTTATTACAGGATCACAGCAACTTTTCCATCAATGCAGCCAACACTGCCATGGTGTACACCGCCGAAGTTGGCGTGGGCTACGTGGCAGTATACTGTAAGCTGCTTGTGCTCCACTTTAGTGGACAGATTAATAATATGTTCCATCTAGACACTCCTTGTAGATACTGGAAACTCAAACACCTGGATCTGGGCCAGCAAGCCTCAGACCAAGACAAGTACAAGTCAACATACAGGCAATCAATTCGAGTATATTTTATAGGCTCTATGTAGTGTGGTATTCACAAGGGCGATTGCTTCTGGAGTGTTTCAATCAGTCGTCAAGATATGATATTCATCACCGAATCAGTACTTTTAACCCAAACCAAAGTCCTGGTCACACGTAAATACTACTATAAAATCATAAATGTTTCACGCAGTAACGCTACCAAGTACGATCAACGTAGATCACTGACCAATCCAGTCCCAGGGTTCTATTCGCACGTTGACGTAGATCCAGCAGCCATCCTCCTATAAGATGATTACATATAATAATATTCCTGGGTATAGTCCCCGTACTCAAATCCATTCCTACATGATAACGCACTTGTCCTTCCTCTTCTTACTCTTTCTACTCGCCCCATCCTCATTCTTCCGTTTCCTCTCCTCCTCTTCCCGCTCTTGTACCCGCCGAATTTCCTGCTGCCTCTGCCGCCGCATATATATCTCATGTGATCGCCCGTCTTCTTCCGCTTGCAGCTGTCGTGCTAATGCCGCGCTGTACACTCGCGTGTCAGCACCCCATATCGGAAAAGGTTTAAAAATATCTTACTCTGGGTTTGCTTCCATCTCTAGAGCCTGCAATGCGCTTTCTGCCGTGTGTCCAGCAAAATCGCCTCCCACGGGCGTCGATCTAACGAAATCCGAGTCCACAAACGTCGAGCCAACCCCATCGACGTCTTCCAGACGCTCCCACACCACCGATGGCTCTTGCAGGAACACATGATCTGTGACCAAACTGTAAAGCGACGAGTCCTCCCCCTCTCGTTTGTGCAGCACAGAAAGATGCGAGTTTCGGAACAGCGCGACAAGCGACCCAGGCTGCAGCACAGACGCAAGTTGAAACAGTCCATGATACGTCAATTGAGACTTAGTACTATCCAAGAACGCCTGTGACACCAGCGCTATAAATCCAATCAGCGATGAAAACCACCTTAATAAACAAGCCATACCATGTTCGATCTTCTCTTTATCCTTCTCCGAATAACTATCGCATGGGCTAGTATGGCTTGCATAGCCACTCGGCCCACCTCCCGCTCCACTACTACCCTCCGCTTGACTACTACCCCCCGCATCCCCACCCCACACATCCGCAGTCTGAGTTAACAACTGACCCTTCGTAACATGATCCGCGTCCGCAATAAGCGTCACTGCAGTATCATAATCACGCACATGCTTCATCACCCTATACTCCTCACTCTCAGGGTCAACAAGCCACCCATGCACTAGCTCAATCCCCGCTTGCTCGAACAACTTCAATTCCCCACCTTCTCCTGCAGGACGGAAAGACGTAGGGCCTGTGAAGAGCGGGTTGAGGTCGAGGCCCTCTGACATAATAATATTATCAGCAGTGCACAAAACACGAGTAGAAGTAGAAGGAAGGAAGGAAGGGATGCGTACTTGTGGTACTAGGCATGATCGAGAGCGCAGCAGAGACGTCAATGTCCGGACAGCTCATGAGGAGATACTCCCCTACGAGCTGCGCAAGGAACTCATACGACACCGTCCCGCGTTCATAGGGCAGGATCTCAATCTGTCCTCGCAGGAGCAGGATATTGCCTACATATCATATCAACGCGTGATCTCACCGTCTTAGAGCAGCGTACTCACATATAGCAATGAACGAGCACGGTCTGAAAGTGACAAATTCAATAAGTGTGGTGTGGTGCATTGAGGCTGGCACATGCCGCAGAACAATAATATTACAAGACACGCACCCATTGAAATTCTGTGTAATGATCTTTAATTTTCGCTTTGACTCCGTGCTTCCAAACGCGATCTCCTTGAGGTACCAGACGTCTGCTTTTGATGCATGGAGGGTATCGGAGACGCGTTCTGTCATGAAAGTGAATTCAGCTGCGGTTGGGTTAGTGACCAAGATCAATCGAAGCAAGAACGCCAGGACAGGCACGGTGGCGGTGCACCGCAGGTACGCATTAGGTTGGTTCACACACAGTCGCACCTGCTCGTCGTCGTCTTTCACGCTCCTTGACGTCGACGCTTGAAGCTTGTGGGAAGGACTCGATCGCGACTACACGATCCTAGAACTACAAGTATCTCAAAATGAACTCGTTTGCATCTGTCGATTCTTATTCCTTATAAGACCCAAACGGTGATAGCGAATTCAAATCTTCGCTTCAACTGATAATCACCAGGGCATCTGATCGACGAGGGAAAGAAAATGACGATTGTGTACGTGGAACGTCACTTTGGTTATCACGTTAACGTTCATGGTGACATTGTTTCCATAGAATCATACTATCCACAATCAAGATGGAGGGGGAGAGCACCGTTAGAATTGGGCGATACACTGATGGACAGGTGGACTGATCAATGTGTGATTGATGGCACAGAAGGTTGATTAGTGATTCTATTTCATTAATCACACATGAACATGGGGAGGCTTCAAATCCATCCCTTGGTTCACCCTCGTCTGCTTTCATGTCAACACTTGAAGCTTTTGGAAAGGACTTGGTCGTATTTATGAAACGGCTCCTTGTGCTACAAGCATCTCAGAAAGCAACTCGTTTGCATCGGTGATCATGACTTTTATTGACTCTTATTGCTCACACTCAGATCTGCTCGTCCGGCAGGACGAGCAGATCACATCGGGGGCGATGGCGAGTTAAAATTATTGCTTTAACTGATGATCACTAGGGCGTCTCATCGACGAGGGAAAGGAAAGGAAATGATGATTAGGTACGTGAAACTTTATGTTATCGATGTTCATGCTCAAACTGTCCTATAGAACCATCATGTCCAGAATCAAGATGGAGGCGAGAAAGCACCAATCTAAATCCAACACTACGGATGTGAACAATGTGTGATTGACGAAAGTTTCTCGACCTGTTGGAAAGTCGAAGAGGTTGAGAATACTTACGTCAATCACACATGGGGCTATGAGGGGGCTTGTATATCCTTCCACGGTGTGTGTTGTCTGAAGGTATCACTCGTTTACGCAACCGTTGTCAATACCATGGGAATAAAGCATGAAAGGATCAAACACCACAGTGCTCTGTAAGGAAGTCACTAGGAGATATCAAACTATGAGTGCGATGCTGACCACTTGGACGACCCACGCAGTAGGGGCAGGATCTCGATCTGTCGCAGGAGCAGGATATATTACCCATTGTACATATCATATCATATCAACGCGATCTCAGCGTCTTGAAGCAGCCTCACATATAGCGATGAACGGACAGTCTGACCAACGACGAATTCAATAAGTGTAATTAATGTGGTGTGGTGTCTGGCGTTGGGCCTAGAATACATACCGCGCGGCCCAATGATTATTAGAACACGCACCCATGAAATTCTGTGAGATGATCTCTAATTTCCTCGACCGACGCTTAGAAGCTTTTCTCGAGCACTGAAGCGACCCCACCTTCCGAGGCTTGACTAGAAGACGGCACTTTCCGGACCGCCTAAAAACACTCGAAAATTCGAAATGGCACAGGTTTGTTCTTCGTTTTAGATGCGACATTGCCACAGCAAATATTCTGCAGAGTTCCGCAACTTTGAGCAACAGAACTTTGAGCACAGTGGTGATAGCGAGCTTCAGTCGGTTGCTCTTCCAGCTAGGGCATCTGATCGAAACGAGAGCAAAGAAAGGTCGATTGTACATGGAACATTCATTCGCGGTGGTGTTGCGGTGAGCACCAACACGATTAGTGCTATCTATCACTGCATGGTTCTACAGCGATCATTAGCAGTGCTGATGGAAACGGGTCAAGAGACCTCTTGCTAATGCCATAGAGCTTGATATTCCATCCGCGGTGCTCTGAGGGTAGCGTTAGGACCGCATTATTTTCACCGGACCTACTCCATCCGATAATGAACGACGCGAAATATCGCCCCCCATTCCTGGGCGTCATGCGGAGATAGTAGATGAGAGGGATGATATAATCGATAATTTCATTCAATCGGACATTCAGAGCAACAAGGAATAGTCTCCATGCATGTCGATCATCAATTACTCACGGAGGTCCAAAGCGCGTGTTGCGGACTTATATCTACGTCGAGAGTAAGGTCGAGGAACAATCACACTGCCAGTGGGATGGCGTGCCAAACTCCATCCGGATTCCGGCGCTCCAAGTGATTTAGAACGAGACCTATTGGCTTACTTCCTCCCCAGGCGCGCAATAGCCATCCGTAAACACGTATTTTGGTTGTGCCGACTCTGGGCGGGTTCGTCGGGCAATCATCCTCGCAACCGCCATTGATGAGGCCCTCTATTTGGACGCGAGCAAAGGGGCAGATGGCTGTTATCCTCGCCATCGCATTCCTAAATTGGAGCGCCTCCCTGAGCTGGGTCTTTTGGGTTCAAGTATGTCCACTTCCTGCTGCCTGACAGGACGTGATGACGCTCATTATGCTCCGTTCCAGTTGTACTGTCAGAACTGTCTCTTGCTCACGCCTGCGAAGACTATGATCCGGTTCATTCCAATGTTCATTGTCGGCTGTTTGTGCAACTTTTTCATTGCAATGCTCATTGCCAGATTGCCCTTGGTCATCTTTGCAGGTATGGTCCTTTGCAAGGAATATTGTCACGTGAGGCTGACACGTCGTCCAGTCAGCGGAACGCTACTGACAGCATTTGCCGGCATTTTGTTTGCGCTGATTGACCCGTCCGCAACGTACTGGGCCTTTGGATTCCCATCCGCGGTTCTCGTTGTGTTTGGCTGCGATTTTGTGTACGCCTCTGGTACGATTTTCATCGCCAAAATCGCGCTTCACCATGAGCAAAGTGTTGCCGGAGCGCTATTCCAAACTATGACACAGGTCGGTACTGGTAGAGCAACTAACGTTGTTATGTTCTAAAGTCGATTTCTTTGGGATAGCTCGGCACTGCATTCGGTGTTGCTATATCCACGATCGTGTTCAACACTGGTTAAAAAGCAGTCTGCTGACCTTGGCGTTACTGTCAATTCCGCTGAGCACTGCGAATTCGTTTTGCGTTGAAAGTGTCTTGCCGACCATCTGTCTCTGTAGCTGCGCTGCTGGCAGCGCTTTTCCTCTGGAATATGGGGATTGTTGGAGACGAGAAAATTATCAGGCATACTGACTCTGATCAGATCAAGACGGTGCTGCCTGGGTCGGATGACTCCAAGATACCCGCCATATCCGCCTAAACAGATATCATAATCTAGCCAGGAACACCTCATGCCATCATGGACCCTCATGCATGCACCCACCTCCGCACTCGTTTAATCATACCACCGTTTCCGAATCGAACCCAAATTCACCATTAGTCATTGTCCTCCGCCACAAATTCTGTACGTAGGCACATTATCACGCCCGTTATCGCTTGGACTCTAGCATTGCATTTTTCTGTCATTCCTTGCTTATCCGACGAGTAAACAACTTGTCAGGTGGACCACTGAATAGCATTTCTCGACTCCCGACTCAGGTGACTCAGGCTGGTATCAGATTAATTTCGATCGGATCAGAGACTCCCCAGAAGTTTACGCCCCTGGTCAAAAGCACGGTCCACCGGTCCTGACGAACAATAAACTTCAGGACGGTATGAGTATCGCAAGGTGAAAGGTACCTGAAATGAAAATCCATCATCACCCAGCGTCGGACCTTTTACATGAACACTACGGTTGCCAAATTGGGACGACCTTATTGTCATGCATTCGCTATGCCAGCTTGCTTATTTTCTTCGTGTTAATGAGCGTGGCGGATGCGCTTTGGCTGGCGCATCTCGTCTAACAATGGTATTTCAGTGACAATTAGGACGGAACATAAATATGGGATTCCAAAGTTCTCATCGTAGGTCAAGTCGCAGTGGAAAGGTATATAAGAGCCCCGAAAGTGTGACATTCATCAGCTTAACCGACTTTTCACTCTCGCACACCAGCAGTTTACCCAGCTGCCATCTCTTAAACAGAACCTTCTACTACTCGTAAAGACACAGCTTCGTCGTCTGTTCCACTCCGCAATCCGAAATGGACGCATTCTCAAACATCCTCGCTATCTCGTCTGCTTCAAAGGCTGACGATGAGCGGAGTCCTGCCTCGTTGACACCAGTTGATGAGGAGTATCAATCAGGCACCGGGGGTTCTTACTGCGTCATTGCTTGAACGCGTGCAGCGCTATTCATATATGGACGTAAGTAATGTTTTTTAATTCTCGGGACGACGATGGCTCACTCTCGTGTGTTGCAGCTCAAGAACACTGCTCAATGGTAGCTTGGACAGTGCGACATCATCTGTAGTGTTTTTAACTACGGGTTTCATGAGCTACACCGCGTCTCACTTCACTTCACTTATTACAATTACTACACACTTCGTTCCAACTTCGTTCCAACTTCGTTCATGCTTCGACCTTATTACAATTACTACATACTTCGTTCCAACTTCGTTCATGATATTAACTATTTCTGTTGTATTATCCCATTGGTTTTTTGGAGTTGTGTATCTTGGGTACAGGTGCAGGAGATACATTTGATACTGGCGGATATCCTGGGTAGCGCAATCATAGCACTATTTCTGAGTCGAACCGAAATTTACCAGTAGAGTGATTGTCTTCCGCCACAAGTTCTCTATGTGGTCATAATAGTACTACGTACGCTTGTTGTCGCCATTGCATTTTGTGCCGTTGGATCGCTTACCCGACCAGTAAGCAAGGATCTACTGGCAACACTTGTAAAGCGTTGCGTCCCTCATGCGTGTTTGCACTCGGACCCAGAAAACGATCTTCGGCCAGTGACTTGGTCCATCTATGACTGGAATTCTGAAACAGCCTATGTGTTGTCAGTCTTTCTTTTCTGCGATTTCAGCACGACAGAAGCTGGGTACCTGCACGCACCCCGTAATTCTGGTTTGTCACAAGAATGAAGAAGTTCTGAACTCCCGCGTGCAAAATTTATGCACCCTGCCCGGGCCCAATGATTGATATGTGGACGTAAATAATGTTTTTATTTATTTGCGGGACGATGACTCACTCTCGTTGTTGTAGCTCCAGAACACTGCTTTATGATGGCTTGGACAGTGCGACATCCTCTGTAGTGTATTAAACTATGGGTCTCATGAACTACACCGCGTCTCACTTCACTTCACTTCACTTATTACAATTACTACACACTTCGTTCCAACTTTTTTCAGCATGTTTCGACCTTTTCATCACCTCTGTTGTACTATGTTATTAGGTTCTTCGGAGCTGTGTATCTTGGGTACAGGTGCAGGAGATACATTTGATACTGTCAGACATTCTGGGTAGCGCAATCATACCACCGTTTCCGGATCGAACAGACATTCACCATTAGAGTAATTGTCTTTCGCCACGAATTCCCTATGTGGTCATAATACTACGCTCGTCGTCGCCATTGCATTTCTGTCGTTTCCTTGCTTACCGACCAGTAAGCAAGGATCTAGTGGCAATACCCGTAGAGCGTTGCCCCTGATTTTATCACGTCATTCACGCATGTTTGTACTTATCTTTTCTGCAGCTTTAGCACAACGGGAGCTAGGTATCTACATGTGCCCAGTAATTGTCAACAGGCTGGTTTGTTGCAAGGAGTATCGCTGTGCAGCGTAAGTAGTGGAGCTGAGTGGAGCCTACACGAGTAGCTCGACATCTTGGCATCAGGTTCGATGGTTGTTAGTTTATGCCGAATTCTATCAGGACGAATGTTTGGTGTCTCCATGTTTCACCAGATACATTGTCTGCAAATGATCCGGAAAGCCCTCATTAACGGATCCCGATGCCATAGCGGTCATTGCCTCAACTTCTTGCGGCAGGCTGTTCTTTGCAATGCTGACACTACCCTAGACCCATTCTTCGTCGACCCTGATGGAACGATGACAGGCACAGACGGCTTGGGTATGACAACTGTATGCCGAAATTGGGCACAGGTTTATGCTTACACCGTGGAGAACCAGAAGGCCCCTTGTGGGCAGAGCAAAACAATTAAATAAGACAAAGACGTGACGCGGAGATTATAGGTGCAGAGTCGAGCGTGACGATTTGACCTGGCACCAAGATAGACCAAGATTCAAGTGGATGTAGGAGATATCAAGCAATATATTTGTGGTGACTCGCTTTCATATATTTCATATGTTGAATAGACTCCTTGGTCCTTGCAGAGTCGAGACAGGAAGGTTCGGTTGCTGTATACTTCTTAAGGACACGGTGGCAGTGCTGTACTCATCGAAGTTGATCCTCGTCCGCACTCACTCTGACGTCTTGTCAGAGAGGCCTAAAATCCCTTCGAAGATGTCCTTCAAACACATCAATGGTATCAAGGTGCCAGTCGTACACTTACAGATGAGATGGGATCAAACGCTGTGGACTCTCTGCGAGAAGGAAAGCTGCAGACTACTATTCCCCCTGCCAGGCCTGCTACAAACACCATAGACACCTCCTGGCTGCATACACCAACGTACTATGGCCCTGGGGAGTCTCGAAGCCTTTCTCGAGCACTGAAGCAAGTGAAGGACTCAGTACTAAGCCTTACCAGAAAATGGCACTTCCTTTAGACTGTCTAGAACACGACGGAGAAAATTTTTGTTCCTCTTTTCAGATGCGCCAGCACCACCGCTTTTGGAGTTCGCAACCGCAGAGTAGCAGAAATTTGAGCGTGGTGGTGATAGCGAGCTCAATTCGCTCCTTCAGTTCACGATCTGATCATAGCGACAGCAAGGAAATGTCGATTGTGTAGATGGAACGTTAGTGTTACTGTAAGTAGTGATTTATCCGGATTGTGCTGAAGCCCCCCTCCCAATACAAACAGCTATCACTGCATGATTCTTCCACGATCATTAGCAGTACAGCAATGGGTGAAGACACCTCTCATAACATCGTAAAGGGCATCGAGGGAGCTTGGTAATCTATTTATGGTGCACTGAGGGTAGCGTTAGGACCGCGTCCATTGCACCAGGCCCACCACGTTCTGGTTGTACTAGGGTAGCAGCTTGTTTCCGCCTAAATTTCGTATTGGAAACAAGTTGCCAACCCACAATAGACAAAAGTCACATCCTTTTCTTCAATTTGGCGGAACTATGGGCTGATACCATGCGGAACTACTGCAGCACGCCAGATCTCATTGATCTAGATTCTACAGAGATCGATGGATGAATAATCGTGGCCTTTAATGATCCCTGCTGATGATTCAGTTAAACTTCAGATGAAAAGAAGTGTATATGGAACGTACTTAATCGCGGTGGTGTCGCTGTGAGCAGTCACTGATGTTATTATTGTCCAGATTGTACTGAAGCCTCCCTCCCAACAGAAATGCGACATTACTTCGGCGAGCATTAGCGATGCGGGTATGAGCAAATGAACTGATGGTGAGACCTCTCATCAATGTCCTGCAGCGCAATGAGGGAGCTTATCCATCCACAAAAATCTGAAGGTAGCGCTATGACTTGCATAATTTCACCTGGCCCACCACGTTCCGGCAGCGAAAATGAGATATCTGGGGTAGGAACAGGGCTGTAAACGTTACGAGGCACTGGGCGTCGTATAGGAAGAACGCGTAATGGGGGACTCGTTTGTCGAAGGTGAAAGTACAGTCTTGTTGGCGGACATTTTGGATGAGTAGACACTGAACCCGAGCTTAGATGACTGACGCCTAGCGACTACACTACAAAGTCAGACAGGATGACAAGCGCCTCGCCTATTCTACTGTGACAACCCTAAAGACTGCTCAAGGCGTGTAGTATTTGAAGAGCGCTCAGAATGGATGCAGGAGGGTCAGCGACCCACTCCTCCAACGTGCCCCACTCCTCCGATGGAATTTTGGCTCTGGCTCCGGGCGGCAACAAGAGCTAGGCGTATATCAAGTTAGAAGGTGCAGATACTACGGGCACATTGGGATATACCTGCGAACGGCTTCACGACACGCTTCTCGACGTCTATGTTGTCAACTAGGTGAATTTTCCACGCAAAAAACGAGGCTGGCGCTGAAGAATTACCTTCGACATCAGGAGAGCCCTCGGCAACAAGACCTGGATGCATATCTAGTTAGAACGTGCGTAGACTACGGGCACGTTGGAACATACCAGCGGACGGCTTCACGACACGCTTGTCGACAACGGGCACTGCCGCCGTCACTTGTAGCAAAGCGATGGCAGCAAAAGCAAAAGACAAGGTGAGCTTCATGATGGCTATATGTAAGAGTGATTGTTACTTGGGGTGTTGAGTGTAGAATCGAGTGAAGCCTTGATATCTTTGGAGAGCTCGATTATCAGACCCACGTCACAGACTTCGTATCGTTATCTTGTCGTGTCGTTTTGCACGTCACGGAGTTAGGCAAAGCGTTCTTCCATTCATTCGCGACCTGGAGGCGCCACGACAGGAGGTGCGTGGATTTTGCGTATTATCTGCTTGGGCAAAGCGTTCTTCCGTTCGCAGCCTGCTCGGGCAAAGCGGTATCTGACAAATCACCATCAGGTAGATACTTTGCCGCTGACGAGCAAAAAGAGGTTCAACAACTGCTTTTCAGATATACCACGCACCTTCATGGCTTGGTATCTGCCTCTCCAAATCCACGATGAAGACTCTGAAGACACCATTCTCCTCTCAAGCAAACCGTACCACAGATCCCTATTTGAATGGCACGCTTGGACTACACTGGAACTCTCCGTCCTCGCGGTGGTTTGTGCATGCTTGGTGTACAACCTCTGACAGTATTTCCGGGTCACGTGATGCCCGTGGATTGCACCAGCCTAATCAGTTTCCAGGTCTCGATTTATCGATGATCCCTGGGAAAAGCAAAAGGGTACGTACGTTCAGTCATCATCACTGCGTTATGAATGGACCCGTGTGGCCAGCATCAAGGATGTGCTTCCCAAGCATCATCGTACGGGCGAACAAAGCTTTACCTGACCAGATGTACACTTCGGGCTCGCACGTTATTCTGAGTGAGAATGTCAGTAGATCTCCGTGAACTGAAGTGACTTGGTCGTTTATATTGTTACAGGACTCACACCACTCTATCCTCCTCCGAGTCGATGTAGAACCGTCGCTGTGATCACCTCGTTAATGTTCATGGTGAATTTTTTCCTATGGAATCATACATAATACGACATTTCCAGAATAAAGATGGAGGAGAGAGCATCGTTAGAAATCCGGCGATACGGGTATGAACAAGTGAAATGATGTGTAATTGATGACGGGGCTTCAAATTCATCCACGGTTCTTTAGTTCAAAGGTATCACTCGTTTATACGACTCTTGCCGATACCACGGGAATGGCAGGAAGGATCAGACACCATAGTGCTTTGGAAGTCAGTGATTCACAATTGGCACTTTAAGGTGAGCCGTGCTACTAGTGTGCGACGTGGCCAATGCACTGAGATATCTGGTTGAGCGATAGATTTCCGCATGTTGAAAAAACGAGCCCGTGCCCGACTCTCGGAGTCGGGAGTGCAGCGCCTCGAATTTTGCGTCTTTACTATTAGACACTGTATCACACCCTCATCCTCGTCCGCAAGAGCTCACTTCGATGCTGACACTGACGCTTGAAGCTTTCTCGATCACTGAATCGAGCGAAAGGACTTAGTCTTGACTAGAAAATAGCACTTCCCTTTGGACCGTCTACAAAGACTCGAAAAACGAATTGCTTTTGGAGTTTGGCGGATGGAAAGCAACAGAACTTTGCGCGCAAGGCAATGTCAATTTCGCACAAAAAATTCAGTCGTGGTGAGCAGCAATGTAATTTTATCCGGATTGTGCTGAAGACGCCCTCCCGATACAAGTAGCTACCGCTGCATTGGTCTTCAGCTACCAATAGCAGTACTTATAGCAACAGATCAAGAAGCCTCTAATCAACGTCCTATTCTTGACTTCCGGCAGAAACTATGGGCTAATACGTGCTACACTGCAGCACACTAGAGCCCCTTCTACAGAGGTTATTGAATGGATCAATTCGTGCCCTTCTACGACCCCTGCTGACGAGTAGCAAAAATTTGGGTGCGGTGGTAATAGCGAGGTGAGGTTGTTTGCTTTGACTCATGATAATCACAAGGGCGTCTGATGCAAGCGAGGAAAAGGAAAGGACGATTGTGTACTTCTTGATCGCGGTGATGTCGCTGTGAGTAGTGATGTGGTTATTTTCCGGATTGTCCTGAACCCTCCCTCCCAACAGAAATGCACTATTACTTCGGCGAGCATTACAATCCAGGTATGAGCAAGTGACTCACTGATAGCGAGATCTCTCAAGAACGTCATACAGACAATGTGTCAGCTTATCCATCTACGATGTTCTCAAGGTAGTGTTGCGACATCGTAATCTTCACCTGGCCCCACCACGTTCCGGCAGCCTTTTCAAGAACATTGATATTAGAAACAAGTGTCCCGAAATTATCGTCCGAAACAGTCCGCACCGCGCGCGCGATACTGCTTTTCATATCTACAACCTTGGATATTCACCTGTTTCACGTCTACGTCTGAATTTTAGCAATAGCACGAACACCCTTGCTATACTGTCACCACAACTCCGAGATATGGCTCTGATATCAATTGAAGATGATGATCTATGTCTACCGACACGCCTTGAATGACAGGAACGACCAGGCTGACTACGCTACTCTGACCTCCGCAAAGCCGCGAACTCTACAACCACTCCTGCTAGTTTCCCACTCCACCGGACTGACCACTCCCGTCAGGGACATAATAGGCGGCCTCGCTACGCTTCTCGACTTCTATGTTGCAAACCAGGTGAACAGAACATTCGACAATAAAGCTAGCACTAGAGAATTACCTTCGGCATCAGTGGAGCCCTCAGAAACGAGGTCTATGCCACGAGTATCTCATCAAACTTGGCGCAGATCATACAGACACATTGAGACATACCTGCGAACGACTTCATGGCACGCTTCTCAACTTCTATGTTGGTAACAAAGTGAGCAGAACACGCGAAAATGAGGCTGGATACTACAGGTGCACAGGGACATACCTGTGATCGGCTTCATGGCACGCTTGTCGACAACAGGCACTGCCGCTGTCACCTGTACCAAAGCGACGGCAGCAATAACAAAAGACAAAGTGAGCTTCATGGTGGCTAGATGTAAGAGTGATTGGTGGTGTGTTGCTTGGGGTGTCGAGTGTAGAATCGATGCAGGGAGTGGAACCTTTATATCTTTGAGGGGCTCGATTATCAGACCCATTTCAAACTCACTCGCGGAGACCTTCGTGTCGTTATCTTACCGTGTCGTGTCGTGTGTCATACGGTTGGGCGAAGTGTTCTTCTGTTCGCGACCTGCGTTTTTGATGCGCCACGACAGGAGGTACGTGGCGGGGTTTGTGATGAGAATACTTGGAGGGTCTTTCATTTTGCGTATCATTCACTTCCGTTAGACAGCAGGAAGGGTGTGGCAGGGGTCATAGTGCTACGACTCGGAGACAGTTCTCTCGTTTGATCTAAATGAGCCACTGCGGAGATTTCAGTAGGAACGGGCATATGGCTCGTATCTTGCCAGATCAACCTCAAATCAACTCAATTGATTTTTGAAATCAATTGAACGCGACTGTACGTTTATCTATCAAAACGACTGCTCGTTTCATCGTTGACAATGACGAATAGCGACTCTTAGGACCAACACTCAGATCTGCGCCATCACTTCTTATCTGCAGATGAGATGAGAGGTAATGACGAGTTCAAATCGATGTTTTAACTGACAATCACCACGGCGTTTGAGGAAAGGAAAAGACGACTGGGTACGTGGTACGAGGCCCTACGAGGTGGAACGTCGCTGTTATCGTCTTGTTAATATCCATGGTGACATTGTTCCTATTGGATCTTACACGGTGCCGAGATAAAAGAGGGAGCATCGTTATACACCTGGTTAATATTTCCAGGTATGATGTGTGTGTGTGTGCCAATGATTGTTGAACGTTGAAATCTAGTTCAAATTTCAATTCGCCAAAGGGTTGGGCATCAATCACACATGAAGATGAGTATCTATCCAGGTTGTCTGAAGGTATGTATGTATCAGGCCGCTGGCACTCGTTTATACACTCTCTGGGTTCATTGTATTCGACACAATAATGAGATATATTTGAGATAGGTGAAAGCGTAGTCCACAGGTCCCCGACTCTACGAAGTAGGGAGGATTCTGTCAGCTCCAAACGGCCAGGCACCTGTATGCAAATGTGCGCGTGAACTTATTTCCTAATTCACAACCTCACAACGGACGATTATTTTCATGTGCGCGTGAAAAGTTTCCCTTTTTCTGAAAAATGGGCCAGAAGCCTAGATTCGCTCACTCAGGACAAGGAATCTGAGACATGATAGCAAGGAGACCATAGTGTGCAAGGCGGAAGATGAAGGAAGATGGCAAAGGGAGAATCGAAAACCGGGATGGAAAAGGAGAGTCGCAAATCAATAGTCGTTTAACGAGTAACTGCATTATGGAATAAAATCTAAGAGATCAGAGACTGCACAGATGGAAAACAGACAGAAATCACAACGGCCGCAATTGCCCGAGTGATCAATTCTGTGTCGGCCGAGTCGGGGATTGGCGCTCGCGCCGCTACGATCTGTAGCTTGGTATGATGGTATCTCTTATGTAATGCATTCAAGACACGTCTTGTACCTCCCAACGCTGGTTGTGAATCAATGACTTTCAACTATGGCATTTGATCCTTTCATACTTTGTTCCGGTTGTGTAACATGTTGTCGGGACTCGCCGAGGATGGGAACGGTGGCAGTGCAGTGTAAGTTTTACTGTCACGATCGCACACTCATCCTATCTTTGGTTTTCTAGGAGAGACTGCACGCGTGACGCATCCTCGTCCGCAAGAGCTCACTTCACCGCTGAAGCGTTGACACTTGAAGCTTTCTTGAGCACTGAAGCGAGCAAAAGGACTCAGTCTTGACCAGAAAACGGCACTTCCCTTCGGACTATCTAAAAAATTTGACACATAACGGAGAAAAAGTTCGTTGCTCGTTTCAGACGCACCATCACCACCGCTTTTGGAATTTGGTGAACAAAAAGCAGCAGAAATTTGAACGCAGTGCACCGTGATAGCGAGCTCCAGTTGCTTGTAATCAATAGGGCATCGATCGAGGCGAGAGCAAGGAAATGTCGATTGTGCACATGGGACGTTCGGTCGCGATGAGCAGCAATCACATTTTTTACTGATTAATTACTAATGCCGACTGGTCAAGAGACTTCATCAACGTCGTACAGGGCATCCATGGCGCTTGACAATCCATTCATGGTGATCTGATGGTAGTGTTAGGATCACGTCATTTTCACTATGTTCTAGTTGTAGGGTGGCAATTTGTTCATATCGGAAACAAGTTGCCAACCCACAGCATAGTACTCGAATCATGCCCTTTTTCTTCTTGCATTCCATTGGAAACTATGGGCTAATGGCGTACAATTTTGCAGCACATTATAGTTGCGCTAGAGTCCCTTCTACAGAGGTTATTGGATGAATTAATTTATGCCTTTCCACGACCCCTGCTGGCAATCCTGTCAGACTTGAAGAAAAGGAAAGGACGCCTGTGTACATGTAACATTTGTGATATCACTGTGAGCTGTAATGTGATTATTGTCTAGATTGTACTGAAGCTTCCTTCCCAACAGAAATGCACCATTACTTACTTTGGCGAGTATTGCCAATGAACAAGTGAACTGATGGCGAGATCTCTCATCAATGTCATACAGGGCAACGAGAGAGCTTATCCATCTACGATGCTCTGAAGGTAGCGTTACGACTTCGTCATTTTCACCTGGCCCACCACGTTCCTGCAGCCCTTTCAAGAACATTGATATTGGAAACAAGTGACCCGAAATTCAAAACGGTCCGCGCCGTGCGTGTGACACTGCTTTTCAAATTTACAACCTCTCAATGTTTGATTCAACCAACACAGCGGGAAAAAGAGTTGAAAGTAGGGTGGAAGAGATGAAAAGGAAATGCGGTGGAAATGTAATACAATGTATGTGTAGTCAAGACAACACGGCTCCTGAATTTTAATGTTGAATCACTGCAGGATCATTGCAGGCCTCAACAGGCCCTTCGGCAAGGGCCTCGACACTCGGAACATATTCCGATTGACTGCTATTGAATTTCGAGACCCTTGTGCAACGAGGGCCTGTTGAGGGCCTACGATGATCCTGTGGTTATTTAACATTTCAAGAGCCACCATGTTGCGAATACATTAAGTATTACATTTCCACCCCATTTCCTTTGCATCTCTGCCACCCTAGTTGTCTCTTTGCCCGCAGTGCACGCACGACTTCCCCGTTCTATTTGATTCTATACAAAAATGGCAATGCTTACAGTAGAACAAGGCCATCAGGAAACATATCATTCCGTTTCACATTTACGCCTTAATTCAACAATCAAAGCCCTGGATGGTGATATACCTAGCACGAATGCCCTTGTCACACGTCCACCATTATTCAATCCCTTAGACATGACCCCGACATCAAATAACCCCAGTCGGTGGCCACTTATCAATGCTTCGCGGAAAATATCGCGAGTTTCTCATGCGTGTAAACGCTGATACCTTCTCGACAGCAAAGCTCGAGGCAAGCAATATATTCAGGAGTCACGCGCGATATGTGTCTCGATCAGTTGTCACAAAGTGACTACCGCCCGCAAAAGAGAAAACAACCCTCCCAAAGCCATTCATCACCTCGAAATAAAGCACCACGAAACTGAATCCACATGACACACTCTCTCCTAGAGCTTCTCGGTAGTAGCCCCCGCCAGATGCGCCTGAACCAGCACAATCAATTTGAATTTAAACCTGGTCAACAAATCAATGCAAGGATACTCCTCGAACCCAAACCCATTTGTTTGAACAGGTTGGCTCTTGAAGGTTAACAAACAGATATGACTTGGAAAAAAAAGGAATGGCTGTCTTCCTTCCGCTCCGCCACGCCTGAACCTCAACGTCGATCTCATCTATTCATCCATGATTCAACTTCGTAGTATTTTAGAATATTTGTGTAATTGGATTGCGATAAGCTAGTAGATTATTGATTGGGGCAGAGATGCTGATACGGGAATAATTGTCATATCTCGGTAATCCGCAGTTAATTCGATGGGCCACTGGTATACTCAGTCGTGGCGAACCCGACTCGGGAGTTTGTTGTGTCGAATACCGAGGAAAAACGCCCTGCGGATGAATGATTCAGTAGCTTCTTGCTTGGTGAAAAAATAGCGCAGCATGAAGCCAAAACCAGAGTTGCTCCCGATGTTACCAATGACCAGGTATCTGCCAATGGCGCTGTCCAATGATTGAGGTCAGATTTTCTCGCTCACAATATACACCGCCGATATTGAAATATAAAGATGAGAGGCTCTCATATTGGTCGAGTGAGATCTTTAGCAAGCCAGTGCCAGTGATATCATCAAGGGTTGAACCTGTCGCCAACACATAACTGTTGAGGGCATCTGAGCTGTGGGTCAGCAGGATGGCAATGTCGTATAGGGCAAGGGCCTGCCAGTGAGAATAAACGTGGTGTTGACGATACCAGCCGTCTCGGTCAAGATCGACATGGTCCCATAACTGATTGATCGATTAGCGCCCCAATATGTATTCGCCGGAGACGTTGAGATGATAGGCACACAATTTATGTCTCTGCTGATTTTGGACGCGTCGTAGTAACCGCCGAACGTGAGCTCGCCGGTGGCGTTAGCAGGTGCGAAGAACGCCTGAGTACTTTTGAACCAATTGTTTTCTGTGCGTCAAGGTGATCCATCACAGTCGGGACTTCATTCGTATTGCTGACGGGACTGGGCCTGCATTAAGTCAACCGGTCCAAATCTTGTCCGGACGCCGACAAAGTGGATTTGGCACCATGATTGCTGATTCAATTTTTTGAAACACTCTAGAACAACTCTAGAAGCAATTGCCCTTGTGAATTACCGCGCTATGTAAACACCATGGTAGTGTTGGCTGTATTGATGGAAAAGCTGCTGTGATCCTGCAGTAAAGCTCGATCGGAGTGGCGACATTCGTGATCTCCTGTGAGTTGATTCTAACGGCGAGCTGGAGAGCGCCGTGCTCGATGTGGTCCGAGGACGAGGCGAAGCATTCGCAGACAGCGAGAGGAAGGCGAGCGCCGGCTGGGTAAGAAGAGATAACCATCTTACCACCAATCTCAACTGTTGGCCGTTTAAAATGTCGGCCGGTACTTATGTACTAGAAACGCTGCTGCATTTTGCAAGCATCGCGGACGCGAAAAGCATCAAGCGAAGCGACTCGGACCAACTTGAAATTGATGTTGTGCTTGACCTAGCGTGGGAGTTGAACTCGAGCCGGGTAACTTGATGCGAGGAGGTTCGGAAAGGCCCGCGGCACATTGATCACGGCATCATCCATCATTGAGGAGTAGAACTGGCAATGGTCTTGAAATGCTTTGTCCTTCCAGTTGTGCGTTGAAAATGAGACGGTCCACATGCTCAAGTCTTGTAAGGTGGCAGAGGCACGGGAGGAGCGAACGATATGCAAAGAACTTGTCATTAACGGTAAATCATGTCATCTCAATCTAGCCAAGACGCGTCCGAGACTCGTAACCTTAGGTCCGAACTTTCGTTAAGCTACTCTAACCTCTGCAAACTGTGGACTACTTAGGGGCGCCCATCATGAATGTGGGTGCTTCTTGTGCTTCTTACAGTTTATGCTGTGATTCAGGTGAATGGTCTATGCAAAAACAAGGCTAGCGCTGAAGAAGTACCTTCGATGTCAAAGGAGTCCTCAGCAACATCTCGCTGCCCATGAGAGGGAGGGGGGTGCTTCGGCTTCTTCTTGTGCTTCATGTCGTCTACGTTTTCATTCAGGTGAATGGTCCGTGCAAAATGAGGCTAGCGCGGAAGAATTACCATCATCAAGGGAGTCCTCAGCAACATCTCGCGGCCCATGAGCGGGAGGGGGGTGCTTCGGTTTCTTGGGCTTCTTGTGGTCTATGTTGTCATTCATGTGAATGGGCCATGCAAAAACGAGCTAACGCTGAATAATTACCATCGACATCAGAAGAGTCCTCAGCAACATCTCGCGGCCCATGAGCGGGAGGGGGGTGCTTCGGTTTCTTGGGCTTCTTGTGGTCTATGTTGTCATTCAGATGAATGGGCCATGCAACATGAGGCTAGCGCGGAAGAATTACCATCATCAGGGGAGCCCTCAGCAACATCTCGCGGCCCATGAGCGGGAGGGGGGTGCTTCGGTTTCTTGGGCTTCTTGTGGTCTATGTTGTCATTCAGATGAATGGGCCATGCAAAATGAGGCTAGCGGGGAAGAATTACCATCATCAGGGGAGCCCTCAGCAACATCTCGCGGCCCATGAGCGGGAGGGGGGTGCTTCGGTTTCTTGGGCTTCTTGTGGTCTATGTTGTCATTCAGATGAATGGGCCATGCAACATGAGGCTAGCGCGGAAGAATTACCATCATCAGGGGAGCCCTCAGCAACATCTCGCGGCCCATGAGCAGGAGGGGGGTGCTTCGGTTTCTTGGGCTTCTTGTGGTCTATGTTGTCATTCAGATGAATGGGCCATGCAAAATGAGGCTAGCGCAGAAGAATTACCATCATCAAGGGAGTCCTCAGCAACAACATCTCGCTCCCCATGAGGGTGCTTCTTCTTCTTGTGCTTGGCGTCTATGTTGTCATTCAGGTGAATGGACCATGCAAAGACAAGGCTGGCGCTGAAGAATTACCTTCGGCATCAGAGGAGTCCTCAGCAACATCTCGCTCTCCATGATGGTGCTTCTTCTTCTTGTGCCACTTGGCGTCTATGTTGTCATTCAGGTGAATGGACCATGCAAAGACAAGGCTGGCGCTGAAGAATTACCTTCGGCATCAGAGGAGTCCTCAGCAACATCTCGCTCTCCATGATGGTGCTTCTTCTTTTTGTGCCACTTGGCGTCTATGTTGTCATTCAGGTGAATGGACCATGCAAAGACAAGGCTGGCGCTAAAGAATTACCTTCGGCATCAGAGGAGTCCTCAGCAACATCTCGCTCTCCATGATGGTGCTTCTTCTTCTTGTGCCACTTGGCGTCTATGTTGTCATTCAGGTGAATGGACCATGCAAAGACAAGGCTGGCGCTGAAGAATTACCTTCGGCATCAGAGGAGTCCTCAGCAACATCTCGCGGCCCATGAGCGGGAGGGGGGTGCTTCGGTTTCTTGGGCTTCTTGTGGTCTATGTTGTCATCCAGGTGAATGGGCCATGCAAAAACGAGGCTAACGCTGAAGAATTACCATCAACATCAGAGGAGTCTTCGACAACATCTCGGCGCCCAATTCCACTGGAATGACCGCGCGTGGCCGCATCAAAACGCTTCTCGACGTCTATGTTGTCAATCAGATAAATGGTCCAGGCAAAAACGAGGCTTGCACTGAAGAATTACCTGCAACATCAGGGGAGCGCTCGGCAACGAAATCTGGATAGATATATGGTTATACAGGGTGGGGATACTACAGGTGCGTCGGGACATACCTGCGATCGGCTTAATGGCACGCTCGTCGACAAGAGGTGCTGCCGCAGTCACCTGTAGCAAAGCGAGGGCAGCAAAAACAAAAGACACAGCGAGCTTCATGGTGGCTCGATTGGAGTGTTACTTGGGTTGTTGAGTGTAGAATCGTTGCAGGGAGTGCACCCTTTATATCTTTGGGGAGCTCGCTTACAGACCCACTTCGCAGACTCACTCGGAGAGCCCTTCGTGTCGTTACCTTATCGAGTCGTTTTTCGTGTTATGTGGTTAGCCAAAGTGTTCTTCCGTTCGCAACATGCGTTTTCGATGAGTCACGACGAGACGAAAAAGTCTGCCGTCGGTTTGAATAGAAAGAGGTGCGTGGTGGAGCTGGTGATGAGAATACCCTCCGGGTATTCTTTCATTATGATTTGCTTAGGCAAAGCATTCTTCCGTTCGCAACCGGCTAGTGCGACGCGTCATAAGGAGGTGAGGAAGTGTGTAGGGGTCATAGTGAGAACTCTGTTTAACAGTCCTCTCGTTCGATCAAAAAGAACCAGACAAGGATATGTCACTGCGGAGATTTCAGTATGCACGGGCCTCACTGGATGTGTTCTTGATTTATGAACCAATTGTCATGTAGACAAAAAAATAAAGAAATTTCCTGAGCCCTGCATAAACATGATACTTACGAGTTATCAACTCGGAGTTCTCCTCTCATGCATAGGCTCCGCGCCCTGGGGCGTTCGCATCTGGTAAACCACTAGGAGTGTGTATGTTGCCGCTGACAGGGTTCAATAATTACTTTTCAGGTATACTACGCACCTCCATAACTTCATATTCGCCTCTTCGAACGCACAATCTAGAGCATCAACTTGAAAACTCTGAAGACGCCATTCTCCTCCCCAGGAAAGAATTCACTTCCGAATACAGTGCGGCAGATTCCTCATTCGAATGGCCCGCTTGGACTGCACTGAAACTCTCCGTCCTCGCAATTGTTTGTGCATGCACAGGGCATATCGCCTCTGCTAGTGTTTCCTAGCCGCGCAATGCCCATGGGGTGCGCCAGCCTAACCAGTTTCCAGGTCTCGAATTTATCGACGATCTCCGGGAAGAGCAAAAGGGTACGTACGTTCAGTCATCATGAAAATTGTGTCATGAATGGACCTGTGTGGCCAGCACCAAAGATGTACTTCCCAAGCACCATCATACGGGCGAACAAAGCCTTACTGACCAAATGCAGTTCTTCGGGCTCGCACGTTATCCTGAGAGAATGTAAGTGGATCTCTGTGACCTGAAGCGATTCGGTCACTTTATATCGTTCCAGGACGCAATGTTCTATGTACCAGTGGAAATTTGGCCCTTCTAAATTCGCCTCTTGCTACATCGACAGTGTCGTTCCCACTCTCAAAGATGGTCTTGCGGTCAACAAGACCTATACTTCATTTGGCACCCTGACCAAAATCCAGATTTGGAACGTTACCACTCCTTGAGGGCATGAGGAGCCTCAGCTGAAACACACGACCCCAATGAATTGTACTAACGGGCACTGTCGCAGCTGCCGACGCGGTTCTCGTGTGGTAAGAAAACGACTGTTAGCATTGATGTTGCCTGCGATCGTTGGTTGTAGACTTGGATTCGAGCAAATACTCTCATCTCCGTTGGATGTACATATTACAGCTTGAGGTGCCAAACTGATCCATGGCCACGTAGCTTTCGACTTGATGCTCGAGATACTAATTAGAATAGGTGTTCAGTCAGATACTGATTACATAAGCAATACTATGACTGGTACAGTTGAAATGTTCATAATGCATATTGCATAATGTATAACTTTTACATGACCAATATGCATTATGGGGTACCGAATTGATAGGATGGGACATGTGCATGAGGTAGTGGTACCCCATAAATATATTGATCTGCTTTGGCGGCATTGTTTCTTTCAAATATGTATAGAAGGAATGATTACGACGCGGTACTACTATTATACACATGTTGATTCTGGCGACGAAGCGGGTGCATCAATCTCACATCCAGATCTCCTTGATTTGTGCCTGTGCTCCTCAGTTTTCATCATCACAACTTCATATATTTTGTCCTAACCTATGAAAAGAAGAGCTTCTTAATTAATGCTAGACAAATATCTTTAGAACAATTCTTATAATACATGTAGTTGTGTAGAAACTATAGATAATTTGCTGTCACACTTTTGGCGGAGGTCACACATGTCACAAGCATTTCAACTGTAATCAACTTCCTCCCTGGGCACGTCAAACCTCTCTCCGCGTTCCAAACAGCACCACAGCTCTCAACCATCCACCTGCAGCATGCATCCGCCACTACATGCTGTATCCACGCCGCTCCCGTTGCACACGTGAGGGTGACCCAACTACATCCGTTACTATGCACCCTTCCGTGGACCGGTGCCCCACTACTCCCTCCTCCGACAAGAATGTTCCATGGGGAGCTCACCTTCGCCTATATGCCGATAGCGTAAGGGGCAGAACAACTTCGCCTCTTATTTTTTCCGGTCGGTAGAACTATTGGAAGGCTACTATCTTTCGACATTCTAACGACCAATGACGACGTAATAATAATGCTCATCCCATCCAACATCCTCGCCATTGCAATCAATAATATTAATATCAACCTCTCATATGGCAAGTTAGAGTTTGACAATGGTGCTGACTTACCACGAGAATCCAGAGAAATAGCTTCTGCAATTTACAGCATGACCGCCGATTGCTATTCAATTCGTGACTTTCTGAGGCACACAAACTAGATTCTACACGCTGCCGATCGCTACTAAACTATACAAGTTACTCCTTAGCAAATTCTCCCACACATTCGCATGAAGTTAAGCATTTCCGTCCCCTTAAGTAGTCAATCATCACCTCTAAGTTCTATCATCTCCCAGTGACATTCACTTCTGGCAGAACCGGTTAGGAGAATTCCTCTAAGGCAGGCGGGCCCGGCCCGTGGAGGAGGGTGATCGCACCGTCCTGGCCCTGAAGGAGATCATGCTGCAGAGTGGTAGAATTTGCTTCTTAAAGTTTTTTGTTCCCATGAACTCCAGCCCGCAGATCGGCACAATCGACGGGTCTGGCAGTTTTGTTCAACCAAGCGTAAGTTCCGCAGATGGGTTCTGGAGAGCGTATTTGACTCACCGCAGGTAAGATGAATAGCAAGTGGTCGATATTCTGACCCTTGACGACAAGGTTCTTTCCTTAGGCCCCAAAAATTTGATCGGGTTGCTTCCCCCGTCAAAAGGAATATTCTTATCAGACGAAAGGACATTTTGGTTTTTCTAGGGGAGCGTAGCATGAAGCAAGCGGTTTTACGTGGAGTAGCACGTTATTTGTCGTCCCTGCCAGCAACGGCTCGAGCTATAGCTTGCAATACTAGTGGCCCCTGGTAATTTGCGACTTGTCACAGCTATGCATACGCATAAGTGACTGGAACTCCTTCAGATCACATCCAGCGACAGACTCGATGCTTCACAGCCTCAAACGTCGATCCTCGGAAATACTGCGCATATTTGGGCCCAGTGCTTTCGTCATTAGCATCTTATTGAACATCCTCACCATCCTGCGCGTGCAAAATAGATCGGTCGATGATAGGAAGTACAGTATGTCGTTCTCGCCTTCACGTTCACGGGCAGCCACGGTAGTTCAATCTCACTCACCATATTTGATGCAGCTTACATTGACGATGATTATCCGACTGAATTACCCCTCCGCCTGGACACCATCGCGATGACGTTTAACAGCACAGACCATTACAGTACATCTGGGATCATGGTCTGGTTCGAGTGGAATTCACTAGATCATTTTCCACGAGACTGGCACGGATTTGTGCGCCTGGGACCAGACGGTAAATTACCATCGATCCATATTTGTCGATGCGTGTCAGACACTCAATGCTCCCAAATTCTGTCAGGGCGAGTGTTTGGTATCTCGATGTTTCACCAGATTCATTGCCTACAAATGATCCGTCATTAACGGGCCCGATGACCATAGTGGTCATCGTTTTAACATCTTGCGGTAGGCCGTTCTTTGTAATTCTGATATCACCCTCGACCCACTCAATGTCGAATCCGATGGCACGTTGACAGGCACAGACGGCTTGGGTGTGACGCATGTGTGCCGGGATTGGACACAGGTTTATGCGTACATCGTGGAGAACCACAAGGGCCCTTTGTGGGGTTAAGACAGAGACGTGATGCAGAGGACATAGATGCAGAGTCGAGCATGACGATCTGACCTGGCACCGACGATGAATAGGATCAGCTAGAGAAGGCAGCCTGTTCATTTGACGTTACCGCTGTAATCTTGTGTGATAACTGCGGTGTTCTGCTTTATCAGCTATATGTTTTGGTCTCGTGTGATAGGCGTCTAATCAGCAAACTTGTCACGAGGCCCGCAAAAGCATTGTTGAAGGGATGTAATCATGATCTGTTGAGGATATGGAGTTGGCTGCTGAGCGCAGAGCAGCGCAGGTGCCGACTGTGCTAACAGTTCATGCCACCCTGTAGAAACAAATATAACAGCAATCACCTCGAGTGATTCCTCCCCGTCACGAAAACCTGAGCATGAGGCTCATCGACGTTTGACGATACATCGACCACATCCTTCGAGTTTTAGTCTGTCAAGCTGCTCTGCGCCACCCTTCTTGCCACTATGCCAGCTATCCACCTCTTCGCCTTTCGTTCTCCAGTGGCTTCCTGACTCCGTATTCCGTGACGCGTTTTCATCTTCCGCGCGGTATTCCAAGTATTGTGTGGGTCGCCATTGTGAGGAAGGAGGAACTTTTCTAGTATGTCGCCGTGCTTCTCTCCGTGTATTTTGCTTTCTGGTAGGCTGTGGGTTGCGAGGGTGCAAATACTTGGAGGTGCAAGTAGGTGTCCCAAGAGTCCGAGTGTACCTACTCAGTACCCATCACAAAAGAAATCGGTCCTATTTATGTAGTGACGCGTGGTGGCACTTACGTAGTATAGTTGGGCCCTAGGCAAGCACTCGGATCTCCCCCCTCGCAAAAAGGGACGTAGATACATAATTCGTCTGCGGGACACACAAAGGCATCTGAGTGCATTAAGGGGGAATCGAACCCCCGGCGGGTCGATGGCAACGACCCAGGTTACCACTACCCCATTAATGCCTGGCAGTTGAGTACTACAAGATTAGATGCCAAGCAAAGCCATCAGCTTCCGCTTGTCCGCCTCCTGCTCAGGATCTTCATATGTCACCCGCAGACCATCATCGCTCGGACACGCACTCCTGTCCAGCAGGCTCATTGCGTCATAGTACATGGGCTGGTGAGGTAGCACAAGTCACGCCGGAGATTCGTCGGAGATGGTCTCGCGTGATTCCTGCCGAGATCATCAACAGATAATAAATGAATCAGTATTCAAGAAAGAGAGATTCAAGACTGCCAACAAACCTTGGAACACAACCACCTGCCATTTTGTTGCTCCGGGCGTACAACATCATCCTCTCTGACGTCTGTTTTTCCAAGCAGTGTCGTCAAACTCTCCTGCAGCTCGCGCGCCACAGTCTCGTGGATGAGGCACTCACACGGGCGATGGTTCGGACGTATATCTGGGCTTGGTGGAAGCTTCATTGGCGAGGGTGAGCTGGAAGAGGGTAAATTATGCATCCGTTTGCATCCAAGGAAGGTATTGAAGGATTGAGATCTTCGGAGAGTAATAGAGGTGGTCTCTGGTGTGCATGGGGCACTGCTGCATATTCAAGTGGAGGAGAGCTGCTCTATGGTGGCAGGGGAGGCGGAGAGACTGAGCGCACCCCATCGTCGCACTCGCCTTGCGGCAGAGCGTTGTCGAGCAAGCCGTTTGACTTCGCGAAAGGCCGGACGGCTAGGGTACGGTTGAAAAATCCTCACGACTTTTCAACAGCTGTTTATAAACAGACCGCCTCGGACCATTTATCAACAGGTGTGTTAAACACTTTTCAACAACTAAGGTATGGCTCATGCACTTTCCGCTAACGTGTGATGGCATGTGACACAATGTGACCAGCTGTGACCCGAAACAATGTATTTAACCAGTTAATAACCATACTACTAGTACTACTAGTACAGTTGATATGCTCATAATGCATGTGGTCGGGACCGTCAAAAGTTTATGCATTATGAGAAATATGCAAGACCAGATATGTCACACTATTGTGACATGTGTGACCTCCGCCAAAATTGTGACGCGAAGTTATCTATAGTATCTACAAAAAGTACATGTATTATACCGAGAAGAATTGTTCTAAAGAGGTTTGTCTAGCATTAAGTAGTTCTTCTCGTCGTAGATTAGCATGAAAGATGCAAAGTTGTGATGATAAATTGAGTGAAAATTGAGGATCACCATATTGCATGCATCCCACTTCGAGCCGCTGGCACAGACTGAGGAGATCTGTGCGTGTGATTGATGGATCCGCTGCTTCATCATTGTCGTCATCATTGTCATCAGAATCAACATTAATAATTTCACCATTTGCGATGGCATTCTCACGACGGACCTCGTCGGCAATAGATTTGTCGCCACCTTTGAATGCAGGCAATTCCCCCATCTCTCTCTCCTTGGCAGGGTCCAGAAGTTCATTAATGGTTGGCAGTGTACCAAAAATACGGTTGTGTGCTTTGAGATTGTTGACTGATTGCATGAGCTCAGCTTCAGCAGAAGAAAGCTGATCAGCTTTTTGTGGATGTGCGGGAATCCAAATTTTGAGGGTGGTGTGATGAGATGCAGCTTGTGCAAGTGTATTGAGGGCATTCAGAGCAATATCCATGTCTCCTTCAGCATCCATGACAGCTTTCAGTGCCGGTCTCCAGTCAGAATCAACAAAGCAATTGCCAAGATGGGCCTGTAGGTCACTTTCCGCATTGGGAAGGGACATCTCCATGGTTGCGAACTTCTGGAGAGTTTTCCACACGACTGGATCAGTGTGAGGTTGTGGGTCAGCGCTAGCAGTTGAATCACTGTCATGACCTCAAAGCTTGAGCACTGAAAAAATGAGAACAATTATTAAGATGACTCACAGTTGAATTTTGGTGTGATCCCAACAGTGTTCCATGGTTTCAGGTGTGATAGCATACCATGCTTGCTTCGCGGTCGTCATGCCTTCAAGAATATTAAGTTTATAAATATCCTGTTCACCAGCTTCATCAAGGTCTATAGCACGTGCACAGAAATTATGGCAGTATATTGCCTTGAAGCACCGGATGATTCCAGCATCACATGGCTGGACAAATGATGTCATGTTAGGCCCAAAATACTCAAGATCAATATTTGAAGGTTGATATGAGATGCTATGACCGGAGAAATTGTCAATAAACATGCAAATGTGCCGGTTCTGTTGCTCCAGCTTCGTCTAGCTTGGTAGGAATCGGTGACACGATCTCGTGTGTTGGGCTGGACCGAGCGATAGCTCAGGGTGGGACACAGGCAGGTGGAGCCGCTGGGAGGGCGGGAAAACCTGCCTATGAATTCGATCGTGCCAATGACTCTTTTCGGAAAGTTCGTGCAAAACGACAGTACAGACTAATGATTATGATGCATAAACAACAGAGTAGAAGGAAACTACGGGATGCAAAGTAAAGTAAGAAGAGGGAGTGGCGGGCAGGAGTAAACAATGAATGTAAGTACGAGTGAGGATGCGAGAGCTAGTATGCTGAACAAGTTGACACGGGTGCAAGAAATGAACTAGGAAGAAAGAAAAGAAGGACACAATCCGCTCAGCTGGACGCGTGGTGCCGGGTTACTCCAGCAGGCTACGTTACCTGGCACCTGTACATTCCAGCTTCGTCTAGCTTAGTAGGAATCAGTGACACAATCTCATGTGTTGGGCTGGACCGAGCGATAGCTCGGGGTGGGACGCAGGCAGGTGGAGCCGCTCACCCATCAAGCCGAAACAACCCGCAGCTTCAGCTGCTCAGCCCAACCAGACGTGGAGGTGAGATCCGACATTACCGTGCTGCTGCATTAGCGAGGTGCCATGAAGAGATCTGCTCGAATGTGCGAATGTAGGTCTCGTAAGCCAGTGACTTCCAATGCCCCGCGATTCACACTATCTCCGGGTCAATCTTCTTAGCTAGGTAAAAGGATGCACCGCCTATGCGGAAGGAGTGCCCGAAGGATGTGCCCCATCCCCACGCTATCAGGATGGAATTGATGCGTTCTAGGGCCTGAACCTTCGCCATCGGGTGAATGTCGCCTCTACTGTCTCGCCACGAGAATAGGGGGTCGTCGGCGAGGGCAGGAACAACCTGTGCCAGGTTGCACAGGGCTGCTAGGGGGCATAAGTCCCCCTGCTTGTTGAGAAATACTGATTGAATTTCCCCTGCCCGTGCAGTTTTGGCGGATGGCAGGTCGAGACAGGCGTAAGGGCTGCCCAGCAAATCAACACCAAAGAATGCGTGCGCACGGGTGAGGTACTTGGAAGGGGTAAAGGCTGCTTGAGAAGTGACGGAAACTTTGCTGAACCACATCATGCCAAAGAAGGCACATGACACTATTGCCCAAACACAAGCATCAAAGGGGTCTGACAGAACGAGTGTGGCTTTGAGAGCCGCCAGCATTGATAGCATGACGGGTGGCCTGAGGGGCCTTCGACGGCTAATTTGAATGTTCTCCAGGCCGTGCAAGGACCAATTGATGCAGTCGTGATGGGATTTGGAGAGTGGGGGAGGCCAGCCCTGGGCAATGTGCCAGGCACGCACTGCTGACAAATATTTTTGTACGACGCCCACGGAGACTGGTTCGAAAGGTGTGCTGCTGCTGATGGACAAAATTGAATCGCCAGGCTGGGGATCTGTGATGGCCTAAAGGGCAAAGGAGTGAAGCAGCTCGAATGATGCTGGAAGACGGTCTGCTTCTGGAATCGAGAATATGTCACAAAAAAGGTGAAATTTTTGCAGCCCAGCTCCGTAGCTGGTGGTGTCCCGAAGTGATGTGCGGCTCGCTAGACTGGCTATGTGGCGAATGACCGGATTGTCGATAGTCGAAGGGGGTGGAGAATTTGTGCCCCACCATAGAAAAATTTGTTCCCCTGCCTTACACTGTGGGCGGAGATGGGATGGGCCTGGAACCAATGAGGTGGGTGGGGAGGCAGGTGACTGACTGGTCGGCGAGGATAAGTGGTGTAATGACATCACGATAATGGGATGAGCTTGCCTGCTAGGTGAGGGGGTAGTGGAATGGTAACTGCATCTGTTGCCCGTGGAAAACCAGCTCTGAATGTGGCGACGTCGCCATGCGAAAGCGCGTCTGCAATGTTGGAGCGAGTCAGAACATAAACTGCCTGCAAACGCACACAGTTCTCTGCCTGTAGCTGGTAAATGTGCTTTAACACTGCGTTTGTTTCTGGGCTGCGTGAACGACCTTTGTTGGTTACTGCCACTACACCTGCATTGTCTGACTGAACAAGATAGTTGATGTTTCTCGGCATGTCCCGCGAAATGAAACCTTGGTGTACACCTGTTAGGACAGTTTGCAAATATGAGCGAAGAGGGAATAGATAAGTACCCAGATGGAGGGCTACTCGAAACCCAAGCTCTACTGCTGCAGCTTCTGCCCAGCCTATGTCGAATGCTCGCTTGGGCCTGACTTTGAAACCAGGTGCCCAACGCCATATGGCCCATTGATTTTGAATGACAACGCCAATTCTGAAGGATGTACTTGCATCCCCCCACCACCTGATGTCCGTTGGGGATGGGTTGGAGAGTGGGACCTGGTTGGGAAGGTGTGACAACAGGGATTGAATCCATGGGAGATCTGCAAGGACGGCTGCTGATGGCCGAAGGTGCGTGTGGGAAGAACGGAAATTGGCAGCAAAAGCTGTGATAGAGCGCAGGAAAGGCTGAATTAAGGGAAAGATGCATGCAACATGCACCAGCTTTCCGTGCAGACTGGCAGCTTCCTTTGCTGTGAACGAGGCTCCACTGAGCAACCAGCACTCTAATGTCTCCTGTACCTTGCAAAGTTTCTCCTCTGGGAGGGATACCATCTTGCGGTCCAAGTCCCAGTCAAAACCTATGTATCGCTGGATCGAGGCCAAAAGCCGAAGTTTCTCGAGGCTCCATGGGATGCTGCAGTAGGCCGTTAGCACTATGAAATCCTCCTCGGTCCACGATTGGTGGGGTAGCCTGATGACTAGGAAGTCGTCGACCCATTTTCGAATCAGGCTGAAACCGGCCTTGTTGTAAATTGCTACAAGCATGTTGGCAACAGAGCCAAACACGCCAGCACTGGAGGTAAGACCGAACATGAGAGCCCGATCCACGTAAACGATACCCTTCCAGTAAATGCAGAGGGCATTCTGCTGCGACAGTTTGACTGGGACAATACAGTAGGCTGATGAGACATCGAAGGTGGCAGCTACGCAGCCAGGGGGTAATGTAAGGATGAGTGCTGAGGTCTCGTCGAAGGTTCCCCAGACTGTGGGAAAATCGTCCGCATTGATTCCGGCATTCACTGACTGGATATCTGAGAGGTTTTGGGGGTAGGACAGGTCTTGAACTATGTGGAATTTGTTTGAATGGGGTTTGGGGACCAAACCGAGTGGGGATGTGTGAAATGGGCCGATTGAGTGCTCTAAGTCTGCTGGGGCAAACCCGATGGAGTATCTGCCAGCTGCTTGTTCGGATAGTATATACGAGTCGATTATGGAGGGATTGAGTAAGGACAAAGAATGATTTTTGAAATGTATGAGTTATAGTTGGTGGATCCTGGATACCAACGTCGAAGCCGTTGCGTATACCTTCAAATATATGACACCAATCACTGAATATACCATATTTACGAAGAAGCTCTTCCACCTGAAGGTGGTTAAGTGGGGTGATCACCCATCGGGGGTCATCCTCAAGCTTTGCAGCTTCCGGCTCCATGAGACGACTCTCCACAGAGGGTGCAGGAGTGAACGTTCCTGCAGTTTGTACCAAAGGAGCAGCTGGAGGTATTGGCCCAGTTGAAGCAATAATGCTTTCCACTGGCAGTTGCAAGGGCGTGTCTGCTTCTTGCATTGGTAGCGAGGGCTGCGATGGGTTTGCCTGCGGCTGTGGTATTGGCAGAGCAGTCAGCGGGTAAGTGACTTGGTGCTCCACACCAAAAGCAATGGCTCGACGTGTGCGCTTGTGATTTCTTGCGAGGGGATGATGGAAAGTCATTCGGGGCAGATCGCTTAGTAGGTAGGTTGAAAGGTGCTGGGTGCGGTATGAGTGTAGCTATTTTATTATTGGCAATCGTCAGAGCTGCTACGTCAAGACCCGCTAAGTTATGCTCGTGGTTCGCATGGGCTAATTCCCTCTGCTGCACATTGTAGTGCATTGCCACTGACCAACCATGGGTTTGACCGATATCAAGGACAACAAGATGGTGTGATGTCAGGGCCGAGGATCTGTCTTCACCCCAGTAGTGCAATGTTCTTTCCTCTGCAGCCTTTGCTGCGGCAATCCAATCAACAGTCACGATTAAAAGCTCGTTCAAGCGATCAAGGCCTTTGCTGTAAGCCTGTCCTGTGTAAAGACGAATGTGGAATCCTCTCCACGGAGATGGGCTTTAGATCGAGCCGCATGTGTCAGGGCTGTGTAGGGAATATAGCGGTACTGCTTGAAAGCTTCCTCCACATTGGGAGGTATGGCTACAACGAAGTGCATTAGCCAACTGATGTGCAGAGCGGTAATGGTAACGGTAACATGCGACAATAGCGTGTGATGACAGCTGCCGAACAGCAGTAAGGGACCGTGAGGTCAACGGTACGGTGTATAATGGCGGCTGACGATCAGCCGTCAGGGGAAAAACTGACGGCGAGAATAGAACGAGCAGCAAGTGCTATGGAGGCAGTGGAGCGGTAAACACGAAGTGAAAAACTTACGCAGGCTTAATGCACTGACTTTATGACCCGGTTGTAGCGCGGGTAAAGTTAGCTTTTTAGATTCCTCCTTGGAGCTAGCTAAATTCGCTCGAATGCAATCAACAGCTGCAGGGTCTGCTATCAGAGCTTGTTGAGGAGCGGGGGCTCTGGCCGGTATATGGATGCCGTGAGCGCTCCCATGCTCGAGCTCAGCGATCCTAGCCCTTAGAGCAGCGATTTCATCTGCCAGAGCAGGAGCTGCTGCAATGATGCTCTGCTCCTGTGGCTGTGGTGCAGGCGGGGGCACTGGTTGACCAGGAACAGGCACCGAGATAGGTGCTGCAGGACGATTAGCTGGCTGCGCTGCGGTTGATTGGGATGTCTGTAAACTTGAAGGCTGAGACGGTCCAGAATGGAGACATGGAATTGGGGCGGAAGGATTTCTGACGTCGGAAGGTGGTGGCCTTGTGGCTGACGGTTGCGTGTTCGAATTCGACCTGGAGGCCGTGGCGCCTTGGGTGGATGGTGGAGTTGGAGGAGCATTTGGGGCTCCGCCAATTTGAAGACCAAGATGATGGTGCATAGCTTGGAAGTGAAAATTAATGAGTAGGATGAGGGCTGATGTAATCGATATATATATAAAAAGAAAGTAAACAATGAATGTAAGTATGAGTGAGGATGCGAGAGCTAGTATGCTGAACGAGTCGACACGGGTGTGAGAAATGAACTAGGAAGAAAGAAAAGAAGGACGCAATCCGCTCAGCTGGATGCGTGGTGCCAGGTTACTCCGGCAGGCTACGTTACCCGGCACCTGTACATTTCATCTGAAGGTCAAGCTTTTTGACCCATCTAGTAGGCCAGCACTAATCAGATTTCAATAACGGTAATAAAATTATGTTCACGTACTCCTCAAATAGAACTGCTGTCATCCAAGCCTTTTTATTGTTCTGATAATAGAACCCACGCTGTTCTGGTGTCTGCTTCTTGAAGCACTGTGGTTTCTTTGCCTTGCCAATGAACATAGGCTCGAGCCTCTCACTTCCATCTGCATTGCAGGCTAATCCAATAGAGATCTGGAATTTTTCTTTCTTTTTGCCACTCATTTGCTGTGTTGCAAGACCACAGTCTGGAGGTGCACTAAAAATAAACAAATCAGACACTGGAAATTAAGGAACCAAATAAACACTCACTATGGAAAGAAGGATGTCTCATCAAAGTTCCACCGATCTCAAGGAGCAAATTTTGCCAAGATCTTGTGGCAACGCTCTCACTCTGTGACAACAGCTTCAGTGTCAACTGATCCAGCTTCCCCATGCCATCAGTACTCGCAAATCTTGTAGGCATTACAAAATGACTGGATCCATGCTTCCCCTGACAGTCTTTCATTGTCTGGGACATCAAACTCATCTTCAAACCTTTTCCGCTTCTCCCACAGCATAGGCCCAGTCACTGTTTCACGTTTATTCTCCATGTGCCTAATCCATAGGATCAAGGCATGCTCAACATCAGGTCTTGTGACAATCCTCAGCCGCTTTGATGACAATGAATCAGGGTTATCATTGATGCATGCTTCCATTTTGGGTCGTTCCTGTAACTTACGAGATAAGGTTGACTGGGTGAAAATGAGCGTGCCTGATTTAAGAGATTTGAAGTGTTCAATGATTTCAGCTTGTTTGACATTGGGATGAGTGTCAACAAATGAATAGACTGTTATCCAGTCAGACAGAGTGAGATTTTGTTGAGAAGAGCATTCGGGAGAATGAGCAGAAGTTCTAGGAGTGTCCTTGGTGATTTTCCGCTGCTTCGTAGGTTGGTCAGAAGCTGCAGCAAGCTTCTTGCAGGGTTTGTGCTTCAAGTTTATGGACATCTTTGTGTATGGTACCGTCACAATCACTCATTGGCTTCTATACATAGTTGAAAGAAACAATGTTGCCCGAAGCAGAACAATAGATTTATGCAATACCTTATGTCTTACCCTACCTCATAATGCATAATTGATATGCAAAGGTTATGCATTATGCAATATGCATTATGCATGCAATTACATGGGAATGCCATTGGGATCCTCAAAAGTCTATGCATTATGAGATTTATGCATTATTACCATATGCAGTATGAGCATATCAACTGTACTGTGTAATGTAGGAGTTGTGTAGACTATTAAACAGTGAATTAGTATCAATTAGAAATAAGTGGAATAGTTGTTAGATTCAGGAACAAAGTCCAAGCAGGAGATAGTAGACACCAGACTTTGATGCAAAATATTTACCTGCGAGAATAGGGGAGCTCACAGTAGGTCGCTTCTGCTTCTGCTTCTGCTTCTGCTGACATGTGAGAGACAAGGGTTAGTGGTGTGTTATGTAAGCAGTTAACTCCCTAACCATACTACACATGCCTCGCGGCTCGCTACATCAGCAATACTTAGAATCCTATATCTTTTTCATGATCATTAAAGCACTCTTTCAACCTGCACAGACACTCAAAGACCTTTCACGAGAGCTTACTATAGATATAAATCGCATATCAGCCATACAACAAGCTCGCTACCTGAATTCTCGCCCTCCGGTCCTTAAATCTGGCAGTCTACACCTTGCATGGGAATGGGCACAGAGTCCAGCTGACCACCACCGCTTTGTCAATATGTTGTGAGTCTCTCCGGAGGTATTTCAAGCTATTCTAGGATTAATCGAGGACCACCCAGTCTTTCATAACAACTCAAACCAAGCCCAGGAGTCAGTGGAGGTTCAGTTAGGTGTGACACTGTACCGGATGGGGCAGTACGGAAATGGTGCTTCACTAGAAGACATAGCCTGGACTGCAGGGTGCTCTGAAGGTGCTGTTGAGAAGTACACTGAGTGTTGCTTCCAAGCTATCGAGTCATTTCATGACACTTTTGTATGTCTCCCTACCACCCAGGAGAAAGAGCGGGAGAAATGCTGGATGGAAGATTGCCTTGGATTTTCAGGGACATGGTGGGAAGGATGGGTTATGTATGATGGTACCATCATTGTACTCTATGCAAAGCCTGTGCTCAATGGTGATGCATATTTCACCCAAAAGTCAAACTATGGTCTGAATGTCTAGGTAAGTGAAAGTTCATATCACATTAGTATATGTTCTACAACTGACAAGTTGTATAGATTGGTAATTTACCTTCCAATCTTCGCATTGTTGACTACTCCCATGGCATGATTGGATCTGCCTACGATGCTTGGGCATTCAAGCACACAGCTGCTGCAAAGTGTCACGAATTCCTAATACGAACCATTTTTCGTTTCTCGGTTTTCCTTCGGTTACTTCCAGTACCCAAACCGGTCATGTGACTCCTCACCCTGTCACACCTTCACCTTGTCACATATCACCCATGGTTTCTCTGATTGGTTCCCCTACTCCACGGGCTAGAACAATCTCGCTTCCCAAAGAAGAACCAGTCGGATCTTGGGTTTCTATTTAGTAACCGTCTTACTCAGTCACTTATATATCATGAGTCATACTTACTCATCCACAGTATCGTATGACTTTTTTCTCATTGGCTGATTTCTTTCGGACTCCTACTCAATGTTATGTATAAAAGTAGGGTAGTTAGCATAAGAGTTCCTTAGACTTAACCTCTTCATTTCTACTGTTGTAGTGACCTAGACGTTCACGCTCAAATCTATCCTGTTGCTCATTGTCATCTCTGACCGAGTCCTAGTGGTTGTGCACTCACCTTCAACATTATTGTTGGACGTCGGTCATAACATTAGGTTAAGTCTACTCTACCACTCCGACTCGAACTTTGTCTTGGACGTCACCGTTCTCGATGAACTTCACCGTGCTGTTCTGCTTGAGAATATTCTCGCGGATCACATTTTTTGTTCACTCATCATTTCCCCGACGCGTTTCTCTATCTCAATTTCTTTACGTTAGTCCTTTAAGTAGAAGTGGACCAGGCCCTCGTCTTACATGAGCCACCAGTTCATAAGGATCAGTGACTTTAGGTCCTGTTTCCGTACGTCTGCAGTTCAGCCCAAAACCCTGCCAACTGTACACTACCTACTTGCTTTCTACGTAACAGAACGGCACTCGCGGGTCTTACAACCCTAGTACAAATTACCTAAGAACTAAGGGTGCTAAAAGTAGATCCGAAGTTCACCGCGTCTTTCGCGAACTCCTCTCGAGTTCTTTTAGGTTGACGAATCGCTACACACGTTCACACCTCCGTCATCATTGCCCCGCCGTACAGATCCCGCCTAGTCGCGGCTAGAGAGCTCCATCTCCACACTGTTTCCTGTTTGGATTCCTCTTGCAGATTCTTCCATGTCCGAGAATCTAGGAGAGCCTGGGATGCACGTTTCCGAAGATACGGAAATAGCGATAGCACCGGCAGTCGTGCTGCCAGCAGATGTTTCGGACAGAGTGAGCATCCTCTCTCCAACGCCGTTGGCATGGCACAACCCATTGGGCCCAGCACCTGTAGAATCATCCACCACCCCAACCGCAGGCCCTTCTGTACCCTTCGGCATCTCAGGGCCCAGCAAGACTACCATCACCCACAAGAGCATTTCGGACGCAATCCAAATCGTCGTCGAACAAGAAAGAAGGTACACAAGGCAGTTCATAGACAACCTACAAAAGGAGATCGACTGAGCTGCAAGCAGGCCTGGTTCATGTGGACGACGAGATCGACTATCTGAAGATCAGGACGAGAGATCTGGAGAACTCCTTGACTGTGGCGGAGAGCCACATCTCGGTTTTGCAGAACTCTCCTACGACGAAGATCCCAGGCGCTACATCTGGGACCTCAGGTTCTGATTTGAAGATGGCAAAACCAATGGACTTCACGGGCGAGAAGAACTCCATTGATATTGATACCTTCCTCACCCAGCTCGCCATATATTTCACCGGTTACCCAGGAGCGACAGAGCAGCAGAAATGCACCTGCCTCGTTTCCTTTTGTCATGGAGCAGCAGCCAAGTGGGCAGAAAGCATTACCCCCATGGTGCTCAGCGGTCATCCCGGGTCCTACGACAGCATCGTCAAGGATATGAGGGTCATGTGGACCGTCGTTAACAAAGAGGAGAAGGCTGCGAGAGAGTTAGAAACTCTCCAATAAGGCACTCGTACCGTTGGAGAGTATATCTCCCTTTTCTGTCAGAAGCTCGCCTTCTGTCATTTCTCCGACTACGAACTGATGCGCAAACTCCGCCATGGATTGGACCAGCGAGTTAAAAACTACCTGGCCAACATCCACCCCAACAGGAAAGACACCCTGGAGGGATTGATCAGGGAGGCGCTCCTAGTTGGGCAGAACCTCGAGGAGCTTGACGACGAGAGGAAGATGAGCTTCGCTCAGCAACAACCGTGGCGAGGCTCTGCTGTTCCACCTGCACCAGCTGGAGCACCCAAGACCACGTCACAGGGAGGAAACGCCATGGACATTGACGCAAACAGAGCAGGAGGCAGACCCCGCACGCAGGGGCAGCCATTCAAATGCTATCGCTGCGGAGAAGAAGGGCATATGGCCCGTAACTGTACAGGAAAGCCACTCGACACCAAGGGCAAGGGACCAGCTGTCTGTGCCGGCAAGGTGGAAGAAGTTCC